AAACCCTAATGTAAACCCTAATGTAAACCCTAATGTAAACCCTAATGTAAACCCTAATGTAAACCCTAATGTAAACCCTAATGTAAACCCTAATGCAACGGAAAGGAGATCGCACAATGGTAGGTCTTCGTGCGTGGCAACTGCCCATTGCAGCATAGAGCGAAAGGGAGGCGCGGGGCACTTAAGTGCGTAAAACTACACTAGTAACAGTATCAAGTATGCATAAGTGCTTATGACCAAGTTACTAGATGGGTAAACCCTCCTGCAACATCACGAGGGAAAGGGGGGGCTGACAGAGTAGGTCTTGCCCCGTCAGCGCCAATGCGGCCGAGTGGATCTGTGAGGCAATTGGGGCAGCTCCTGGCAGCAAGTCGCAAGTTGACTGGCACGAGGTATGGCAATCCAGTCCAGAGTACCGCAATGTTCAAACTGAGCTGGCCTGAGTGCGGTTGCAAGACACGGAATTGCGCATAAATAAGAGTAATAAAGGTCAAACCTCATCCCACGAGTTCGCCGTCTCCTTATGGCGCTAACTCCTCTTGTTGACCAAGCCTGCATTCCAACAAACATAGGGTACTCCTCCCTACAGATACTTCCAGCTTCTCCTATGCACCTCCAACATTTTGTTTATCATCTTACTCTTTCTCGACTCTCCCCTCCCCTCGGCTTCCAAGGGTTGCATAACCAGATGTTTGCAATCTTTGGGCTGATGAGAGTCGTCGGGTAGCTGTTAGAGCGAGACCGGTACACCTCAAGCCTTGTGGTTTATGTGGGCTTGTCTATTTCTCCATTGGGTTCTATCAGAACACTGAAGCTGCCGGCCGGAGCGCGGAGAGAGGCGCCCTGATGCGGATACTTTTCTGGGTGTTCCTGACGTAGATGTCGACCTTTGCGCACTTGTGTATCTTGTTTACTGGCTCCGCAGATGACCTGGGCAGCATCACCAACTCCATGTCTGTCACGGCTGTTTTCTTCTGTTGAGTGCTGGCTTCTCTCACAAGCCAGATATGTGGCGACCACATGGCAGTCTATCTCTACGGCTGGGGCTCCCCCCGGCTGCCACGAGTATTTTTCAATGCTGCAAGATTAAGGACACGAAGTTCCATTTGGCTGCCATTTATGCCGATCAAAACCTTGAATAGCGAAACCTCGGCATCGTAACGGCTTATATTTCTTATATTGTTGCTGGGGGCGCTGGTCTTGTACTGGGTGGCCAGAGTGCCGAAGGGGAAGAAGCTGCAGCTCTCTGTTCCGCGGAGTGGTAGCTTCCGGTCCAACCACACAAACCAAGATGCATCTGCAAATTGAGACCCTGCTTCCTTGGCATTGTTGGACTATACCTCTTGTCCGATAGATCAAGTATCTGGCCAGATGAGGATATGCGACCGTAGCGGGAATCGGGAATAGCTGCGCTTGAACTCGGATCCAATTTTGGAAGCAGCTGAACCCGAGCATCCTTGCCATATGAATGCAGAGTTTGAGAATTTCTGGGACTATCTTCATGGCATCAAGAGAACCTATTGGTACGAATCGAACTTGGGGCATAGTGCCCAGTCAACTACCGAACAACATAATTATAAAGGCATCTCACCACACGACTGCAGGCATAAACTGTTCCTATGCCAAGCCTGGTTTTTGTCTGTACTTGCATCTTTCCATCACAATGACAGGGGTAATCGTAAGAATCATATTAACCACCACCACTGCTGCTTGTGTGCCAAAGACCGCAGCGATTCCATCGCGTTCAATCCAGGAAGGCTGGAAATATCCCACCGAGAACCCGCTGGCGGTGCGCCATGCATTGATAATAGCAGAAACGACAGTAGACTGCTCGGGATACTTTTCCAGTGCGTAGGCCGTAATGGATCTGAAGACAGACAGATTAGTTTAGTTGAATCCTTGTGGACGGCGATACCTACACTGTACTGGCAACCATGCCCGCGACCACCAACAGCCATCCGAACGCCAACCCAATCCAATGCTTGCCGTAATTCAAGGTAAACCCGTAGGTAAGAAGCCCACAGGCCATGGTGATGATGGCGGCCCAGACGCCATGGAGCCGCTTCTCCGTATAGTATGTTGCCGCACTGATGCGAGTGACCCAGCTGTCGAACCAGTAACCATAAGCCCAGCCTGGATTGTGTCAATTTTACCGTTGGGAATAGCAAGGGTTATGATTAGACTTACCAAGAAGGGCGCCAAGGATAGCAGCCCATCGCAACGAGGCCGACTGTACGGTGTTAAACAGATATGGGGGCTCGGCCACGAAAGTGGACACAGTCACCGTGATTCCTGCAGTCAGGTTAGTTAGGGTAAGTGATCGGCTGATACTGACAACAGAATACAGACCAATAGGCCAGCAGAAATTGACCATGGTAGCAATACCGGTCAACAGCAGTGGTGTCTTGAAGATATACACCACCAGTGTCTTGCACCAGTGGAGCAAAGTCGGACCGGGGGCGAGATTATGGTTCCGGACGCCAAACATCGACAACAGGCGACTGTTCTGCTGACACTGTCGTCCGCGAACATAATACGTTTCATAACCAAATAGAAAAATGAGCACGGTAGATAGGCCATAGAGCACTGCTAGGATCCCAAAGGATACCTTCCAGTTACTCCCTGCTCCAATATAGCCGGCCAGTGCAGGTCCCAGAAATGGGCCAACAAGGAAAGTGGTCCCCCTTGATAGCTGTTAGCGTTGGATGCTCACTGGACTCTCGAGATCAATCACAATACCAGATATTAATCATCTGCGACCATTCTGCCTCTGGGCATTAGTACAAGTTACCTCAAGACCACGGGGGCGTCAGACAAACCTTCCGGAGAATACATGTCATGGATTATTGGAAGGCCAACCACCTGGGGCACCGTTCCAAATAGTCCTTGAAGGGATCTGAAGGCCGTAAAAACACCAAAGCTATTCGACAAAGTGGCTCCGACAACCATGAAGGTGGTGATGAACTGCGGCCAAAGCCAAACAGGAAGGCTAGTTTCGCTTCAGTATATCTGCAATTATCTCATAGGGGTTTCGCTCGCAACAGACCGGCCGTAAGCCTCAATGAGGGGAATAGCCATCAATCCACCTACACCTTGCAACAACATACCATAGTTCATCGTGGTTGCTGATTGATTGACGGTGATATCCCAGTCCAAAGCCTGAGGAACGATCAGGGTGGCTCCCCAGGTCATGCCACTATCATTCTTGCAGGTTACTGATTTGTCCTCGACTATCTGAGGGGAAAAAACGTACCCGTCTGCTAGGATAGAGCTAGACATAAGCGCAAAGAACAGAAAACGCTTTTTCCAAGGGTGCCAATGCCGGGGATTGAGTTGCGCATCTTCATCGTGATTGCCACCGGTGGATGTCTCGGTCACGTGTATGCGATCGTCCTTGCTGGTATGAGATGGTTTAGGCTCCTCGAGGGAGGGAATCACTGTCTCCCGTGCCATTGCAAGTGAGTAGTAATCAGCAGAGGAAATGAAAGAAGATGGATGGTTTGTCAGGAAGGTTTAAGGTGTTGAGATGACTAGTGATTGGGAGGGGGCCAACAAGCATAGACGAGACTGTTGGCCATCAAAGCAAGGTAGAGAGTGCGAGTGTGTGGTGGGATGCCCCCTGACAGGGATTGCGGGCACAAGTCAAGAATTAGACCCTTGGGGAAATCAGAAGCCAAGAGAGAAGGACGGACCACACTATTCCACGACCTGACCACCATCGATGATTATAAGGAGACTAGCTTTAACGGCCTGCCTAAACAAATGCAGTGGCTCTTCCGGCACTAGCCCGGGGATCGTTTCCGTTCGCACTGACACCGATAGATACCATGCCCACTTTGCCAATGTTCCATGCGTAGTTAGTGTGACAGCCACTAGTCAACGCCGGTGGCTTCCTATATATATTAAGCCGTCTGAACTGCGACGCGCCATGACTGTCTTAAATCCTGGCAGCGTTTGAACACTCTCCGACTTAGTGACTCAAGTGTTGTCGTTCGCAATGTCGGCCCTAACGCCTGGTATTCAGTTGGCAAAATCAGTCACCTCGGTTAGTGATCTAGAACTGAGTGGAGACCTAATGTGTGACTAACGTTGGGGAACGTGAGACAGGCTGCGGCGCTGGGGTTTGTACCAGTGGCAGTCCACTTCCGCATTTTCGACCTTCTCGTGGCGATTGGCAAGCCTGCCACGGGGAGGGAGGTTCTCGCTGAGTACCAGCAATCTCAGGATGTCGACTTCAACAACATTATCCCCTGTAGGTAATCTGCCCCCCATAATTTATCTAAACTAACGAGCTATCCCTGATTCTCACACCTTCCCCTACTTCAGGTCTCCAGCTAATAGGTAAGCTTAAGCCGGGACTGTCCGCAACTCCCACACGAGAGTGACTGATAACTGGGCAATGCAGATGATACGCTGTACGCAATGGCCGGGCTCGGATTTGTGGATATGACGGACGAGCAAGTCTACTACGCCAACGAAATTACCAAGCATTTAATGCATAATCCTTCGGCTCAACATGGCGCACTACACTTGTAAGTCACGCTGTGTGGCACAGATTGCATACGCCAATCCTGATATCCTACCATTTGCTAATGTCTACTAGCACCACGGAGGCTCTCTTGGCTGGTGCCTTTCTCTTCCGTCGACTAGAGAGCAATAACTTTCAATACCCATTTCAGGAGCTCCAGACCCCAGTCCAGTATGCATATAGTATGATGGGAAACAGCAAACTTGCCCAACAGCATACATATGATATTATGGCCGCTGAAGGCCGGATGGACAGTTTCAATCGCTTCATGGTGGGTAAATTCTTGAAGACAGCCACCACCCCCGATCGCTTGAAACAATTCGGATATGACCTGGGCCCAATCATCCAGGACGCCAAGTCTCGCCAGGTGGTCGCGATGGTCGACATTGGAGGCGGTCGTGGAGAAATGATGCTGGAATTCAAAGAGGCTTTCCCCGAGCTGACGGAGAAAGATTTGGTAGTCCAGGAGTTCAACGATAAGATCCGCGACATTCCTGGGATTACACTTTCGTCGTGGAATTACAAAGATCCGCATAGCGCTCAGCCTATCCAGGGAGCAGGGCTTTATCATCTCGCGCATATTTTGCACAACTTGCCTGACCTTGATGCCGCGCGCCTGCTGCAAAAAGTGTCGCAAGCCATGAATCTCCAGTCGCGGCTGCTCATCCATGAATTTGCTAAGAATGTGAATAACGCGAAGATGCATGCCAGCATGATTGTTCTCTTCGGGGGTCGGGAGAGAAGTGCGACTGAATGGCGCCAGCTGGCAGCTCTGGCTGGACTTCAGGTGACCTTCGAAGCCTATCCGGATGGAGGGGAAGGGCTTGTGGAGATGAGAAAACTCCCAACCGGTCACCATGCATAGTTAGTCCATACCCAAGTCAGGGATGTAGATTCGATACTGCACTATACTGCAGCTGTTATGAGATAGGGGTGTCAACTCAATATAATTAGCTGGAAGCAGTAGATGGGGTGGATCAAATAACTTGTCCTAAGCGGGACAGGATGGCGCCTCGGAGTGAGCATGGGATGATTTTCTCCCCGACCACTCAGCAATCAGCATCTCTACTGATAGTCTGATAATGCGGCTAGTCCCGGTTTATTGGAGTACTCGGAACAGTCTGGCCCGGCAGCCGATTGTGGGCGAATAGATCCAGGTCGGATGGAAGGACATCTTACTCGCAGATATTCTTCCTGGTATGATCTCCAATCCAACCCTGGACCCATTCAAGGCTGCCTCGGACCCGGTCTCGGTCGCTTGCGGCGGTCGCTGTTCTTGCCGGACCAGGGAATCACCGCAATTAGCCCTGAGGCAGTAAGTATTAAATGGCCTACGCTAGGCCCAAGACATCACCCTCTTAGTGCTTACCCTCGCATCCTAGCGTAATAAATTAAGCAAAATTATTGCAGGGTTCCCAGCAGGGTCAGGGCAACTGATAGAGCTCTCGCGCCCCGCCCGACTGTGTAGTAACTAATACCAGGTCACGCATACTATAGGCTGATATGTCAGGAAAGGCTATTGCAAACCCCTGGCTGTCATGTTGGTTGCTTTGGCTGTCTACCCAGTATAGTGATCTCGGCCATCAAAGAAATCTCTTCCCGTCGCTTCCGTATGAACAACCTCGATCAACGACTGTTGAACTTGGACAAACTCCTACGCGATTTATTGGAAGCGCAGCGGCGATATCTCGCATGAGTTATGCCCACGGAACACGACCGCGACAGCAACTACGGTCAGTTTTGGTGTACCATTTTCCTTCGGTGGGATATCTGCTTTTTGATCACTAACCATCATCACTCTGCAGCTGCCCCCTACATCTATGCCGCTTGGGTTGGACATCCCAGGCCATTACGAGCGAGACAAAACATTCTGATTCGAATCTGTAGGCCCTCACGGCCATTGCAGGCCTGGCATTGCTATTCAGGTTCGCGATCAAGTCGTGGATCCGATGGGCCCTACCCCGGGTCAGCTCCCCAGACCGCCTCTGGGGCCTGGAAGACCTGTTCTATGCCTTAGCCTATAGTTTCGATATTTCCCATATTGTCTTTGTTCAACGAAGGTAAGTCTTTGCCTCAGAGCTCAGCTCACCATGCTCATGGTTCTGACCAAAGCAGCTATAACTCAGGACTCGGACGTCATCTATGGGTCTTGACCGATGTTGAGCTCAACGCGACACTGAAGAACGAGTTCATATCTCAGCCCCTAGGTACGGTGCACATCGAATTTTCTGCACAGTTTCAGGTCAGTCTACTGACCCGAATGACCAGCGGTTCTTGCCTCGATGCTCTCTCGAACTGGAATGATGTGTTTTCTGTACAGTTGTTTCAATGGTGCTGATAAACGGATTCGGATTTCTATTATCATGTGTATGTGCATTCAGGTCATCATCAACATGGTTACGGTAGTGCAGATTATTGTTCAGTGTGGGCCGCATCCATACCATGCGGTAAGGCTATTGCGATAGTGTTCCTGTCCTCATCTTCTTTCTATGTTGTTGCTTGATTGGCCATCGCACTCATTCATTTCCCAATCACGACCAGGCCAACCGAGTGCACTATTTTCACTACATGTGGGATGACCTCCCGGCGGACGGCTCTGTTGTTTGCGAGTCACCAAGTGTTCAAACAATGGTCGGGTTTGTTCAAGGAGGTAAGTGTTGGCCGGTATGAGGATGCCTTGAGTGCTGATTGGTGAAGGGTTCAACTCCGGAATTGACCTCTTTCTGACCGCGCTGTCAGCGGTACAGCTATGGCGGTATACGATGCGAGCAACCGACCATGGTCCTTCCCACAGCGACACATTTTGCTCTCGGTTCAGAAAGATTCCCCGGGGGTCACGGAATCGGCGGTTGTGGCAAACCTGCGCTCTCAGCGGGCCCCTGCTATTGTCCGGCATCGCATCAATTATAAAAACCTGGGTAAGCCGATTGGCCGAGAATGGGATGGGGCCTCGCTGAACAGATGATGGATAGTTGCTTCAAGCCATTGGGGAAAGAAATGATATTACTCGTAAGTCCAGTGCCTCACTATACCACCAATTTGTGGCTAAGCACATAGTGTTTCGGGTAGATAATATTGTGCCATTTGTTCTATGGGTGAAGTAAGTTCCCGAGATCATGCCCTCATCCATAGGATGTACTGACCATCGCCGTAAGAATTGAGAACTACAGCATTCTGCTTGCGACATGTGCCCCCATCATTCGACTTTTGGTATCGAATATGTCTAATCACGAATCTGGGGCCAAGAGTTATCCCGGCTACGGCAATCGTTCTGATGGACATGACCAGGGCCTAGAGTTAGACTTAGTGCCGCACGTACAGGACAAAGGGACGATGATTTTGACTATGCCGGTGAGCCACACGCCCGACAGCCAACCGTCTTTAGTCAGCCGACCAGAGTCGGCGAACCAAGGGTCAGGAAGGCGTGATGGGGCCAGTGTAGTAATTCGGACGGATATCCACGTTGAATTCGATTCAGATAGATCATCAATTCAACGGCTGGTGGAGTAGTGCTCACCCTGGTGCCATGGCATTGCACGTCGGTGGGTGCAAAGGTAAATCACTGTAGTGAGCCTCCGAAGTGAAACCTGTAGTACACACTGACTCAAGTGTTTACCAAGAATGTATATAATGCGAACATACACGCCAGTATGATTACTGGGTGGCGTCAGCTGGCGTCAACTGGCGGCTCGGGCTAGACTCAGGATCACCTTCGAAGCCTATCCTACGATGCAGAAAGACTGGTGAAATGAGCAGGTTGGGAAATAAGGGATACATATTGAAGGAGTGCACCTGTCTACTCAAGCACTAGATACGACCACGGAAGGGCGGACGATGTTCACCGGGTCCAGTCCTGGTTCTTAGATTAGCATCCAAGTCTATACAAAGAAACTCAATTCCCACTCCTTGAAATCGTGATCAGACCTCACCCTCAGCCTTCTCCTGCACCACTATCAACTCTCTGAAACCTTGATTCTGTGTATGAGGAGAATATGATGGCAGAAGGGCATACCTTCTCTATAAGAGAATGTGCAATTCTCGATTATCTCCTACCGACGTTCGAATATGCCCCATCTACAGCTTGTTTGTGATCAACAATGACGGTCCAATATGACAACGGAAAAACGTACGGTCAGTCACATTCCAATCTCAGGGCTAGATCAAAATCAAGCAGACACAATTAACCACGTCAGCGTTCATAGCTATATCCTATATAGCGACGTCTTGGGTAGGACAATCTGGGCCGCTGTCAAACAAACGCCATTTACCATACTCATTTTTTCATTCTAAGTATTGACAGCAATGGCTGGGCTCGTACTACTGTTCCGATCCGTGGGTAAATCTTGTATTCGATGGGCTGTACCCCGGGTCAGTTCACCGGATCGTCTGTGGGGGCTAGAAGACCTGCTTTATGCCATCGCTTATGGGCTGGATCTCGCCCAAATGGTCCTCGTCCAGAAAAGGTTTGCACTGTCCTTCTTACCTTAATACCGGTTGCTTTTCACTTATATCTGACTACCGCAGCTACACGTCAGGACTTGGTCGCCATGTATGGACCTTATCCCAGACCGAGATTACAAGCACCTTGAAGTATGAGTATATATCACAACTGTTGGGTACGTCTAAGACATGGGAGTGACGGCACCAGAGCTGGAGTTTAATCTGATTGCTAGCCTTCATTGCCGCCGTATTTTCGCGAACCAGAATGATGTGTTCTCTCTATCGGTGCTTTCACCGCGTCGACAAACAATTTCGTGTTCTTATTGTCGGCTGCCTGTGCATCCAAATCATCGTGAACATGGTGACAATCTTCCAAATCCTCGCCCAGTGTGGGCCCAATCCATACCGCGCGGTAAGATATTCAAAGCCGAGAGCCAGAGAGCTGCGGTTAGTACTCATGGATATTTTTTTCTTTAGGCCAATCGATTGCAGTATTTCCACCACATCTGGGATCCCTGTACTCGATTCCGGGAGATTCCCCGCGATGCCCGGAAACGCCGATTGTGGCAAACGGTGGCCCTCAGTGGGCCGCTTCTGTTGTCAGCCTTGGCGTCCTTTGCGCGAACCTGGGTATGCCATGAGAGATTCTCGAACGACAGGCGGAAGGGTGGCTAATGCGTCGAGGAACAGCTACTCCTTGCGATCGACGACCAAAATGATATCACTCGCGAGTCCTACTGCCACCACACCACAGTTCAGTACATGAATGGCAACTGAGCTTAGGTCGAGGTCGATAGACAACGTTGCGCCATTTGTCCTGTGGATAAAGTACGTCACGTGTCTCCTATTCCACCCCTCCACCACTGACATTCGATATCCAGGATCGAGAACTTTAGGCTTATGCTGGCCACCTGTGCGCCTGTTATCCGACTGTTGTTATCGATCGTCACAAAGAACGGATCCCCGACGAGCGGCTACCCCTGCTATGGCAATCAATCAAACGCCCAAGGCCAAGCTCTCGAGTTGAACATGGTTCCACACACTCATGACAAAGGGACGGTGGTGGCCATTACTGCGCAAGACACGAGGGGAAATTCCCACTCCCTGGAGCAATTCCCCTCAGAGGATCAAGCTGTCGGTGGCTCTCATGGGACCAATGTGACCATCCGGACCGATATTGTGGTCGAATATGATCTCGATCGAGGCTCAACGCCGAGGCTGCCCACCTAGAGGTCGGAGCAGAGGTTCAAGTATACCGGTAAGGAGAGGAGGGGACAAAGATGTTGGGCGAGGTGGGGATACCAGCATAGATTAATATTCTTGTCATCCATGCAATAACCGTTATAGCCGAATGAATGGGTGGTGGAATGATTTACCCCGCATTCGATGTAAACCCCAATGCTCAATAACTGATTCTCCAAACTTCAGCTCCTCTCTTTCCTTCTCCTCCCTTTCTTCTTGACTCCAGTCATACAGAATGTCGCTCCCCAAGACTATGCGCGCGGTCGTCTTCCAAGGCCCCTATGAGGTGGCGGTTGAAGACCGACCGACTCCCAAGTTGCAGACTCCCAAGGATGTGATCCTGAAAGTCTCCGCCTCGGCGTTATGTGTAACCAAACCACCCATCCCTAGTGAATCATTGACTTGGGCACCTCGAATCTGACAATCTGACCGGACAGGGCTCGGACTTACATTTCTACCGCGGCCATCTGAAATGTCCGACCAACTTCATTTGCGGCCACGAATTCGTGGGGAAGATCGCGGAGAAAGGCGTGGAGGTGACGGGCTTCGAGGTCGGGGATGAGGTGGTGGTGCCCTTTTATGCGACGTGTCAGGAATGCTATTACTGTGTGCGTGGCCAAGCCAGTCGCTGCAGTCAGGGCTTTCTATTTGGAAACTCCGTGCCGGCCAACACCATCGATGGGGGACAGGCCGAGTATGTGCGAGTGCCGTTGGCCGCGACCACGCTGGTGCGCAAACCCCGCGGAGTGCCCGACCATATGCTGGTCTTGATGGCCGATATCTTCCCCACCGGTTATTTCGCTGCCTCGCGCTTTCTGAACAATCTCGCTCCTCGCGACCGCAGCGAATACACCGTGGCCATCGTCGGGTGCGGCCCGGTCGGGCTCTGCACCATCGTCAGCGCTCTCACCATGGTCTCCACCGTCTACGCCGTTGACTCCGTGCCCGAGCGTCTCGCCGAGGCCGAGCGCTTGGGTGCCATTCCCATCCCTTTATCGTCCGATCCAGTCAGTAGAATCAAGGAGGTGACCGATGGACGGGGAGCCGACGTAGTCATCGAGGTGGTGGGCCATGCTGACGCCTTCATGATGTGTTTTGACATGGTGCGACCGTGGGGGACAATTCATTCCATCGGGGTGCACAGCGAGATGCTGCCCTTGAACGGCCAGCTGTGCTACGGCAAGAATGTTACCATGGCCTTTGGACGCTGTCCCGTTCGGAGTATTTTCGACGAGGCATTGGCTGTCTTTGAACGAATTCACCCCAAATTGGAGTTCTTGTGTAGCCATGTGGTTGACTTGGAGGAAGCTCCCCAGGCCTATCGCGACTTTGAGGCCCGGAAGGCGCATAAAATTGTGTTCCGGCATGAGAAGTAACCAAAACGGGATCGTGTGCCTTTAGTATGAATCAATTATGCAGTGCTAACTAATGGCTGCAAATCCTCCTCAGCTACACCATAAAATATGCATTTTCTTTGGCCGCTTTCGCTGCCGACTCGCGCAATCTTTGCTCCGTTTGCGCTTGGTAGGCCGGCCCATAAACCATCAACCCAGCCTGGACGAGCTGGTCCTTCTTGTGGCGGAAGTCGTGCAAGGCCATCTGCAGTGCCGGCACATGGTGGTCAGGTTAGTCACCAACGAATGCAAGCAAGTCCCTTTGGATTTGGGCGAGGGATTCAGCATACATTGGTGACACTCCATGTCTCAAAGGGCATCTCTCTTTCCACCCTCCCTTGGTCTTTGGCTTATCGATAAACGACACGCGCCTTCTGATGATGCATCTTGAGGTTCTTGGCCGCGTCGGTGAAGTGATGCTTGGCCAGCTCGAAGCGGGGATCATCGTTATTGTTGTGAAGACCATCGGTGTTGATCGAATAGTCCCACAATCCGAAGTCGATGGGCTTGTCCTTCGGGTAGGAGTGGAGGACTATATTGTTTAAAGGTAGAAAGGCAGGGAGCAAGGGGTTCAAGGTTGCATTGCACTACACCTCCCGGACCAAGCTTACATACACATCCGCCGCCGGTATTATTTCCTCGTTTCTCTACCCTTTGCCACCACGCGGCTCCAGACTCCATCGTATGTCGGGTATCTGATCCACATTTGCCTCAATATACTATTCTGCCCGGTCGGCTCCTACTGATCGACTCGCCCAGCGTGACCCCTCCGCTCTTCCCAGTGGTCATGGTAGCGTTGGATTTGACTACAGTGGGAAAGGCTATCATTGACATAAGTATCGAAGTATCAGGCCCGGGACGCTACAGCCGTTCTCGGCGAGTGGCCTGCTTACACCGAGATGGTGGGGGTTTCTCTGGCCAACATCCTGACATCAGCCAATCCCCAGTCAGGTGAATACATCTGCCTCTTTCTGAAGATCCAAAAAGATGCCCTTGTCATGCCCTGGAATCACCCGTCCCTTGGTGATGCGCTGCAGTTGCTTGAGCCGCTGCGTACTCCGAAACCAAGACGGATGATCGCGCGCCAACCAGCCTTGAGGGATCCCATCGCGCCACTATGTCAGTCCAGCATCAGCCGGTTATCTTCGAATTCATTTAGACATCACATACATTCTCGATGACATGGCAGTGATCACTGATGAAAAAAAATGTGCCCGTGTTGATCATATTGATCTGCATCCCAATCAGCCCATCGGTGTGGCCGGGGAGATGGTGCAGCGTGATGCCCTGACAGAAGTCGAGCGTCTGGTCATTGAAGGTCTTCCAGTTCCTATCTAGCGCAGTCAGCGATTTAGACACCAAGTGAATGCATCCTCTGATTCGAACTCCCTACAGCGATAATTTTAGATAATGCTCCAGATACACGCCACTATCTGCGCCGGTTGCGACCGACCAGAAAGCATTGGTCAATTCCTTTTCATGTACCCAGATTTCGACGTCCTTCCGGTCGAAGAACTCGTCCAGTCCACCCGCATGGTCCAGATGTAAATGTCCGATGATGATCTTGCAGATGTCCTCGATGCGATGGCCAGTGGCCTCGATGGCGGCGCGCAGCTCATGGCGAGGCTCGTACTGCACCCGAGCGAAGATGTCGGCTACCACCGGGCCCCAGACCTCGGGGTAATCTTTCCCACTGCCCGTCTCCCACAAAATCAAGCCTTCGTGCGGGTGGTCGATGAGGACGCAATACATGGGCATCTCGCAGCGTTCGTTCACGAAGGAAGATTTCTCGGTCGACTTGAGGCTGGTGTTGCCACCACGAATCACAAAGCCCTTGTCACATTCCAGCCATCCCACTTCGAGGAGGTGAAATTTGGTGCCGGGAGGGCAGACATTGGAAATAGCGTGGGGGACCGCGCCTTGGTCAAGCTGGGCCTGAATACCAGACATGATCGATTGTAGCATTGGGTCAGAGAAATACAAAAATACCAAAGAAGGTATTCGGAGAGAAGTACTCAAATTGGGATTATATCTAGGATGGCTTTGGGTAACCCCGCACGCACGGGCATTGCAGAAGAAGGTTGGGCAAAACATCATCAGTTCATGCCATCCCACCAAGAGGCGGGGTTGACTGTATTGGGGAAAGATGCGACGAATTGCAGCATAATGAAATTTGAGTGAGAACTGGGAACTTAGCGATTAATTGTGGGGTATAATGCAGACCGAGCAACCGAGCAACCCCGCCGGCTATTTAGCTATTAAGATACACCCATGCTGGATGTATACTTCAATACCTTAGCCATGATCGATAACCCCCTCTATCCTCTCTACACCTCCAAGCCAACTTGATTTCGCTTCCACACAATGCTTCACACACTTTCAGATCTCAAGAAAAAGGATCTCCTCCAGACTCAAGGCTTCGTCAGCCACCGATGGGTGGATTCGACCAGCGGATCGACCTTCGAGGTTCGCAACCCCGCCAGGTTGGAAATTCAGGGTTGTACTTGACACATCTACGAGGGGCAAATATTCTACAGTCAAGGACTGAGAGGGGCTTATCGCACATTGCATACGTTGAGTCCTTGCACCGCGCGGTCAAAATGAGCACGCATTACGGCCTGTGCTGGACCTTTCGAAATTGGGCAGCACGATGTAGCCTAACCGATTACTTTGTAGTTGATTGCTTTGTGGTTTACAACATCCGACCGCTATTTAACTCGGCGTTACTATCTATTTACCTGGAGAAATTGCTGTAAGATGTGCAGTTTCACGGCACGTGTCCACCATTGCGGCCACTATCGCAAGATTTCAAGCAAACATGCAGGAATGCCATACTGTATGGCTACCCCGACCCTTTGGCCTTGATAGAGGATATGCACGAGGCCAGGGATATGAGCACTGGATCTCAGACTTACGAGAATGACGTGACCACTTAAACCCCTCTTCTCCCACCCTTCTTCCACACTACCCTACGAACTTTCCCTCTACAGAAAGCCCCTAAACGTGAAGTCAGACATGTCCGTTGAATCAGCTAACATCAATATCGTTGTCGTAGACTCCGTGTCTCTACTTCAGTCGGTCATAGACGCAGCGGTTACAGGGCTACGAACCGACTCTCCCTCACTTTTTATCAATTTGGAGGGAATGAACCTCGGCCGATGCGGCTCGATTTCAATCATGTCGGTCTATGTGCCCAATAAAAGCATTGTATACCTCATCGACGTACACAAATTGGGAAACGAAGCATTTTCAACCGTCAATAGAGATGGCAAATCTCTCAAATATGTGCTAGAATGTCCGGCAATGCTGAATGTGCTATTTGATGCTCGGCGTGATTTAGATGCATTGTCCGCTCTTTTTGGACTCTCCGTTGACGGCATCAGAGATGTTCAATTGATGGAGCTGGGAACAAGAAAGGAATCGAAAGATTTCTTAGCTGGTCTAGACAAATGTGTCGTGAATGACAGTAATTTTCGGCAGCAGAGAAACAAGCATGGAGGCTTAACAAAGCTAATACTCGGCGACTGTTTGATCCTGCTTTAGGAGGGCGATACGACATATTTAACGAGCGCCCTATTCGACTGGATATCAAGAAATACTGCGCTGGAGACGTGACGAGGGCTATCTACACGCGGCCCTGGAGGCGGTGAATGATCTCACCAATCAGAAGGCAGGAACTCTGCCATTAAATGTTGATCCCTATCCACTCCGTGAGCCTTTGGAAAATATAGATCTATAACAGTCCTCTAGCCAAATTATGTGATACTGCAAGGGCTCTTACTGCCTTTCCAACCTTCGCAAAGTATTTGCAAAGGAATCCTATCTGGCAGGCCTAAGGCATCCGTCATGTGACAGCTAAGCGAGCTGGTCGCACCGCCGGCCAAGGCTGCGGCAGCCCCGCAAGATTAGACAGATTAGCAACAACACCACCTCAGGGCAATACACAGGCACCTTTGGTATTCGCGAAGGATATTTGTTTATCACACTATTCCACCCGCTAGCCCTAATAGATGCCCGGTTTTTGTAGAAAAAGAAGAATAACCATTGCTACCGCTGCATTTCATTGCCACACAGTTCACAGCCCTCCCGTGCGTGGATGTGGTATAGAGGCTGGGGGTTCGGTGCTTCGAATGCAGATTCAATTGTCGGCAGAAATTCCAGTGCGCCATAGCGCCTCACATTTGCCCCAGTCCGCCAGGCTTCGAAAACTTCGTCAGCAGACGTCTGCAGGGCGTCTGAGCAGCGCTGGCGATTTTCATGGTTTGCCGGCTCCAAGAAACTATTATCTCCGTACATTCTCCATGATTGTTGGCAGGGGCCGGCAGTGGACACCACAAGACCGTTTGCGCCGTCTTCATCGTGCATAACCTAATAAAAACGTGTCAACCAGGGACCCCAACATTCAATGACTCGCGACATTTCTTTGCCGCAACACCAGAGCGGTTTTACCTGGGCCTTATGATCTATACCATATTCATCGGCCGCGTGCAACGCCCGCCGCGGAGTTCGCACATGGCCCGCTGAGAAAGAATCTTGCAGGAAGTGATCGGCGAAAGCGTTCTTCGCATATGCCGTCATAAGGTCGCCGGTCTGATAGGCGTGGGCGACCGCCGCATCATGTCCGACTCGGTATACAAGACGGGCATCCGCGCCGAAGTGGTCCCAGTCAACCGCAGCGAGGTTCACATATGTTGGAAGCCCTAGATCCTTGCGCGCACCTGTTACCCCTTGAAACTTGAAGTTCCACATTTGGTCATCCACATATACAGCCTTATAAGCGTTCGCTGGGGATTCCCCGTCTTTGATCCGTTGCTCAACAGCTGCTTTCTGGTCGTAAATAATGGCGAGTATATTATTCGCCTCGACTTTTCGGGAATCGCCTCCAAGCGCCAATGTTTCCCAGGCGCGGTTAAAGCAATTTGTTCGTTCATAAGGCTCATCTGGATCGCTAATCGGCTCCCAAGTCCCGTAGAAATCCCCGGCCAAGGCGTTGATCTCCCCGTACGTTAGCTTCAAGCCGTTGGGGAGTGCAAAGCGCACGTCCCTGGCTAGTTTGGTCCCTTCGGCCACTTTCAACTTGAGAGCGTCGCCTAAAAAAATATGATCGGGTGATTGCCACTCTATCTTCAGGTCAGTGCGCAAGTTCGAGCGATAGACAAGCTAGGTAAGTAAAGTATAAGTACCGGGACGGGGCGGTATCAAGCGGCCAGCACCATGCGGGATTTTGTGTACTTTTTGCATGCTGGGATCCGGGAAACACTTATGTTTCTATTTTGCAAGGTATGCCATATATGGTTTACTAGCCATTGGAAATGATTAGACTTCTTATATATTAGCAGAACGGCCTCTCGAACTGGATCTTGGAATTCCATCTCAAAAATATGAGCATCATAGTGGATAATGTCTACACGTCATCGCCGTGGCTTACTGAAATGGGTCAGTTACATCTTCATCTATTCCCTGGGTTCTCTTGCGTCATGATATGGAAGCTTGCTAGAACCTCCGCGCGATTGTTGGGGTGCTGGGGAAGGAGACCAAATTGATCAAGGCAAGTAAAAACAAGAGTTGACATATTTTAACACCACCATGGGTCAAGCTATCCTCTGTAATTACATAGCTATGGCTCTCGCGTGTCACACCTCCGGCATATCAACGAATGTTAGTCCGCCACGCGTCTCTCTATGCAGCTGACGTGCCCCAGCCCAAAGATGGCGGATATAAGGCGACTCTTAGGCCAGGTAGGTCAGTGATTCGTCATTGTAAGAGTTCACAATAACTAGATCAAACACATGTTGCAGCCTGTTCCCGGATGCTGGAGATGTTACATAGCACTTTAGCTCACACATTCCTGCCTCTGCGTTGTGCGCGGACTATGAAGGGATAAAGGGGGCTATGCAGGGCCTCACATATCAGTATCCGACACCGACAAGCTCCGTTTGCAAATGCTTCTTAGAACGGTTACGATACGTGGCGTAATTCGTGTTTATGTCATCGACTCTGGATGATTGCTGGTCTTCCCAGAACTCGGGCTGTCAAGTTTCTGTGTTATCAATTTGTATCTGTAAGCTTAGAGGAGGATTTTCAATTGGAGCATACTACGCTAAAGTTAGATCAGAATTAGGCTAGGATTTGGTTAGAATTCGAGGAGACTCTTGTAATCACTGGCATTTCATCATTAAGTGAAATGTAGCCAAACTCCGTATCAGCGCACTGCATGGAGAATGGATACCTTGGCTTCCCTTGGGACGAGTATGTCAAGCATACAGTATCTTCCACATGCGGAGTGAGTTGTCATAATCTGATCACTGATTCCGAAGAGGTAGAGCCACCAATCTCATGATAGCTCATCCTGCGCCCCAGTACGTAATGGGTTGATTCTCTAGATACTCGATATTATAACGGGTTTGACCACATGGGATAGCATACTCCGATCACGCTTGCGAAAGGAATGTCTAGCGATGAAGGATTTGTCACGTGAACTTCTTTTGACTTCTGCCATGGCTAACATTGACTGGTGGTCAAGTGAGCCAACTGGTATGCAGTCGAGTATGAAAACTGTTACCGGTGCAGGCAGATCAAAAAAAGATTGAAGATAGTTGGATTGATCATCGCAATGAGATGGTTAAGGGCCACGCAGAAGTCATTATCTCTCGAGATAAACTGCAGATCACTGGGTTGAATCTCTCTCATCTGGTTTGCACTACCTGTCAATTCATAGGTCCACTGTTTTCCTGCCGGACATTGCTTCGAGCGGAGGGATACAACCTTTACACACCTCTCATGTTTGCAAGACACTGTACATGGTGTCAGCGGCAGAAGCCGGTAAGCCATCCGGTACCAGAATATTTCTGCCTGATTATGCCTGATTTCTGCTTAATTTAGCCTAGTTTCTGCCTGATTCTGCCTGATTCAGGTATAACGGTTAACCGCGGTTAACCGTTATACCTGCGGTTAATCTGATTTTTATACCTTAACCTGACCGCCAGGTTAAGGTCAGGTTAAGGTTAAGGTATAACGGTCAGGTTAAGCCACTCTATTCCCGCCTATCAAAATTAGAGTGGCTTAACCTGACCTTGACCTAGTGGTCAGGTTAAGGTATAAAAATCAGATTAACCACAGGTATAACAGTTAACTGCAGTTAACTGTTATACCTGAATTAGACAGAATTAAGCAGAATCAGGTAGAAATTAAGCTAAAATAGACAGAAATAAAATTGGAATATTCTATTATTTTATACTATTTTTCTAAATGAATTTAATTACTAAGAAATTTAATCGATAGGTTAACTATTAATTAATTTAGATAAAAATACATATTTCTTATATTTAACTATTAGTCTACAGTCAGGTATAAAAATTTTAATTAATCTAACCTAACCTAACCATTAGCTACTCTAATCAAAATCCTCTATCTATATAGACAAATTTTAAGATAAATACTCGGCAACGGTGTGTTTTCTAATCGAAGGAAGAACTCGCCGACAGACTTGATACCTGACGTCAGAGGTTACGGGCATACACCTTTGGACGAATATACCACTTGGGGGCCGGGGCTTGTTGGCTCAGAAATTCATCATAAAATAATAGAGTATGACGTTGGCGGTCTGCACTATCCCGTTCGCTTTGAAGCAGACGGCTACATCCCAGACAATAAATCAGAGGCGAGCCATGAGAATACCAACAGAACGTGGAGTGAAGTGGTTGCAGGTGGTGTTAACAGCCTCATTGAGAGTTTTCGGGGAAATCACAGTCCTGATCTTGAAAAGCCGCTGGCAAATCTCCAAGTCCGAGAAGGGGGACGACCAATCCCTCAGAATAGCATCATCGATATCAAAACCCGATCCATGTTTGATTTCAAGACTCGGATGGTCAAGAAGAAATAAATATGACAGATTTGACCCCTCGGCTCTGGGTGACCCAGATCCCGACTCTTATCGTGGCATACCACGACACGGGTTTATTCGAAGACATCCGCGTACAGGACATGAGAGGCCAAACTAGGCAGTGGAAGGGGGAAAATGAATAATTGCTGCGACGGCTGACATGGCTGATTCATTAGCTTGTTCACTATGCAAAGAGCTCCAACACCAGGCTTGAGGTGTGCCGCAGTGGTGATGGGCCTATTCGGATCCGCCGACTGAGTGGGAATGCCCCGATGGCTTTCTCTTCGGAGCGGAGAGTCAGATTGGCTGGAGGACACAGCCCTGGATCGTCAGGTCATGAGTATCAAAGCTGTTCCTCGTACGACGACGATATCATTCGTGCACAAGATGATTCTTATCCTTAGAAGCCAGTGCCTCGCGGAAGAATGGAAGGATTATCTGCTGTGATCTGTGAAAGACTGTAGCTATACTGGCCGTTGTCGATATCAATGTGGCAATGGGATTTGATTACCAATGGTCCGGCTTCGCGATCTTGATTCTCCTTTGCCTTCTTATAATTCCATTTTCTATGTACACTACTTCCGAGCAGATCCACCGTCCTAAGACCAAAGTGATTGAATTTATAAGATTGCAAAAGGCCGCGAGCTGAGGAGCGCATCGGCTTGGATCAGTGCTGTCAGCACTGATGGGGCCTCGGCAAGCTGGATATGCACACAACCAATGTGAGAGGCAAAGAACATATCCTACGGCGATTCTATCGATGAAATAAGGCTACTCAGGAGATGGCTTCGGAACCTGAGATGTTGATTCCTTGGTGTTGATGTGTTGGTGCTAACTGACTTCTCTGTGTTGGGGAAACTCGCTTATAGGCCCAAGTCACGTGGCCAGATTACTCGGGCGCTGATAGATTCATCCTCCGGATCGTGCTCAACGAAGCAATGGAACTCCCTACCTAGTAGGTTCGCATGTGCTCGTGCGGCTTGATATAGCAAGGCAAATTTGCCCATATGGCCTGTTATGGGTGAGGATAGAGGGTGGCAATCCTCCGCTCGAATGTCCTGGAGCCATGTATCAATACGTCTAACATGTGGTAAGGGAATTTCGTTCCACCCCATCATTCCACCGTGCGTCCTCTAAAGGAAGCAGATGGAAGCATGCTCGACCCTTCAAAATCGACGTCAATATTTTTGACGCATGGTACAATGCGACGCGCAATCTTGGCGTGCTGGCAGGGGGTATGGCGGCGATGAGCTTGATTGTAAGTAAGGCGCCTGACTCACAATTATCACTTCGAGCACGGTGAAAACGAGCATAGCATTCCCTACGCCCCTTCTACGTTTGCCAAGTTACATCTGCGTAACGAGATCGATCATCGCTTAGGCGCCCGAGTGCATGCCACGAATCCCCACGCAGAAAGTATTCTACCGACCTTTCCCATCTCAGTGGCTCGGAGTTGATAGCCCAAATCATGAGCAACGTGCACATTGTTCGCATCACCGAATTCTGTGATCAAGGGGCGGCCACAGCCGTGATTGCGGGCCTCAGCCAGGATTGGAAGGACAAGGGAGGAAGGTACTGTACATGTCTAGACAGTCTCGCAGAGGACTCCAAATGCGAGGATGATAACAATGTGGGGAGGGATGGTTCATGTTCCGCAGACCTGCAACCCTGAAGACGAAGAGAGATTGTGGCAGAATCGCTCAAAATGGTCAGCGTGAATGACATTGAGCTAATCGGGGATTGTGATTGCGACAATCTCCTGACCTGTCAGTTTGCCCCACTGTATACCAGAGCGACATACCGTGTTTATGGACAATAAAGAAGTCGTTCTTATTTGAGAACTAGACAGAACATTCTACAGACGCGAACATATCAATTCACCGTAATTGAGTCACTCCTCCTCTTCGTGTACCCATCCCAATATTCTCTTCGCTTTATCGGTGGTGAAGAAAGACTGGTTTCCTGAAAAGCCACCCCGAATTTCCGTGTCGGGATAATACTGCTTCGCCAGCTCTTGAGACGGGGTATCCTGCGTCGTTGTCGGCGCCACGATATTGAAGACTTCGCAGCCCTTCAGGATATCACTCTTTTCCACGGACAACAGACACGCTCTCGCGGTCGCCGTGGGACTAACCCAGCCCCACAGACTCTTCACCGCCGAGGTGTCCCAGTTCTCCTTATGTCCCTGTTGCGCCTCCGCTCGAGACGAGACAGCGTGAATCCGCATGCAGGCGATGTTCGTCCCAGGATACCATCGGGCGAAAGCCCTAGCCTGCAACTCCGCTTCTTCCTTAGCCAGCGCATAGGCGTCTGTCGGACGGGATGGAATCTCCTCATCGACGGGGAAGTAGTCAAACTGTAGGGGTCGGTTGGCGTATTCGAGGCCGATCGCATTGACCGACGAGGCGTAGCAGATGCGTTTGATTCCTAGCTCAGTGGCAGCGCGAAATCCATTGAATGCCGAATTGACATTATTGTTATGCACAAGATCATCGCCTTTGTCCACTGGGTCGGGAATCGCGGCCAGGTGGATGACGGCGTCGCAGCCCTGGAAGGCCTTGAGTGTAGCTGCGTAGTCGTTGGCCGTATCAGCGGTTTTCATCTCCGAGTTGGGGGTGCCATCGTACTCGGTGTCGGTGCGGTCGACCTGAACGGTGGAGTGACCGGCCTTCGAAGCCGTCTTGACGACCTCGCGCCCGACCGTGCCTCGAGCACCCGTGATGGCAATTCTCATGTTGACGGGACTAACGTAGGAGAGAGCTCGGTGATAGGATTGACGAAGATGATAGCTAGTTCGAGCAGAAATGGGATAAAGGCAGGCGAGTCGGAGAGAATAGAGGGAGATCTGGCGTTCCATGGAGGGTTAGGGGTCGCTGGAGAATTTTGAAGCCGAAATATCGCGGAGGGGATATCAAGGAACATCATAAGCACGACTCAGTGCCATGACGCGTGTATGATGATAGCAGAAAGAGACAGACAGGCCTTGGCCCAATCGCGAGAGAGTGAGAGAATGGAAAGGCATCTAGTCTCCCAGCAAGCAGGCATGACGACAAGATGATTATCGCGACAGCGTGTGGGTGTTGTGGAGTGAAGTGGTTGTTACGGAATTTGGAAACGTGACATCACTGATCTGTCATCAGTGCATTGCTGACACATGTGCATAACTAAAACAGTCTTATGCACGCAGGCAGGGATTTACTATAATCGAGGAATCAGCGGAAATAGTGACAGTTTACTGTAGTTGCATATGGTACGTTAATCGAATATCATTTAGCCTAGTTAGTCCGTCCAGAAACCACCAAATACCAGCTGACAAGAAAGACCCTAAAGTACGGCCCCGAAACAAGTCATTGGCAGACGGCGGCCCTAATCTGGATCTAGTGTAGATCTTTCTCGTCTTGCCTCTGCCTAATCTAAGATCCAAAACGCTTAATCTCGCTTGAAACGGTTGTATGTTAGCTTGGCATTAGCTTGAAGTTTGGAGACTCGCCTGATCTGCGTCATTTTCGTGACTGGTCGACGGATGGTCGTTGAAATGGGTTCCGAGACATACCACGTTGTTATGAATTAAAAAGACTATGGTTTTAATCTGCCTCACTGACCAAAGAGAGAAAGAACAATCGACTAGTCCAGCTAGTACATCTCTTTCCCACATTCTGCTATCATCAATGAGGGCTGTCCCGACTCTGTTCGCAATGGAATATGCTCTGTATCCAGCCTTCCTGTTGACAATTTTCCGGACATTCTTCAATACGTTCATATATCCCTCAGGCGACGACCCTCTGTTGAAAAGAGCATAACCTGTTGCAGAGTGAACCTATGCGACGAAGCAATGCTATCTTGTTGATACCAATCGCTATAGGCATGATTCTTAACCTTCCGGTATTTCTGACACGTAGCATGTCACTTATTTCCTCCTCTAACGGTAGAAAGATACGATACATAATTGGCCATATTGTCATGTCCCTGCTGATAATCGAGACTGATGTGGGGCAAGACGAGTTGACTGGAGTGGTGGGCAAAAAGCAGGTTGCTTCTTCTCGAAGACTCTTCGAAACGCTGTTTTTTCTCTACTGTTGAGGTGGCTTCGCTGTCTCTTTGAACGGAATTGGCCATGGGGGAGTTACTGGGCCGCTCGCTCTTTCCTGATGCAATTGTTAGCACTTCTCGCTCCGCGCCACCGAGCCATAATCGCACTTGGTTCTATTCTCTCGTCTGGTCTACTGGCAGAGCGTCATTTCTTCTGGACAGCGCGTACCATTCTCTCTAGAAGCCAGAGCAGCCATGTCAGCAAATCCTGCCGGCTAAATCGATGGAGATCTCTGGCTATCCCAACCTTGATCTATACCTGCAGCGAGACGTTGATGGCTCATCTGCCTGCTATCATGGAAGACTTTGCCGGTATACTAAATGGTGATATCACGACAAAGACAAAGACATATCGTTTTGTGGGACATCATCGGTTGTGCTTTCATGCTAGCTTGTCATCCCTTGCTCCTCCTGCCGTCTGATATTATCTTGGTTTCAGTTGGGGTCAGCCTTCTTCCTCCCACCTACGAGACTATTGTGTCAACGACCAAGAGAAAGCATGGTATACGCCTTGGGAGATCTTTCCGACGGTTGATGTACCGTGAAGGACAAAACAGGCATGGTACAGGGAGACTGCCATGCTATCTTGAACTCCATGCGAAGATGTGTTTGTGTCTACTACTTGTGGATGCTGGTGTTCATTGCGCCATATATTGATTGCACTAGTGGGTAGAGAGAACGCTATAGCGGACAACAATCTAATCTGCAGCAAAATATGATTCTTTCACACGAAGGATCAGCACTAGATCGTGTCGGGCTGCAATTACGGACTGAGGATTATCCTTTTCGGGTGATTAGTGATCCTTTCCGATCCAGGATGTGACCTTGCGTGATTGATACGAGTGGTGATTATACAGATTAGTGATCCTCCGCCACCCCATTTCTGCTTACTATAGCTTTCTAGATTAGCCTGACCCACAAGCATGGAGAGTCCCGTGGTGGTATAAAGCTCTACTTGTTAAGTTTGTCAATCGAACAGGGTAGTTCCACTTTTATTTTCAATTCCCTTCATACTTCTAAGTTTGCGCACAACTAGTAGCCCGAGACTACAGAAATGAGTGAACAGAGCTACAAGAATATTATCCTTGTTGGTGTACGTCTTCCAATCCACGGCATCTGCTCTTGACTAACGAGTTCAAACAGGGAGGAGGCTCATTGGGTAGTGTCCTTCTAAAGTCCCTGCTGTCCGAACCCACATTCAATGTTACGGTCCTCACCCGGGAATCGTCCAAAGCCCGTGCCAGTATTCCCTCTACAGCAACGATCATCACCATCGCGGATTCATATCCGCCGGAAGATCTGGTTAAGGCTTTCCAAGGCCAGGATGCTGTCGTGAACGCGACCACTAGTTTCTCTGTGGCAGAGCAGCTGAAGTTCATTGATGCTGCTATCGCTGCCAGGGTCAAACGATTCGTGCCCTCCGAGTATGGGCTAGACAATAACACGCCAGCGGCCCAGGAGCTGTCCCGCGTCTTCAAAGACAAGGGACAAGTGCAAGCGTATCTACGGACAAAAGAGTCTAGTGGACTGACATGGACGTCCATTGCCTGTGGCATGTGGATCGGCTGGTATGCCATTTACCCCCCAGTCCGCTCCCTCAGACCTCTGCATCCATGATTAAACAGATCATGACTAAATTGCCGGCTTTGGCAGGTCTCTCCGCAATAACTTTCTGGGTCTGGACTACCCCAACCGAACTATCACCTTCACCGATGAAGGAACCGGCAAATTCTCCACGACCACTCTCAACAATACGGCCCTGGCCCTGAACCGAATCCTTTTAAACCCGACCTCCACAGCTAATCAAATTGTCTTTACCAGCGACTTTGCAACCTCTCAGCAGGAACTCGTCAAGACTATTGAGCGTCTGACCGGGGAGCAATGGCAGCGGAAGTCTATTCAGACCAAGGAGCTAATCCCAACCCTCCAGGCGGCTTGGGAGCAAGGCGATGCTTCTGCTGGGTATGGCTTGATCAACATCGGCTTTACTCAGGGAAAATACAGTGGTCACTTCGAACCTGTTCACCCGGTGCGCAATCAAGAGCTCGGGTTACCGGCAAATGGCTTGGAGGATGTGATCAGGGAAGCGCTGGCGGAGGTCGGACATCCTGGATTCTGATGGTACTCATGAGCCAAGTCCTTAGACGAAGGCAGCCGCTGCTGATACTATCTCTCAAATTGAGATGAACTCTGACAATCGTGCTTCGCTTGTTGTGCTGCTTCTACATGAGGGAACTGAATTCATCATATCTGCTGTTTCTTCGCCTGAAGCTTTGTACATGAGTAGACAGATGTATTCCATGTAAGGACTCAACGTGAGAATAAACATGCAAACTCATTGACACGCCGCTTGAGCTTACACAAGAGGAGACGTGTCGGGTGAGCCAACCCACATGGGCAGGTGGCCGGACCGGCTTCGAGGAATGAATAGAAGAAGACTATTGTTGGCTCGCTTCCTTGGAATTCCAGAAAGAAAGAGTAAAGCAGGTGCATTCTCAGCTGACCACCAAGTCGTAAAGGGTGCCAGACTCCCAATAATCCTAATATCGAGCGGGATTTGCGGGCTGATCGTTGAGTGGAGATGTTTTACATGGTCCAAGTCACGATGCGTCTTGCAACCAATTGTCAAGTCAGTAATTGACATGCTCCGGCCCCAATCTATTTGACCGCTTGGGTTCGTCATTTATCCGGTCGGTGGCGGCAGGATACTGAAATGATTGTATGCTGGAACCAGAAGCAATTTTTCTCAGTGTGTGCACTATAAACCTGCTTTAACCGGACACTTAAAGATCCCGTTGCAAATCAGGATTAGTGCAACATAAGACAGCTTGACCGAGTAAGCTTGAATGCATATCAGACAGAAAGAAATCGGGGTAATCCTCCTTGATTGTTCAAGCGTGACCCCGCAGAATCCTGGAGCAAGCTTTTTGATTTCGTCGGATATATTAACCTTGTCTCTCGTCCCAACAACCATTGCTGTCTTTGAATCAAGAAACAGGTATTGGAAATCACTTCGCCGCTGGATTGGCTGTATCTTCGCCAGGCGCTTCTTGCAATAAAATGCAATCTTCGGTTGTGATCGCGCTGGCATCTTTGGCCGTATTTGCGCCAGTAGGTGCCAGAACAAAGTATGTTGTTAGCTTCGGCGACTCATACACATCGACAACATTTGATCTCACCGGCACAAAGCCCTCGGCTGCTAACCCGCTCGGAAATCCTCCATATCCGGGGTGGACATCATCGGGAGGAACAAACTGGGTTTCCGACATTGTCGCCAAGTACAATAATTCCCTTCTGCTTAGCTATAATCTGGCCTCGGGTGGAGCGACAGTCAATGCCTCGCTGGTGGCCCCGTATCTCCCAACTGTGCACTCAATTATCGACCAGGTAGCCGACTTCCAGGAGTACCTGTTCCCACCGCCTTCTTGGGCACCATGGACTGCGCAGGACACGCTCTTCGCGGTTTGGATGTAAGCAAGAATATTCACTCATGAGTCCTTGAACTACACGCTGGCACACTTACTAATCTTAACTGGGACAGAGGAGTCAACGATGTGGCTGGTTCATGGTACCAAACCAGCGCGTCTACCCTCGAGGAGGAGATTTTGAATCAGCTTTTCAACGAGATTGAGCTTTTATACCAAGACGGGGCTCGTAACTTTGGCCTCCTGACCGTACCGCGTAGGTTCTCCGTGATACTATCGCAAGAGTAACTACTGAGGCTCTGTTGTACAGCAATCGAACGAACACCTAACATCATGCAAGCGGCCAATGCAAATGACACTGTTCCTCGTGTGAAGGCTGCCGTCGAGCACTGGAACACAATTCTCAAGGAAAAGGCGGAAGCTCTCAATCGTAAATATTCCGATGTCACCGTCAAGGTGATTGACACCCAACCTGTATTCAACGGGCTCCTTGACAGCGGCGGAGCGGCTGCTGAGTGCTGGAACTCGGATGGGGTGACTTGTCTGTGGTTCAATGACTTTCACCCTGGCATTGTGATTCAGAATGCTGTTGCTCAGGCGGTCGCGACAGCGTGGAAGGGAAATTTCTTTTTATGAGATGATTTAAATTCTATCGTAAACTGGAAGTCTTCTTCTAATATATCGGACTGATCTGGGTTGATACATCATCTCGCCCATTCCGCATGGTAGGCGACGGCACCACTCGCTCTGACTGCCAGCCTGGCCACATTGAAGCTGACCATGAGATGCTGAATAATGTGATTATGAAAATGAGTTTAGCCTACAGATGATCCTTGTCTTCTCTCCTCCCCATCCCAGTAACGTCAGCTGGTCTTGTTTTGGGGTTAGAATCCTGTGGAAGCCCGATTACTAATTCACTGCCCCTTTTCTTTGCTCACCACCACCACACAACCGTTACAAATCAGTCAGCCTATAACTCAATATAAATCTCCAGAAACGCTGCCAACAATCATCGTGGATTTCAAGCACGCAATCCATTCTTTATTTGAGCTTTAAAGTCAAGTCAAGATGACTTCCTCGGTGTATACCATCGCCATCCCTACTTTTATCCATGGCCTCGAGACCCTGTCCCACATTCTAAAGAAGGGCGAGGAGTATGCCACCCAACACAGCATTCCCCTCGACGACCTCCTCCATGCCAGTCTTCACGAAAGTATGAAGTCACTATCGTTCCAGGTCTTCGTAACAGAGTTCAACATACGCAAGACCATCAACCGGGCCCAGCTGGTCGAGCCTCCCACCCCGCAGCCCGAGGACCAGACCTACCAGGAGCTCTACATCCGCATCGACAAAGCCCTCGCCGATCTTAAAAAGATCACTCCGAGTGTTTTCGCCGGGAAAGAGCAAACATCATTCAAGGCTCCTATCGGTGACCAAGAGGTGGAATTCACTCCCGAATCCTATGTCCTCAATTTCGGCCTGCCCAACGTGTATTTCCACATCGTGACCGCCTATTCCATTCTGCGCGCGCAGGGTGTTCCCCTTGGCAAATTGGATTATCTGCAGAATTTCCTCGCCTGAATGGATGGAAACTTAGCTTTATGGTTTGAATGTGACCAGCCATTCGCGGAAAGATGAACGAAGGTGTATGTGTGCATGAACATCTAGCTTACCTGGGCCTACTTTCACCGGGTCGAGGACTCAGCGTAGCTGATCAGCATCCAGTGGGAAGGCTAGATGGCAACAGAAGGGTGAAGAAGGAATCTTGATTGTGTATACTTTTGTGTATATATTCTGTCAGCGTTATGTTCATTCTTTCCCAGCATGTGATTCTCGATGTACAGCTGGCTCCATTCAATACTTTGTCCACCTATCAATCAGCTGAATGCGGCTTAGTCTTTCTTCTTTGGTTGGTCATCAGCAACCGGACATATGGTACCCATGCCTCGCGTTCCGATGCTTTATGTAGAGCACAGCTCGTCTTAAGTTTTCGAGCTCTGATTGATCCTCTGCAGCGCCTGGTTCTCCTTTCCGCGTGTCCCTGACAACATAGATCAGTTGATGGACACGGGTAGTCCGTTGTCCCATCCCGCACGTAAAATGATTGAGATGATCTGAAACGGTATGCACAGCCGAGAAACAACGGTAAGCTTCAGCTTCAGCTGAGGCCCTTAATAAGCTCAGGTGCCCTATTCCGGCGTCTTACAACTTACCCTCAAATCTCTACCCAAATTCCAGGAATGTCGATGTTCGCCAGATCAGTCGAATGAACGGAGATGATTAGGGTGCAGGGAAAGCTTGCTTCAGCGCCGCCAGAAGCTCATTAGGTCAAAACCAGATACCTTATGTAGGGTTCGTTCTTTTCCAGCTCGGCTTACTGATCTGCATCAGACTCTGGGAGTCTGGGGCTCTACCGATGCGACTTCGGCTTAGACTATGCTTGAGTCTGCAGAGTCCAAGGGTGATTGAGCACCTATCCTGTGGGTCCACGATGCGATTGTCAGCTTCTGGATAGGACCCCATAAATTTGATATACTTTGAACAAGGAGGTACATATAGTAGAGGATATGGATAAATTGGACGCCGCCGGTCTCTAGGACCTCGTGCTGTTACATATACAACCTTAAGTTCAAAATCATCATACATCGTGATGAGATCCTGAGGATGAAAGCCAGCAGCATGCGACTAATAAGCGAAACCTTCAAGGCCTCATGACTTCTCGGTACCAGATCCTTCCGGGTGGGGCTGTTGGTTTGGATTTCCTGTACCCATTCCTGCGAAAGGGGGCAGCTGGCTCGGAAGCATGGCCTGTTGCCACATTGCTGGATTCATATTCTGCCACATTTGTGCCACTTGCTGTGGTTGCTGTTGAGATGGGGGCATACCACCCTGCTGATGCCCAAATCCAAAACCGGCCTGCGTCTGTGCCAAGACTGCCGGAGGCCATCCTTGAGAAAGTGCTTGTGGATAGCCAGGCATTTGGGAAGGATATCCCGAAAGATGAGATGCAGCTGAGGTTTGGGTTGCTGGTCTGTACTCTGGCGTTGCAGTAGTGGCGGCTTCAAATGGAGATACAGGCGTCGGGGAAGTGCTCGTCGTGAGGTTTTGGGACAAGCCAGATGGCGAGAGCAGGCCAGGCGTAGTAGTCTCCGGCTTGAAAGAGTCTTTGCCCAGGGCAAATGCATCTCCATCACCATCAATATCCGATTGATCTTCATCATCGTCCGTGAAGTTCATTTCCTTGCCATCTGACTCCCTGGCGCGGACCCCTCGTCGCTGGGCTAGTCTGTCTTGGTCGACCTTGTATAGCTTCTTCAAATACTGCATGAACTCGAGATAAGCCTTCGAAACAGTCTCAAGATGCGTGATACTGAGTGTGACCTCCGCAGTAGGATCGATGATCTTCTCGTGACTGCCACCCCCAGCTTCGAATTCCGCCAAGGCCAGTGCGGTCTGGCACGCATTGCGAATCTGTCGTCCATTCCATCGCATTTTCTTGTGAGTCTTCCAGTACTTCTCGACATACGCTAGAATGCTATCTTGGTCGACGGTAATGTTCCGCTTCTTTTCCGTGAATCGCTGCCGGATGAGCCGCATGTTTAACAAGAAGATCTCCTTCGTAGCTGATAGCGTCAATTGGGGGTATTGTAGACTGATATGGATGCGTGATCCGAAAGCCTCATCGAAGTCTCCAATGCGATTGGTAGTAAGAAAGAGGATTCCGGCATAGTACTCGAGCACTCGTAGGAAGACTTGAAGAATGTGTCAGTCCCAGATTCCAGTCTGGACGTTCAAGAAGCTTCTGGCATACCAGACACCAACCCATTTCGCTTGAAATCCTGGGGTATTCTTTTAGCTAGGAAAACGTCGGCCTCATCTAGTAGGAGAATACAACCCCACCGGTGAGCCAAGGCAAAGTTCGTCTCAAGGGCATGCTCCACGCTTTGGGCTGTGGTTCCCAGGTCACCTTGTGTGAACGCCAGCTAGCGACAAGAGAAGAATGATTAGAAGGCCTCACCGCAAGTTATTTGGAAAAGTGGTTTCTCGAATAACTCCGCCACACCCTCTAACTTGAGAGTTAGCCAGGCTCAACTGCAACGGCCCTCATTATCATTGCCCACCTGCTGTTGTAGTTTTACCTACGCCGGGCGCGCCGCGAAGGAGAATGATGAGTCCCTTGCCTAGACAAGCAATAGTCAGCATTGAGACTTTTAGGGTATATCAACGGCAAGAGGCAATACCTTTCCCGCGCACAATATCCACCTGCTCGTTCGCAGCAGAGGGAGATTCCTTGTCTCGGTAGTGTTGGGCAACGAGAGACAACAGAATCTTCTTGTGGCCTTCCTCCAACACCAGCTGATCAAAAGCTGTTTCTCGAACTTGCGACTTGCCTGTGTTCTCGCCCTGACCTTCCACCCGAATGCCTCGAATGTAACTCAGGTGAGTGAGATCGAGCTTTTCTGAAAGACATCGTGTGTTAGCGAGTGCTGTGCTACTTTAATTATACTATCCAGAGGGCGAGCCTGGCCTTACCCCACTTACGACTTCGAAGACAAAACCCGAAGACGCGATAACTCATGATCACATAATCGTCGTCAGAAAGGGCATCGTCGGATGATCGAGAATCCTTCACACGGTGATGGATAGCCGCCGACGGCTGCTGGGAGAGCTCCTCCGGAATCAGAGTGTTGCGATAGTGTTTGTTTCGCTTTTGCTCGGCATACATGTCCTTGTGGACGCGTTCTCTGGCGCAGCACGCGGCCGTGCAGTCAGACTCTGATAGTTCTGGGTGCTCGACGCTGATTAAACTCCCTATCTTCGGTCGCCACATTCTCTCCACCTCTTCTTCTGCGCCATCCTCCCCGACATTGTTCTCTAACTCAGCTGGTTGCTTCGCCTTATCCTCGCTTTCAAAGGCCTTTTCGAAATCAATCACTACTTGTCCGTCTACTTCGTCACGAGTTTCTAGCGTCAGCCCACTGTAGTGCATGTGCTTCTTGGCTAGAACATCGATAAACATCTTGCATCGGGCGATGAGCTTCTGGCGAACATCAACCGTGGTCATCAGATCCCCTGCCCAGGTTCCTGCCAGTCGTAAGGGGAAGATACGAAGCGAGGTGATCGTCTTCTCGCCGTCAAACCGGGCGATGCGGAACGTCTGCAGTACTGGCCCTAGGTATTTCCCGTCAAAGTCAATATGCACGCAGTGGAGCATCACCGTTTGCTCATCCTTGGTGGAAGTCTCCCAGTTTCTGTACGGTGACATCACCTTATGAGGCGAGCTGGTGACCCCGATGATACGATATGCTTGCTTTCCGCCCTGGTCTACAACTTCATCTCTTGGGCGGAATAAATACCAGACATCAGCAAAGGACACCCTGTGGCACTGATCACTGCGGACGTAGTCCATCTTGGCCTTGATGTCTGTATCAAGGAATTCCACCAACACTTGTAACTGCTCGAGTGCAGTTTTCGAGGATGTGAATTCGTTTTACAAGACCTCATTCACGGGGTTACCCTGTTCTCCCTCGCCTTCGCGATTGTCTTCCGATCGTTCATCGTTGGCTGGATCGTGGCGATTTTCTTCTCCCGTCCTTTGTCCTTCGTTCTCGTCTTCTTGCTGCGTCACGGGTGAGTCAGGGTTTGCTCCACGGTGCTTCTCCACGAGCACCTGGTGGATTTGACGGATCTGGTCCTCAAAATACACCAGAGCTTTGAAAGGTCGAATCATGACTAGTGAATCCTCATCATCGGTGAAGCTGTCGGGCTCCAGTTTCTGAAGAATCTTGAGGATTTGACGGGAGTTGATCCGGATACGCTCTGGCATGGGTCCTTGACCCGGCGGAGACAGTCTCTTCTTTGCCACTGGGGCTTTTTCTTTCCTCGGAGACACTCTTCTTCATCGCCCACCACGGCCGGTAGTAGGACATAAAGCTGATTACTGGCTCTCCCTCCAACACGTCCATTGTGAAGGTCTCTTTCATTTGGTGATAGGATGCGGAGAACGACGCCCATTCCACGCGATTGAGTTGAGGTGTGGGCCATTCTTGGGACTTTGTAGACGACTCAGCATCATCTTCTGTATCGTTCTCGGTCGCTTTGTTGTCCTCCGTTGCCTTGAAGTGTTTGGAAGTCTTCGCAGAGAGTAGGCTCGGGTCCCACTGACCGATTTGGGCTTCCATCATTTTCAACCGTTCTGTCAGTTGAGCGTTCTCGGTTTTCAGGTCTTCTTTCTCCTTCACCATTGTTGTGTAAGCTTCATCCTCGTTCTTCAGCCACTTCAGCTCGGCTTCGACCACCCCCGTCATCACCCTCTTCCGCTCATGAACCTGAGTCATGTCGGTCGTGATGGGGTCGGTCACCCTGCCCATATAGTATGTTTTGCTGCTCTGATCGGCATAGGTCTCTGGTCTGAACATATCCCACTCATATAACCATGGCCGACTCCATGAAGGGCCCATGCCACTCTGTCCCATCGCTCGCTCGGTCATCATCCGTTGCGCTCTTTCGGTCCCCAGCTGTTCTTGGATTATCTTGATTTGCTTGTGCAAGTCGGCCACGGCTGTATGGATTGCGGGTTGCTCTTCTTGCCTACCCGAAATCGGCTCGCCATTTGGTGATAAATCAGGTGTCCCCAAGGAAGCATCACTAGCCACCGTATCATTGCCACCACTCCCGTCGCTTGAGTCAGGTGCTGCAGGGGAGTGAGTATTGCATGGTGGCAGATCCACTGCGACCGGAATTTCGCCGACCATGTCGCAAATCGACGCGGGCCTGGAACGGCGTCCTTGATCAGTTGTGAGGGTTAGATTTGAATATCGCAAGCTCGGAGCCCATGTGGTCGACATATGGTGGACTCAAAGGTCTTATTAGATTCGAGAATAAAAGTGCATTATCGTGATTGAGTAAGAGAAAGAGTGGGGAGTGCAGAGTGCAGATGGGAATCGCGTCCAAGCGGACTGAGCACTGCCGGCCCGTATAGTAACTCAACTAATAAGTTGTTTCTTCCCGTTTGCCTCTAGTGCTTACCCATCTCTCTCATCACCGCTGCATCAATCCTCTTCCAATAGGTAATATGATAAGCACAGTCAACCTCAGACACATGGAGACTCTTCTAATTCCCCTCTTCTATCTTCTTCAATCTATTGTAGCTCATGCGCTTGTTATACTTGAGCAAATGGTGGTACAGTACAGTACCAGGAGGGGGGACTAGGGCAAGGCTGAGATGCCAATTGTCACGGATTTAGCGTCGCGAGCCAGACACTAATGCAAATTATCAATCTAAGTTCGCTATTATCACACCTTTTCCAGGCCCTGGCGTGGATCTCTGCTCCAATAGCTGTCCCCCACATCTACCACCCGACCTCCTCCAGCCCGTATTCATTATGCATCCTTCAATCCTGCGCGCCCGAGAGGCTGTACCGGTCCCCTGACACGGCACGTTCGACCCCCAACGTTGCCAAGAAGGGCTGTCTTTTCGTTGCATACCTGTCAATGATTATCAAAACTGTGTTTAGTTGGGTTGTTCCCAGAACATGGGCACATTTCAAGAACTGTTCCCCTCTGATACCATACCCCAGGTGGCAAAAGCATATCGGGGAGTAACACCTACAATGTGCAAACCCACTAGATTCCTTGTCTGTTACTCTCTTTCCCCTCACGTCCTTGTCGCCTGGCACTTCATTTCACATACTCCTTCCAGATAGTCTACCCCAAAGTGGTGGGCTTTTCCTCTTTCGTCTTGCGTGCACGGCCGTTTCTACAGTGCTGTATAACCTGGTTCTCTGTTAAGGAATCAGCTCTGCCCGACAAAGACAGGAGACGGAGATTGGCTGGCTTGCGAGCCTCAGCGCTGGCCCGCTGCAGACTTACTTACCTTTTTTTTTCTCTCTCCAGCAATTCTCCACTAGCATAGTCCTTACATAATTTCTCTTCCGACAGGCTGAGCGCCTCATACTGAGTGCTATTGTACGTCTGCGAATATTTTCCGTGGGGAAGAGTCATGGGTGCACCAGGCAGATCACCTAACCGGACTGCCTCCGTGGATTTCATTGACCACCATCTGCCTCAGATCAATCCAGTCTTCGAGCATCCGGGAATTGAGTATGACTGCACCGAGGGAGAATATCTTCCTCCAACAATAATAGCCACCAGCCCGGTCGAGGGCGATCTCATCCCTCCCCGACCCGCTGTTCCTCAGGTTGACGCCATGAGATTCTGGTCGGACATTTTTCCTGACTGCATGGTTGAATTAAAGCAGAAGCATCCGGAACCTGCAGAACCAAGAACCAAAGGGTGCAGCATTCGCAGTCAATCCGACTGGGAAGGAGTCCGAAGCCGGCTAGACAAGGCGCAGAGTCATTATGAAGTGCCGAAAAGAACAATAGCCAAGGGCTTATTCAAGATGGTCTATCGCAAAGCAGCCGACAACACTGAGCAGGCCAAGATGGTCAGCAAGCTACTGGCTCAGGTCGAAAACATCTCGCCCTTCATCGCGACAATCGATATTCTCTTGGATGTCAGTAACAGATTCTCGTTTTCCGCACCGCCGCTGAGGATTAGATAGGCGGCGACGATGGCGTCCAAAGTGCGCGAAAAGGTGACTTCGGCATTCGAGCCCGAGGCGCTGAAAGACGACTTCGAGAGCATCGAATTTTTCAGGGCCACGTTTCCTAAAGATCGAAAGATCCGAAAGAAATCAGTGACGCTGGCTGTTTCGGTCTTCGAAGCGATTGAAAATGCGATCGGGTTCTTCCTTAGCCATGATTGTATGAACTCCTGTTTCTAAGAAGGCCTATGGACAATGACCACAGTTCATCCGACAGTCTCACGTACCTGGCGTATCTTGGCAGAGGGGAGTGAGTACCAGGGAAAACTCATCCGTAGCATTGAGGTAATTCAGAAACACAGCTCGAAGCTAGCAAACCAGGCGCGTAAGGCAGAAATGCACAGCACGCGTGTCGCGTTGGAAGACTTGATCCGGGGTAAAGAAGTCGCAACGGCCGTCACGCTCGCCAATTCAGACAAACTTGACGAAGCGAAGAAGGACCGACAACGGCTGGCCGATGAGCAGATAGCACGGATGTTGAATCATCTGAACGGATTGTTTCAGGTGGCAGAGGAGCGAGAGAAACAGTGGGAGGAAAGAGGGAGGAAACGGGAGGAGCGCGAGAGGCGAAGAGAAGAAACGGCCAGGAGACAGTCCGATGAGACAAACCACTTGCTCGAGCACCTTTGGGGTAAGTACTGTATGCCCAAACTTTCAGTGTGAGTATTGATCATTGACACATCACTATCAGATGAGTTGAGGAAACGTGACACACCAATTCCACAGCCTTTAACCCAAGCCATTACCAGTTCCTCTTGGATGCCCCCAACTGTGCAGTCGCCCTTCTATCCCAATTTCCTCGCATAACCTCAGTGTATTTCGAGCGACTGGCTTCAGGTGCCTCAACCCATGGCTTCTTCCCGGCCAAGCACTCCTGAGACACTCTGCGAACCAGTCACGGTGGTCGATCTTCTTACTGTACTTGACATTAGTGTTTCTGAGGCCAACGATATCGCACAAATCCTCTCTCAACGCGCACGTATTGCGCTTGCGTCGCGACGACGGGCTGAAGCCGCGCTAGCGACCGGTGAGTTCCGACGGTGGCTTCCCTGCTTCTCGTGAGCTTCTTATTGAGGGGGACGCTGGACCCCAGGGCTGTGAGGTATCGGCTGTCTCACTCCTGTCTGCGTTGATCTACGCAGCCCTAGAGAATCAACCAGGTCATGTGCGCTTGACCTGGCTCTGCTCTCTTCACGACGAAGCTGAGTACCACAGAGACACAGTGGGTGGAAAGGGCATGATCAAAGCATTTCTAGCCCAGCTGCTGCGGCAGCACACCTTCGACCAGAACACTTTACAGGAGGGTCAAACTTATCTCAAAGACAAAAGAAATTCCAGTACAGAGGCTCTATGTAAGCTGTTTGCTTGGCTTGTCCGCAAACTTCCGAAGGGGCTCAAACTTATCGTCATAATGGATGAGCTTGGACGATATGAGACGGACGAGTACGAGAAAGGCATGCTTCGAACGCTGAGGACGATCCTGGGTCTATCGCGAGATCGAACGGTGCCCTGCCAGGTCAAGGTTCTGGCCACGAGCGTCGACATCACAGACACCGTTCATAACACATTTCAGGATGATGACGATTGTTTGCTTGACTTCGACACTTTGGAGGAAGTGGACGATATCGGAGAGATGGAGTTTAACACTGATTTGGCTCGCGATGATGACACTAGCGATGATGAAGAGTGAATGCTGCTGAAAGTAGGCTTTTTTCGAGTCATCGGCTGCTATACCATTATCTTTCTTGCTCGCTCCGTTCCTTCTGCCACACTTCTGAATGTGAGCCCGCTCTGCAGAATGAACTCTAGGTTCGGGGGCATGTAGCGGGCTCCTGGTTGTTACCTCCTCTCATCTCGGTCAATATTGTCTTGAATCTAATGTTCATCAATTTAGGTACATTCACGAGATCTATTCTCGGCGCCTCCGCTCACTTCCTGATGCAGCCTCGCACTAATAATTCGTGCCCAGAGCAAACACCTCGGCAACCTCAGTAAGGTTCTTGGCCTCCGCCAACAACAGACCCAAAAGAATGCGAGATTTCTGGGGGTTGAGGTAACCACTGGCAATGTGAGTAGCAATATCGCTCCTGACATCGGACAAGGGTACCTCCCCACTCACGGTGCGCATACTCTGCACGATCGGAATCTCCAACCGGTTGATGACATCCTCGATGGCAGCGTTGAATGGAGTAGTGACGCCACCGGCTCCTGCACCAGCAATCTGCATGATCTGTCAGAATACTAGTCATCAGATAAGGAATAGGAAAACATACGACAATGCCCTTAGCCCCACTCTCAATGGCGTTATACAATGTATCATTGTGCATGTCCTCGTATGAGAACAAAATGTCCACACGTGGAATCTCCGACACATTGGCAATATCGAAGGAAACCTTTCCGGTGGGCTTGACAGGCGGGTAGAAGAAAAATGGGTTGTCGGAGATCATCTCACCCAAGAAGCCCATCTCCATGGCCTTGAAGGTATCCATGGTGTTGGCGTTGGTCTTGGTGACATAGTAGGCGGAGGCGATGCGGTCGTTCATAACCACCATAGCACCCCGGTTGCGGGCTTTTGGCGAGGCCGCCACCGTCACAGCCTCGAGCAGGTTGAAAGGTCCATCGGCCGAGATAGCAGTCGAGGGACGCATCGCACCCACGATGACGACCGGCTTGCCACAGTTAACCGTTGCGTCAAGGAAGAAGGCTGTCTCTTCCAGGGTGTCTGTCCCATGGGTGATGACAGCCCCAGCCATAGTCGGGTCCTCACACACCATCCGGTTGATATCCTTGGACATGGAGATCAGGATGTCGGAGGTGATATCTTCACTGCCCACATTGGCCACCTGAACCCCAGCCACATTGGCAACATCGAGCATAGACGGTACGGCATCGATGAGAGTCAAGACGCCGACGGCGCCCGAGGTGTATCCGGTCGTCGCCGTCGAACTAGAATCCGAACCGGCGATAGTTCCTCCTACAACCGCATCAGCAATCCGAAGGGATCAAATTAGGGGTTCTGCCTACCTGTAGCAAAGATAGTCACATTGGGCAAAGAAGTGGTCATCTGAGTGAAGTTCAGGCCATTGGAATTGGTGAAGACATATGTCGTGGTATTGCTGCCCCGGGTACGGAGAAGAGGCGAGGCCGACGCCAGAGTCGCCAATGCAGAGAGGATGACAGACTTGACAGCCATGATAATGATGGAGAATGGTGATGAACGAAGCTACAACCTACTGCAACAGACATTTGCAAGCCTTTTATACCTCTCACCGAAGTCACCTTGGTCTCATATTGCGATCATTGATGGTCAATAGCTTCACTATCTCAGTGTGGGGCTTATCGTATAGTCAGTCACTGTTGACCAGATCGATAAGAGCAGTGAGCGAACCCGATGTCGGCATTGCCCGGAAGCTTGGAAGGTCCAAACGGACGGGGAAACATGGCAGATGATAAGAAACTGATAAGCAGCGCTGCTCTTATCAAAGTCTTGGCCGAGATTCTTCAATTCAGGCGCTGCGACTGATCCAGATGTTCTTCTTACACACGATAGTTTGTCGACCGTCCTGACGTGTAAAATAAGTGTAGCGATCTCATGTCCGGTATGCTTGATGGTTCTTGTCGTTCTTATTGCTTCTACACTATTAGTAGTAGTAACATTGTAGTGTTTTCTGCATATACTAGCGACAACAGTTGCAGAAGATATATTGTTCGGAATAATGTTCCGTTTAGCCTCAGAATCAAGGAAAATCGATACCAGCGGAACGATCAACACTCAAAGTCCAAAGGTAGCTACTGTTAATGATGCAGTAGGCACTTAGTACAGTCCCAGCCATGATAGCACGTAATCAGTAAACCCATACCTATTCTATCCATGCTTGGGTACTCGTCCAGTGGATACACGGCGCAATGGGCCTGAGGCAGCCAGGCAGCAAGTCGCGGGATCTTCAAGTAAGCAAACAAACAAACAAACACCCCAAACAAGCAAACACGAGCGATAGGTCCGACCGACCGATTCGACAACAGAAGGCTTCAATCCAAGTTGCCAGCACAAGCTAACACCAGTCATTACATTTAACATGCGCTATCTTTATGATACAGAACTCCGCAGATATTATTTCTCTTTGATCTGTCAATCTGTGTGTCTTTCTGATACATCTAAATGAAAGGGAGAATCATCGAGCTGGGATAGTCTCCACCACAATGCACATAATGCTTGCCCCGGTTCAATTCCTCCTCTGGCCGAGGCTTCGACCACGTCTTGTATTCGGCGATGCTGGGATACTGCCCCGATACCTGTTCTCTTTTTAGTTTCCGGCCTCTAAACGGGGCGCATGTATCACATACCTGAACACTGATAGACTCTCCAGCATCGAAATCGACCCCCATGGCCCAGATACCGATCTCCAGCTTGACGACCTCTCCGGGCGGAACCTTCTCCTGCTTACGGTGGAGATGGAACGGGAATTGGGGATGGATACTCTTGGCCGAATCGAATGCCCGATGTGACGCTCGCAGGATACCGACCGACCCCAGGTGCAGGTTCAGGCTTGCTTGGTCCTTGGTTGGGATCTCTTCGATTGATTGCACGGGAGTCGCATGAATGGGGAAGTTGAGGTGCATCAGGGGCTTTCTCTCGCGGTCAAGCTTGCGAAGGATAACGAACACGGTGAAATCATCGCGGTCTTCGCACGACATATACAGGATAGCTTTGGGAAGGCCAATCAACCGGGCGGGCTGGTCAAAGGTGTGGGTGAAGGCGAGAAGGCTGTCCAGCTGATCGGACTCATACGAGAGCTTCTCATATACGGAAACGGGTGCCGCATTCAGTCGGTTCTTGGAAAGGAAGAACTCGCGATACTCGGTGGATGGCGCTGGAAAGTCTGCCAGCTCAATGTCGTCGATCGCCTCCCGATTGCCGAATCGCAGGGCAGACCATCGAACTTTGGGAGTCTTCTCCCAGTCGTTGCTGATGCCCTTGAGATACCGGTCGAAATATTGGAAGAGCTCAGCTTCGGACTCGGGACAACTGTACAGCTCGTACCACTCCTGTTTGCTCCCCCATCGAATCCATTTCTGTTCGTGAGGCAGCTCGAGCCAGCCTCGCACGGAGCCCATGGTGTGGATGGAACTTACATCCGAGCCTCGGATGTAGACCGGACACTGGACGCGAGAGATGTCTGCCCGCCTGTCCTCCCAAAAGGCGCTGGAGGTTGGTGAACGCCGGTACATCTCCTCGAAGTCTTCGATGCCGGAGTTCTCGGGCCCACGAACAATAGCCCCGGTGATGAGATCGAAATTGCTCATGGAGAACCATCCGCCTCGACAAAATTGCTCTCGGTAGATATCGCCAGAGCCTTCCCATGGGGCGATTGCTTTGAGGGAAGGAGGCTGCTCAGCAGCAATGAACCACTGTGAGATGGCCAGAGCAGAATTGCCCGCCATGCCAATGGAACCGTTGCACCAGTCCATCTTGGCCAGGGCCTCAACGACATCGTAGCCATCCTCGGCATCCTGTGAGCCCATCACGCAGATCATCCCGTCACTGTTTCCCGCTCCACGCGTGTCGACGCTAACAATGGCATATCCGCGTGGACACCAGGTTTGGGGATCTAGACCCTCGAACTTCTCGAGACCACTGAGATCAGTTCGAGGGACACAGCAGTTCCACGTGCACATTGGCAGCATCTCCAGTGCACTGTATTTCTTGCCGTAGAACGACCAACTCAAGATAGCGGGGACTGGCTCCGAAGTATCGGCCGGACGGTAAATGTCGGCGTACAGTCGGCAACCATCGCGCACCACGATCTCAACATCGTGGTCAATTCGAATCGGGCTTTTCAGAGGTTTGGCATTGAACCCGTTCCATCCCGTAGGAAGAACTTCCGTCTTGCCGGGCTGAGGGCTCCTGTAGCCATTCTCGCCTTCTTGGGGTTGTTTGATGCGCTTGTATGCGGATTGAACGGGAGGTGGCATCGTGTGTGGAAGATTGAGAATGTGCTTTTCTGCAGTGTATGTTTTCTGAAGGCACTGAAGCAATAGTCTCCCCAATAATTGTGTCATATATATAATACTTTGAAATTGAAGGAAGGGGAGGTCTTGCAAATCGCCTCTCCCATTAATCCTCGGCCCAGGGAGATCGCCTTCGGAAGCACACTATAGCCAAGCTGTCATCTGATCACTCGGGGCAGTCTCCAGGGATCCTCGGAGCTCTAGCGCCCGCACCCTCGGGGGTCTTTGCAGGCCCCTCATCGCCGAGGATACCCCAGAGAAAGCCCCCTCGGACAACCCCGAGACGAACTGCCAGCGCCAAGTCTGCTGAGTGCCTCGGGGCATACAACGTACTGATTCTCGGTGCCTTTACTTAAGTGTTCAGATTTTGGCTTCTCGATTCCAGGCCCAAACTAGCAAGATCAATCCAATACGAGACCCCCCCAGAGCCTTCAACAAAAGATCACTCAAACATGTCTACCACTGTCACCCAGATCCAGGAGATTGCCGCTCAGACCAACGAGTCATTCACCCTTAAGGACTTGGTCGATTTCAGCGGCCGCACGTACGGTGACTGGCGCGACGAATTTCATCGGGATGGCTGCGTCGTGATCAAGAACGTGATCGGCCCCGAGCGGGCGAAGTACTACTGCGACAAGCAGATCGAGTGGTTGAAGAACTTCGAACTGGGATTTGACGAAAAGGACGAGAGTACCTGGACCGCCGATCACCTCCCGGTTAGCTTCAAGGGAGGGTAAGTTTCAGTGCATCCCTGACTTTAACAGTAGTGTCTCCTAACTGTTTCCCCCAAACTCAGCATGTACTATGCCTACGCCGCCGCCCATGAGAAGATTGCATGGGAGGCCCGCACTGAGCCGGCGGTGATCAAGATCTTCGAGGACCTATGGGAGACGAAAGAGCTGCTCTGCTCCTTTGACGGAATGAATATTTCTCTGCCCCGCAGAAAAGATCTGAACTGGAGCCCATGGCCACACTGCGACCAGAATCCCGATCGCAAAGGGTTAGTAGGCCCAAACAGGTTTTCTCCCCAGAGAGGACTAACCATAGCGCAGAATGCAAGCGGTCCAGGGTCTTCTCAACTACGCTCCGAACGGGCCGCAGGACGGAGGTCTCATGTTGATGAAGGGATCGGCCAAGCTATTTGACGAATTTTTCGCCCAGAAGCGCGACCAATACGACCATGAAGATGCCCCTCCCCCGGAGTTGAAGTACATGGACCTGTTCTTGTTCCACGACAAGGACCTCGAATGGTTCAAGGACAAAGGTTGCGAGATGATCAAGGTCAACATGGGGCCGGGTGACTTTGTGCTGTGGGACTCGCGCACCATGCACTACGCCTGCCTGCCTGAGGGCAACCAGATCCGTCATGTGCAATACATCTGCATGACTCCTCGCAGATTTGCCACCCCGCGGGCGCTGGAATTGAAGAAGCACTGCTTCGAGAACTTCATCGGCACCACTCACTGGCCACACTGGTAAGTCCTGACACGCCCGATACTAGTGAAATTCACTGACAGTACCCAATAGCAACATTCGTCCTGCTGCCGAGAAACCAATGCGAGACGGCAAAGTATGCCCAAAGGACCGCACTGAGCCATTCGAGAAGCCGGTCATCACGGAAAAGGTTTTGCAGCTCGCTGGTGTCAAAGCATATTAGATAGTGGTGTTCAGATTTGTTAGATATATTACCTCAATACCAGAATGCATTTTCTTTTACGTGAATCACCACTTGTTCTACATTTAGATTGTTGGCATCTCCTCACTGCGGAATAGACTCAGCATCACTAGAAGAATTCCTTCGATCTGTATCCCCACGTTCATAATCCAAGAACTCGACCCTGGAATAGTAGAAACGCGCATGCATCCTTCATGGATTCCACTCTGATGGTGCTTGAAGAGCCCCGAAATCTTCTTGGTTGTGGTAAAATGCTAGCCGACGCAGTAGCGATACCCTCTCGGACCTACAGTGTGCTTCCATCTCGGCGTGCTCCGATACCTCCCATACTAGGCTACCGAGCTTGCGGGAGGCGATGAGGTCCCGAATCTGGGGGAGGCTCCCCGCTGGCCAAGTGAGCTATTCCTCTGGGACTTTCGTGCTGGACACGCGTCTGTGCCAATGCACTCGACCTGGGTGGTATATAAGAGGAGGGGATAGGGAATGAAGCCCGACTTCCCGGCAAGGTTCACGAAGTCATATTTCCTTCTCACTCCACACTCACTCGCTTTCCCAGCCACATTTCCAAGGATCGGCTATCATGGCAGTAGCCAAAGGCGCCGACAAAGAGTGCACCAGCCACGTGGAGGATATTGAAGAAGGGCAGATGGGGGACAAGAAAGAGGCCGTGACAGGCACTGTGAGGCTCACAGAGGGTTCAATTGTGTACATTCCTACACCGACCGCGGATCCTCAAGGTTTGTGCTCCGTCGGTGGGGAATTGGCAACATAGAAACTGACATTGATAGATCCCCTTAATATGCCATATTGGCAAAAACTGGTGGTTGTGGTCGTTATATCCATCTGTAGGATACACACCACCTGACAGTACTTGATGAAGTGCTAAACCCCATTAGTCTCGACTCTAGGACTCGCTCTTGTATCTGGATTTGGCGGGTTGCTGGGATTTTACATACCGGAGTATGGAGCCGCTGGCAAAGGATATGCCGATATCACTCACCTGATGACATATCCTACACTCTTTATGTGAGCCAATACATAGTAGAGTAACGGAGGACCTTCTAACGCATAAGGACCTGCACAGGGGTATCGGTAATCTCATCGGTATGCCTCTGGCCATCGGCGTCGGACGGAGAATTGTGCTTCTAGGGTCGACAGTCATTCTCGTCATCGGGGCTATTCTCTGTGCGACAGCTAAGACCTTCGAGTGGCATTTAGCATCCCGGATGGTGGTTGGCCTCGCTGCGGGACAGAGCGAGGCTCTGGTACCCATGATCACGCAGGTCAGATCTCCTTCAATCAACTCCGACACTTTGCTGACATGGCAAACAATGGGCGACAGGAGATCTTTTTCCTTCACGAACGAAGCAAGGCCCTGATGGGACAACTGGCGATTCAGGTGACCCTAACATCGATTTGGGTCCTGTGCGCGTCTCCAATCGCAGAAGCAATCACGCCTCAGTGGTGGTATGGCCTGGGCTCTGCCTTGTCCGGAGTGCTTCTCGTCCTCGCGTTTTGCTTCCTCCCAGAAACAAAGTATGATCGGTCGGCAAGCTCCTATCAAGGGGGAAGTACATCGGATGACGTGAAGGCTGATAGCTCTGCCACCGAAGGCTGTACTGAGCGTCCAGAACTGGACTTTGTTACTTTTGCTCCCCGAACCTGGAAGTCCGATTTGCGACTTTGGATTGGAACTCCAGACTGGAGTCAAGTTGCGGAGGTGTTCCGGGTAAGCACAGACGTATAGCCTTATGCGTGACTTACTAATGACTGTAGCAAACCTTTGAGCTTCTGTTCTTCCCAAATGTCTTGTGGGCACTTCTGCTGAACGGACTGACCATTGGAGTGAACGTAGCCATTGGTACGACCTACAGCACCGTTCTCTCCGCCGGCCCTTACAACTGGCCCGACAGCAGTGCCAGCTACGTCAACTGTGGCCAGATTATCGTTGCTCTCCTTGCGCTTCCGCTTCTAGGCCACGGGTCAGACTGGCTTATCAAGTACTTCGCCCGGCGGAACGAGGGATTACACGAGCCCGAGATTCGAATTATCCCCTTGATCTTTCCTATCACCGTCGGGGTCTTCACTGCAGTGCTCTATGGCCAAGGGGCGGCCAGCCCCTATCACTACCACTGGTTCGTGTACGTCTGGACCGTGGCCGCATATTACTTCTGCTTTGTTGGGGCCAACATTGTGGCCATCACCTATCTGCTAGACAGTTATCCGACGAGAGCTGGTCCACTCTTGGTTATCATTTGCGCCTTCCGCGGAATTATTTCTTTCGGCACGAGCTATGGAGTTGCGCCATTCATAGAGCGATATGGATACGATGGCACGTTTGTGACGTTTGCAGGGCTGACAGGTGGTCTTGGGTTGCTGGGGATCCCTATCTTCATCTGGGGAAAGCGCATTCGTCAATTCACAGGGCAGTTTATCAAGACAGGTTAGTGGGGATAGCTTGCTCGTCCATATACTGCCTATTCCCATGTAGTAGAATGGGCTTAATATGGGACGGGGATGACTGCGCTCAAGCTGGGGCACTGCACCGTGGACGTACTGTACATAGTCTTTTCCCTGATAAATTTCATATGTTGGAAACTGATATGTGCTCTATCGGAACTGACATTTATCATTTCCGTGTTAAATCATATAATCATAGACATGGACGATGTTTCAATACCCCTGATATACTAGCGCAATGTGAGAGAAAAAGCAACAGGAGCTAGGATTCACAGGACTCTGAATTTACTAGTACAGTATGAGCAGAATCACTCTCGTGACGATTCACCACAAGACAACATGTAGAACGTCTGGAGCCCGAACACTGTACCGGAGTGCAGGAGATTTCGACTCCTAAGAACAGAGATATCAGCATTGCTTCTTTAACGCGGTGATTAACAGAAGACAACATTGATCGGCAGATTCTAGGTGAGAGTATGAGTCAAGTGAATGCATCTCACAATTTTGCCTTGTTCGCACTCTCGATGTAGGCATCCCAATTCAACAGCTTTCCGGACTGGAACTCCCGAACTCCATGGGCGCCCTCTCCATCTGGCCGCATCATTTCGTGAAAGAGAGATTTGATTCCCGCTGCTTGCTCCTCCTTGCTAGCATGTGTCCAGGCGAGTTTGACCAGCTCCTTCGACATATGAGTAGCATGAGGTGAGACATGTCTGAGGCGTGCAAGCAGATCATCTAATCGCTTGTGCAGGTCCTCCGGATCCCCTGCAATTTCAGCCACCAGCCCCAAGGAAAGTAGCCGTTCGGCCTTGACTGGACGTGCGGAGGGTATGGCCTCCCGCGCAAATGCAACGCCCCATTCCCGAATAACATACTTGGAGATGGTCGCTGGACAAAGGCCCAGTTTGCCTTCACTTAGTGTCACCGTCGCCGACCTTGCCGCAAGTCGAATATCGCAGGCTCAGGCGAGTCCGACTCCGCCGCCAAAGGCTGGTCCGTTCATACAGGCAATGGTCACTTTAGGACACCGATCGATCACGTCGAACAGTTCTGTCAAGCGAAGAAACTGCGCTTCGCTGCTCGAACCTCCTTGCGCCACCGGCGTTCTATGTTTTCCTAAGTCCATCCCCATACAGAAGAACTTGCCGCTACCAACAATAATGATACGTGATACGGCTGGATCAGAATTGGCGGTGGACATGACTGATGTGAGCTCTGCGATCATTGCGGCGGTCAGCGCATTGCCGTTGCGTGGTCTATTCAGCAGAACTTTCAAATTGGCTCCACTCCGAAGAAGTTGAATTCCATCAGAATCGACGGCCAATGTCCATTGGAATGACGGTGATGGTTGCGTGGATTGTGCCTTTGTTGAAGGGAAAGCCTTGGCGGCCTTCCCGGTCAGGGCAATGCCTGCCCGGGTTGAGTTGGAACCTGGAAGCTGTTTCGAGATCCAGGACCCCGTTTCCACCAGACCAGCAAGATCAATTCCGGTCTCGACACCGGCGTTTTGGAACATGTAGGCCACATCTTCTGTGGCGACGTTCCCTTTGGCTCCCGGAGCGAAGGGACATCCTCCGAGCCCGGCGACACTGCTGTCGAACACGCGAAGGCCGCATGTATAGGCCTCCCAGACGTTGGCGACAGCTTGACCGTAGGTGTCATGAAAGTGTCCCGCGAGACTACTGACGGGAACACCGGCATCGGTCAGATACTGAAGCAGATTGCGGACACTCGCGGGTGATCCTACCCCGAGCGTGTCACCGAGACTGACCTCGTAGCAACCGGCATCCAGCAGTGCGCGAACGCAGCGGAGGACAGCAGCTGGAGACGTTGGGCCGTCGTATGGATCGGAGAAGATGCACGAAACGTAACTGGGGTTGTCAGCCCAATGTGACTGATGTACTCAGAACGCGGTGCCTACCCTCTAACTGCCAGACCGGCTGCAATGGCTTGAAATGCGACCTCTTTGGCTCGTTCGAGCCCTTCGTCCACGGAGCAATTGATGTTGGCCCGACTAAACCCTTCTGTGGCACTGATGAAAACAGCAATCTCCCTGACGCTTAATGTGCGCGCAATTTCCAGACCCTTGAGGTTCGGTATCAGCACCGGTAGTCGTAGATTCGGATCTTTTGCCAAGCCCTGGATAGAAGAATGTTGCAAAAGCTCGCGACAGTCGGCAAGTTGAGGAATCTTGCGGGGTGACACCACAGATGTCAATTCAATCGTCTGCAGGCCAGTTTCCCGCAGTCGACGAATCAACTCCAGCTTGGTTGAAGTGGGAATCTTTGTTGGGATGTTTTGTAGTCCATCGCGGGGTCCCACTTCGACAATTCTCACGGAGGGAGAAGTAGTGGGCATTTTCCAGAGAGTGTCATGAAGCTCAGCTGTAAGGATGTGAATCTCAATCTGGGTGGAGTTGGTGTAATTCATGCATAATTCGTAGAGCGTATATAGAGTAGCCCTATGTTCTTGCCCGGACCGCTCGCTTTGTTTGATTCTACGGGTTGCGGACCGAAGCTGGCGGAAGAGAGAGTGGAGAGTAGAGAGAGCCTGGACGACGGAAGACAGGGCTTCATCCCCTTTTAGCCCTTCCTCGCTCTGACTATTGGGGTTCAAGTTCGGACCCCGAGGCGTAGTCATCTCCGCCTGACTCCTGCTTGCAAGACAGACCTGTGACCACGCTAGCTGTTTATTACGCATTGACATCCAATCGGACTCGGATTATCGTGACGGAGAGGAATTTTCCATGCGTTGTGCTTACACGGTCGCAGTCAGCCTGGATGTTCGGACATTTCTGGTGACGCAGTTGACGAGGCATTCTACTGAATTACGCTCAATACTGACTGAGATTGTACCACTAAGTAACAGAAGGTGTCTAATTTCCAGTGGTTCTAGCCACATCTAGCGCGTACCTCATCCAGCCTGGCCAACCGATTGCCCAAGTCTCGTAGGAGGTGCTTCTGGTGTTTCCACTGCCAGTCTTAGGGAAATTCTCACCCACGGCCGCATTGCTAATCCAGAAAATGTGCTGGGGCGCCTTATGACGCCCTGAAGTCTGACTGACATCGTGGCGGAGCTCATCGTGACAAAGTTTGGTGGCTGCTCCAATCGCCTTCCGAAAACAACCAACGACTTCCCCGTAGCGTTCATTCTTGATGCCCACCACACTGGCCTCGCTGATAGACGCATGGGCCATCCGTCGTTCCTCAATTCTCTCGGGGAATGATATTCTCCTCACCTGGGAATGTCATTTAGTCAGCCCTGACCACAAGAATTCGAATGCGTCATAGTATACCTCGGATGATCAGATCCTTGATGCGACCGGTGATGGATGCGTCTCCATCGTCTTCAATGACCGCCTAATCGGTATGAAACCAGAGGACTCTGGTCTCATCCCGCCGCATGACCTCCTTCGTTCTCTGCTCATTCTGCCAAAAACCCTTCTGCAAGGCAAATCCACTGGTGCAGAGCTCACCTCGTCCTCGGGCCAGGATCCGACCGTGCCGATCGACGACCTTGGCTGCCGTATGGGGGATGACTCTGCCTACCGTCGACGTGCGCTTCTCATCGGGGGTCATCCAGCCCCGTGACAAACGTGACCGGCCTCGTCTCCGTCATTCCGTACGCGATTAACATCTTCTCGACCCCCATTTCTCCTGAAGTCGGTTCATCAAGTCCTGCGACACGCTCGATCCAGACGCCAGGCCTGTTCGCAGGCGCCGTGGTTTGCGACCGAGCTGAGCTAGCACCTCCAGCTCGGCGATGCACATCGTAGGCACGCCGAGAATGACTGTCGCATCCTCTATCAGAATGGTATCGACAATTTGCTTGACGTCGAAGAAGTCCGAAGGAAAGACAATGCTACTTCCATGATAGAGTGCGGAGACTACAGACTACGTCCTCCGGTCCCAAACCCATCGCTTCCCCCACGAAGCGGGCATTTTTGAGGAGATTTCTGCAAGTTCATAGTGAGCTAGAAGCAATACCAAGAATCAGGAAGAATCATCACTCACGTATGGGTCAGCATGGCAACCTTGGGGGACCCCGTGGTACCTGGGACATCGTGTTTAGCCTGTCCCCAATCCAAAAGGCACGGGGTCCGTACTTACCCGAGGTGAACCATAGATTGAGAATATCTTCAGATGAAATCGTTCGAACAATCTCTGTCTGTCCAGTATGACTAGTTCGTGTGGCGAGTGAAAGTGTCGTAAAGTTACACTTTCACGCCCTCCTGACCAGGCAGTTCCTCCCCAAGGAGCACCATTCGGCGCAGTTCTGGGAGTTCTGGGTTAGAAGACTGGCTCCCACGAAGGGCGTCGACATGGCCCGTAAGAGCTTGTTTTCCGATGGAAAAGCTAATGAAGACAAGTTTGCATGCTGTCAAAGGGTCAGTCAAAGGATGTTGTGCAGGATCATGGAGATGAGATAGACGTACAACTCTGGCGAACGGCTCTCGTTAACTCGTGCGGAATATATGTATTGTTCAACACTACGACCGGACAACCAATTCGTCCCGCACCTAAGAAGACTTCGGTATATTGATAGCGATTTCTCGCCATGATGCCCACGCAGTCGCCCGGATGCAAGCCCATATTGAGAATATTCTGAGGTAACACCCGGCTTTTTTCCGCAAGTTGACTGTAGGTGAGACGAACAGACTGCCAGGGCACAATCACCGCCCCTTTTGTGCCATAGCGAGATGCTTGCTCATCAATTAGATCGCCCAGTGTCTTGTGCCAGAGCACAGGGTCGGTAGGGCCGTGGACTAGAGCCGGAGCGGGAACCATTGTAGTGAGAGCATACAATGATAGTGCCTAGAGCTGGTGGGGCGGAACAAAGACCCACACGTTCTTTGGTGAGTCCCTGAGTTCTTGGGATCCTATTTCTTGGGATCCTAATACAGAAACCAAAACTGATCTCCAAGTATAATGTATTGGTTGAGGTTGCGGACTTCATCGGCGGGATTATCCCCGGGCGTCGGTCCGATGCGCTGCTCAATCGCCCGACATCAGCTTTGATCGGGTATTTGTTTCATCCCCAGTCTTTCAATGCTCACTGAATCAGTTCAATCACAGAGAGCTTTCGCAATTTATCATCGCAGTTCATTCCTTATTCCCGCCACTCAGAACCAAGATTTGACCTCTCCGGCCAACAGTACAAGGCCAACCAGGAAACGTGGAACACTGTGTTGGATAGGTTCGAAGAGGCCCTAGGTCAGGCATCCGCAGAGGAAAATAATGCCTCACTTGCGAGATGTGACGAGCCTGAGGCCTCTCTGAGGACCGCTCAACGCCTTCGCCACAATGTTGATAGCCTCGTAACCCGGAATTCCTTGACAGCCGGATAATATCACCTTTACCATGCCTCTCAGAGGTGCCTCGCGTTCCATCAAGATGCTTGTATGACAGGTCTCCGGGTCTTAATCATCGAGGCACGGGATCGCATTGGAGGCCGGTCGTGGTCGTCGAACATTGGGGGTTATCCATTTGAAATGAGAGGCACTTGGGTGCATTGGGGCCAGTCGCATGTGTGGCGCGAGATTTCACGCTATCAAATGCGCCATGAGCTCGAGCCATCCTTTGATTCTCCCACGGAGTCAACCATTTCCAGCTGCGCACAGACCATGGATCGAAGATTTCCACCCACCAGAAAGAGGTCAGTGGAGATCCCTACCCCGCATATGCCTTATGGAATGCATGGCTGGCCATTCCTTCAGGACCGTCTGCTCGCCTTCGCATTACCGAAGTTTGTGAATGTGGATGGAGAAATGGGCAGGAAAGTTATGCCGTTTCTCACAATGCGTTCCATGTTCCTGCTGCGCATCCATACGATAGTTTGTCGGCCCAGGACCGTCTGAATGAGGTCGCTACATCTCTTACCTTGGACGAGCGTGCCGTGCTGGAGAGCTTCATCCTGCTCTGCAGCTGTGGTACTCTCGAAACGACCAGCTTCTTCGAGTTTCTCCATGGGTGGGCGCTGAGCGGCTACTCTTACCAAGGCTGCATGGACTATTATATTTCATACAAATGCAAGCGTGGTCAGTCTAGCTTTGCCATAAATTTCTTTAAGGAAGTTCTTTCGACGGGTAACCTTCTCTACGCGTTCAACAGTCTGGTGCAGTCCATCAAAGACGAGAGCGGCAAGGTCACTGTGAGCACCCGAAATGGCCACAACTATACAGCCACTCGCTTGATCTCCACCATCACGTTCCCTCCACCGTTGGGACCACAGAGAACAACTGCAATCAACATTGGCCATGTTAGCCAGTGTGTCAAGGTCCATGCTGAGATCTCCAGCCGTGCGATGCGATCCTGGAGGGGAATCTCATACCCTTCCAACAAACTATTTTATGCCATTGGCGATGGCACAACTCCCGCTGGCACCACACACGTGGTCTGTTTTGGAAGGGCGGCAAATCACATTCAGCCCGAAGAGAACTTGGATACAACCAAGGAAGCCGTTCGGGCAATGGCTCTTAGGAAAATGAGTATCAAGCGCTCGGTGAGCATCACCATTCATCTTTGTTCATCACGATCAGCTGACTTTGACTTCTTCAGATATTCCAAAACTGGTCAAAAGACGAGTTTGCCAAGGGAGACTGGTTCTTCGCTCCTCCAAAGCTTCTCTCTACCTCACTGGATAAGCTCCACTCTCAGCATGGGAATGTTCTGTTTGCAAAGTCGGACTGGGATGTAGGATGGCGTAGTTTCAATGATGGTGCAATTGAAGTGGGAACTCGTGCAGCAAAGACTGTGACAGAAGAGTTGCGCTCTCTGTCCACTGCACGTGCTCATTTGTAGAGCAAGCGCCTTGCATGTATCAAACTAGCACCTCGAATGAAGCAAACAGTTCCCTAGCATATTGTATACAAATAAGTCTTATACTCTACAATTACCCGTCTTACAATTCTCTGCAAATGTCAACATACTGAGAACTGATTGCTGGCAAACCAAAGAACGAGTTCAAGCCACTCACTCATCTTGTTTGAGACTGGCGAGTCCCTAGTTTTCTCCGAGAAAAGCCTTGCGAGGGGATAATGGTAAATACGTATCGCAGATATTGGTTGTGAGTGGGCTCGCTCAGACAGATACGTGATTGCCCGGTATATCGTAGCCAATATCTGCGTATCTACCAATCAATATCCCTCATGTAATGGTCGACAGATTTCTCCCCTGAAATTGTTGATAGCGCAAGCGTATCAGTATCCGCATTCAAGGACAGCTCATCTGTACAAGGCTATTTGCCACGCCACAGAACCATTAATCTCAGTTTATTAACGTTTCGGGGAATAATGGCCAGCATACCCGCATCATCCATATTTAGAGTTGGACCTCTAGAGTTGGACCTGCAATTGCCAGTTGGATTCGTATCAGGACTGTCCTGATACAGATCTAGGAGACTGATGGAGGAGGATGGGCCTTGAAAGAGAACGATGCTCTTGCTTTAGGACTGCATAGGGCTCACTCGATATTCGCAGACGCGAGCAAATTGATTCTATTGATAAATACAGTGTCGAACATGGAGCTAGTAGAGATGAAGACCAAACATGGTATGGTGCAGAATACCTTCAAGTTCAATCCGGCTGCCAATCCTTTGTCTTTTAGATCAGAGCCAGGTCTGGACATCGAAACACGTATGTCGATGGCCTGATCCTCTTCACTAACAATGGCCTTGACCTTTATAATCCTGCTTCCTCTTGTTAGACTCGGTTCAAGTTGGCGGTCTGGTGGAGGAGAGTTGCCTGGAGGGGTTGACCCTTCATACGGCCGGAACGCGCAAGATGACTCCTGCAAATCATATCCGCCAGTTGGATTATCTGCGACAGTAGGGCGAGAGTGTCGGCTACTGTGGCTCTGACAATCGTGCAGGGCGGTCCGGTAACAATGATATATGGTCGAATCCTCATGTTCTTCCTGGCTGGAGCCTGCGCCCTAACCCTGGCTGAGTTGGCAATGTCTACCCCACGGCTGGGGGCCCATATCACTGGACTTCCATCCTGGCTCCCAGATGGCTCAGCCGAGCACAAGTAGGTATTCTTGTCGCGCACACAGGTGCTGATTCCCACCGCACTGTGGTAGTCACTGACTCATTCTTAGAGTTACGCCTGTGGGATGGCTAACATGTTTGCATGGATTGCTATTTGCACAGGCGTGGTCATCATCCCGTCACAACTCATAATCGGTGTCGTTTTGTTCTAAATCCCCAGCTTTAACATCCAGCCATGGCATTATTTCATCCTCCACCAGGTGATCAGTGCCTCGGTTCTATGCTATTGTCATCTTCTCTTGTACAAAACTCTCTGGATCCATGATGCTTGTTATAAATAGTCGAACGCCCTCGCTCACTGTCTTTACTGAACTAATTGCTTAGTCTTCGTAACTCTGGCCTCATTCTTCATTATTGTAATCTTCTGCTTTGCCCTACTTCTCCTGACTTCCAGCCCAACACGCATGCACGGGTCAACTTTCTGAATGCCAGTGAATGGAGTTCTGGTTGACTGGCGTTTCTCACCAGTCTCGTCTTACCCAACCACATGTACGCTGGTATTGACGGCGTATTGCATCTGGCAGAAAAGTGTAGGGATGCAGCGAAGGTGGTTCCACGTGCGTTGTTGAGAACACTTGTGATCAGCTTTGGTACATCCTTTGCCTTTCTCGTAGCCATGTTGTACTACATAAGTGACTTTAATGCAGTAGTTTCTGCTGCTACTGGGTCAGTCGTGACCATTCTCTTGGACCACCATCAACCAGCCATAGCTGACATATCTCCTAGTGTGCCCATCTACGAAGTTTGGTATCAAGCAACCCATTTAACTACCGCAGCCACCGTCTTCATCGTCCTACTTTGTCTCGCAGCGGTCTTCACTCTCAATGGTGCCCATGAGACAGCCTCTCGTCTTCCCTGGTCTGTAGCCCGCGGCAACGCCCTCTTCGGCAGCTGTTGGATGGGCAAAATGCACGAAAGTTTGGAAGTGCCGGTCTGGACACTCCTCTTTAACTTTTCTGTCATATTCCTCATTGAGTGCATCTACCTGAGCTCATCATCAGCCTTCAACGCTTTTATCGCTACAGGCCTGACTCTACAGCACGTGCCCTATGCCTTTTCCGCACTATCGCTACTATGCCGCAGACGCGAAAGTACCCGGCTACCGAGCAGTCATACATTCAAATTGCCCAGCATATTCGGATGGGCTGCTAACATCATTACCGTGTGCTTCGCTATCCTGGTCCTGGTTTTCTATAGCTTCCCAGCGACAATGCCTGTGATGGGGAGCAACATGAGTAAGCCAGGCCACACGTTATGCTTCGGTTGACTATGTACTGATTAAGATCGTTCAGATTATACAGCTGCGGTGCTCGGTTTCATGACTATTTTTGCCGTGATCAACTGGGTCTTTCATGCAAGGCAGTGGTATCAAGGCCCTAGACTTCATGTCTCCCCTTAGGTCTATGCTATGGACTTTACGCCTTTGCTGTCTTCAACTCACTCTTGTGCCATTTGTGCCATTGGCTCTTATGATTTCTGAGTGTGGTTATCACTGCTTAATCAGACCAGATTAAGCTTGTCGTGAGATGCGTCTCTCTTCTCCCAGTAACCATACGGCCCTATTATCCCGAGGATGTCCCGAGATCGGCATCAACTCGGGCAGGTTTTGCCGAAATTCCCCACATTTATAATGCTGCCAATTATCAACACATGGTCGGACTCGGGAAAGCCGCAAAGTGCACGCACTATGCAGACCTGCAGACTTGGCTTGTGCACGAAAAGTCCTTGATAACTGAGGCGGCACTATCAGGCATGCTGCATGCCGGTATGAGACGAGTGAATTTCCCCGAACTTTGACGTCATACAAATCTTCGAAGGCATTTAACGACGGCAGTTGACCGCTGGATCTTCGTAGACAGTGTTTATTTTGGGCTTAGTTTCATCAAGACTCGCACCACCAAGAGAACACTTGGAGGGCCCTTCTCCACAGCTTCACGAAATGCGAACGTAGAAGGGGGAGCGAGTCTGAACGTCTTTCGGGCTCTGAGGGATTTCATTATCTGTCGGATCACCGAACCGCTGAATGAGGCAAGGTGTACGCCGTTCACTATCGGGGTACACTGGAACCGCGAAGCTATCTAGCAACATATAAATATGGACAAGTCTTTCACTGATTTGGAGAGCTAAGGTTCTTCGAGAACAGAATAGGTGTCGTGGCAACCATCAAGCCGCTTCACGGACAATGGGGCCCTTCCGTTACCTCTCTCATTTGGCTCTGAGCAGCACATTTCTCGTCTTGACTGAAAGTAAGCTCTCATGTACGCCGGACTCATTTTCGACGTACCTGTCATCTGCTGGCCACGACAACGCCACAGTCTTGCAGGCGGTCAAAATCTCCAATGGAGACAGCTTTGAGGTACCGGCCAGTGACATCGCCTACCCACAATCACCCACCGATTTGCCCGAATTGTGTGTCGTTCAGCTCAATGTTACCTCCAGCGCCACTTCAGCTTACACGTTCGGGCTTTTCTTGCCTACAGAGTGGAATGAAAGATTTCTGTAAGCGACAATTAACAACAATGTATGAGCCTTGCGCTAATCACAGCTGCACGTAGGGCGGTCGGAAATGGGGGCTTTGCTGGAGGCATAAACTGGGCGGACATGGTAAGTTGCGGAAGCAGTCTCCAATGGTGACCAAACTGTACTAATTAGAGTAGGGCGTCGGTGCACGATATGGTTTCGCTTCCATGTCCACCGATACGGGCCATAACAGTGTCCTTTCGGACGGTAGCTGGGCGTATAATGAGCCTGAGAGGCTGATTGACTGGGGCTATCGAGCCATGCATGGCTCGGTGGTATTAGCCAAGGAGGTCACAGCACAGTACTATGGTGAAGAACTGAAGTACAACTACTATAGTGGCTGCTCGACCGGCGGTCGACAGGGTCTGCGATCGGTGGAATTGTACCCCGACGACTTCGACGGGGTGATTGCTGGAGCTCCCGCCTGGTGGACTTCACATATGCAACCCTGGACAGTCAAGATCGGTACCTACAATGCTGAACCGACCAGTCAAATCCCCGAGAGCATGTTCGATGTCATTGGCGAGGAGATCATCCGACAGTGCGATCCTCAGGACGGACTGGTGGATCGAATCGTATCGGCTCCGCAACAATGCAATGTGCGTCTGGAGACTCTTTTATGTCAGGGTACCAATGCGACGCAGTGCCTGAGCCCTGCGCAGCTGGGTACTTTGCGGCAGATTTACAGTGACTACGTGGACGTGAACCAGACGTTTGTGTTTCCTCACCTCCTTCCTGGCAGTGAAGCGGAATGGGCACTGTTGGTGAACAACGGGACTTCAGCTGCCCTGGGAATTGACTATGTACGGTACTTCCTCGGACTGGGAAAGCAGTGGAGCCAGGACCAGTTTGACTATAGTACCGTCCAACTCGCGGATCAGCTTGATCCAGGCAATGCAACTGCCGACGACTTCGACATCTCGCCTTTTCATCACAAGGGCGGAAAGCTACTGATGTATCACGGCATGTCCGACGGATGGATCCCGACAGACAGCAGTCTATATTTCTACAATCATGTCGCCGAGCAGCTGGTGCCGAGAGGCATTGATCTAGACTCATTTTATCGATTCTTCTATGTTCCGGGCATGCAGTAAGTTGCACCCCCCTTCAATGAGAACGCAAATGTCACCATGCTGAAACATAAGCTAGGCACTGTACAGGTACACCACAGAGTATGCATGCACCATGGTACTTTGCGGGCCCCAACCAGGCCCCCACGTTATCATCGAGTCTACACAGCGTTCCCGAGTATATGGATGCCAGGCACGATATTTTGCTCGCCTTGATGCAATGGGTTGAGAATGGCACGGCGCCAGAGCCGTTAATTGCCACGACATGGCAGAATGACACCACTCAGGACACAGTCTATCGCCAACGTCCACTGTGCTTTTACCCACAGAAAGCCGTATATACGGGTGAAGGGGACGCGAAACAGGCGAAGAATTGGGAGTGTCGGTCACAATATTAGGGGTCATCAGCAGCCCTGCACGAGCCAAAAACTAGTTCTGGATTAGGCTTAGCTCGTGTAAATCCGGAAGGCGATCTTTTTCTCAGCCGGTGGGGCCTGGTTATCTATGACTAAAATTTCGGCACCCCTGCCCAATTCCTAAAGTAGTTAGTATTGCTATTGAAAATTAGTGGGAAACCTTTTTAACTGCTACTCTTTAAAGAATATTCTTAAACCAGTATAGTTTTGGTTACTTTCCTATATAAAAAGCCTAGAAAATACCCCTCAGTTACTAGTTATTAAATATGAGTTTGAGTCAATTATCAGGTATACCTTCATCTTAATACCCCTCACCTTTTTTGACGTCTTGTAAACTGTATAATATGATTAGTTAAAAAAGCTACTAAGCCTAAACCAGAAAGGTACAGGAGTTTATTCTCACAGCTTAACATTCTTCCAATTCTGCCAGGCAGAATCCTGGGCTTGGGCTTGGGATCAGCCACCAACCCTGAAATTGTGGTGCTTTAGAAAGGGCGAGAGAGGGCTAGACAGTGGTTAGTCGGAGCCATCAGCTACCAGTTCAGCAGTGTCCAGACTCCCAGTCAACGTCCTATCAGACCAGGTAAAATGAGATTTAGCCGGAAGCTCAGTTGTGATGATTAGCCTCGTCTGGTCCTTTTTCTCCTCCCAGATTGCTGATCAAGTGAGGCGACAAGCAGGGGAAGGTGGGATAAATGGCCAGCACATCGTCTAGAGTACCGAGTCAGGAATGCAACCCCCGCACTATCGCCTGCAGAATCCCCCACCCCATGGGGATAGTGGCAAACAAAAATGGCAGGCCGCGGCTAACCGCGCCAGAATCAAGTGCTAGTACAAAAGACGGGATGCCGTGGATGAGGGGAAACTGCAAACGCCAACGCCATCTCCTCTCCCGCGTGCAACATAGCCTGACGACATTATGGGAGCATCTCCAGCTTCATCTGGCCAGGGTCCGTCCGTGCTCTGCCCCCCAGACTTCTGAATGTGGGGTTTAGACCCTGGTCCGGAGGATAAAATGGTCCCGACCACTGCTTCTCCCTGGCAATTCCGACTTTATATCTTGCTGTTTCGGTCGGTCGCATGCAGCCTGAAAACACTATAGCGCGACCCAATTGCCAACAATCATCATGGATTCTGCCAATATTGAAGCCCGGGGGAAGTGGGAGGATCCTCATCCGCAGAGTCGATGGGCAATCATACGCAACAACCCCAAGCTTATGGCTATCGCTTTCTTCGCCTCGTAAGTCAGGATTTACCACTGTGGGAAGAACACATGTTGATATCTGGGAATATCAGATTCGGTGGATTCGAATATGGGTACCAACAAGGTGTTCTTGGACAGTCCCTCGTCATGTATCGCTTCAAAGACAACTTCCCCACGGTAGTGGCCTCCTCAAGCGCCACGGGTTGGTTGACCTCAGTCCTGCAACTGGGCGGCATCGTTGGGTCTCTTTCGGCTGGTATCCTAGGAGAAGTCTTCTCGAGGAAATATACAATGTTCTCGGCCTGTTGCTGGGTGGTCCTGGGCAGCTACCTCTATATCGGGGCTACCTATCACAGTCCTGCACTATTGTATGCCGGCAGGTTTTTCACTGGATTGGGAGTCGGGACCTTTAGTGGTGTCGGGTGAGTGAGATTTCGACTCGTTGAACCGTGGTGGTCACCTAAGAAAACGCCAGCTGATCCAGAATCCCACTTTTCCACAGGCCTCTATACAATGCTGAGTTGTCCTCCCCCCAGCTTCGTGGGTTCATGGTCTCCTTCTACCAATTCGCGACCATCCTCGGGATTATGCTGTCTTTCTGGTGCGGCTATGGAAGTAACAACATCGGAGGCTACGGGGAGCACCAGTCCAACCTGGCCTGGCGACTTCCATCCATCATCCAGGGCATCCCTGCAGCGTGCCTGGCCCTTGGGATCTGGTGGCTTCCTTTTTCGCCTCGATGGCTGGTGAAGAAAGGCCGGGATGAGGAGGCCCGCCGGACTCTCTCCTACCTTCGCAAGCTGCCGGCCGATCATCCCTCGGTGGAACGAGAGTACAGGGAAATCAAGGCCGAGTGTCTCTTCGAGCAGCGTGCTTTTGCGAAGACCTTCCCCCACCTGGCCGAGAGAGAGAAGCAAAGCATCATGGCGCGGGAATTCGCTCAGTACTACAACATTGTCCGCACCTGGGACAACTTCAAGCGGGTGGCCATGGCATGGCTGGTTATGTTCTTCCAGCAGTGGTCTGGGATCGACGCCATCATCTACTATGCCTCCAACGTCTTTGAAAGCCTCGGCTTGACCAGTGGCACTTCTGCCCTGTTGGCGACCGGAGTGACGGGCGTGGTGTTTCTCGTGTCCACAATTCCCGCCATGCTGGTGATCGATAGGGTTGGGCGCAAGCCGATGCTGTTGCTGGGCTCTTTGGTGATGTTCATTTCCATGATCATTGCCGGAGTCATTGTCGCCAAGTTCCGTCACGACTGGCCTGGCCATCCGGCGGCTGGTTGGACGGCCGTTGCCTTCATCTGGGTGTACGTGGGCGCCTTTGGCGCGACCTGGGGACCAGCTTCCTGGACTTTGGTCTCGGAGATCTTCCCTCTCTCTATTCGCGCCAAGGGCGCATCTTTTGGTGCGTCGAGTAATTGGGTACGTATATCCTTCCACCATGTTCCGTTCATCATGGTTGAGCTGTTTGATGCTAACACCGCCCTAGATTAACAATTTTGCGGTCGCGTTCTTCGTACCGCCGATGCTCTCTGCTTGGGCATGGGGCACGTACATCTTCTTCGCGGTGTTTCTGGCTGCAGGCATCGTCTGGGTGTGGTTCTGCCTGCCGGAGACCAAGGGCGCAACACTGGAGGATATGGATCGGGTGTTCAAGAGTCGCACGGGCGAACAAGACGCGATCTTGCTGGCTCAGGCACGGAGTGATGTTGGACTGGATCTGGACCATGCCACTGCCGTTGAGAAGTTGGGCAGTATGTATATTGAAGAGGAGAAGTCGTCTGTCCGTCGGGAAGAAACAGCACGGGCATAAACGAGCTTTGGTGTGTAACGCAGTTATGAGCGACGCCTTCCATTGGCTGAAAATCAATGCTATTTCAACCTTTGTTTCAATTGACATCAGATTAATAAGTCTTAAGCAGGATAACAAAGTGCGTGGCTAGATCCTTTCAGGGGCGACTGTGTCGCTGCATAAATGATAATGAAGTGTGGGCCTTCCGCGGAGTGACCGCGGAGGCTCCGACCCCTGTAGAAAGTCTGCCTAGTTAACGGCATTATAAAGGGGAAATACGGTCGCATTTGGGAGAAGATAATTCTTTAGAAACAAACTCAAAAAACCATGACGAGCTCTCCTACTGTTCTCATAATCGGCTGCGGTGTTGCTGGCCCGGTGCTGGCCGTCCTGCTGCAGCAACGTGGATATGCGCCCATTGTATTCGAGAAGGTCGGGGTTCTGGGCGAGGCGGGCGCATCCCTTCTTCTGCAGCCTAACGGGTAGGCAATTCCTATTTTCTCATCCGTGGCATGTCAGCAATAACCATTCGGTCTAGGATGAAGGTTCTTGGTATGCTTGGCGTAGCTGAAGGCCTTGAGGAAGAATTCCGACCGTTGGCCGGCTATTGGCATGGAACCGCCCAGGGACAAACCCTGGCGGATTCGGAACTTGCAAGCGGATTCAAGGAACGATACGGATATTCTGCAGTCGGTATAAGACGGTCTGAGCTCAACCTTCGACTGAAGAAGCTCCTGCTGGATAGGGAAATTGAGGTTCGCGAGGGCTGGGAGTTGCTTACTATCCAGGAGAGCGGCGACTTCGTCACCGCGACTTTCAGCAACGGCCGATCGGCCACGGGCTCGTTCCTTGTCGGTTGTGACGGTATCAAGGCGGCGACTCGACGTGTAATCCTCCAGATGAACTCCGATAGCATTGAAGGGCCCCCAGTCTTCACGGGGCTGACCCAGACAGCTGGAATCTCGCCCACCCCGTCTACGTTGGAAAACCGAGGAGGCAAGATGTGCAACTGGTACGGCGAAGGCATTCATGTCATTGCGTACCCTATCTCCAAAACGCATGTCTCGTGGGCAGTGACTCTACCTGACTCTAACAAGCAACCAGAGACTTGGAGGCTGTCGACCGCCGAGGAACTCGAGTCACGCCGCAGCGAATTACTGGCGTGCTTAGGAGGCTTCGAGCCGGCCGTGCTGCAGCTTACTAGGGATGCTGAGCGCATTATCAAATACGGATTGTTCGATAGAGAAGAGTTAACTGCCGAGCAATGGCATTCCAAGCGTTGTGTACTGGTAGGAGACGCCGCTCATCCCACGAGCCCTCACATCGGTCAGGGTGCGAATCAGGCGCTGTAAGTGACGCACACGCATCGATAAAGTTCAAACAACTCTGACACAAAGTGACCAGGGAGGACTGCTACCACCTTTCACGTCTTCTTCCTGACCTTCAGTTGGGCCTCGGGGCTGAAGAACGGGACTCCGCCCTAAGAGGTGTCGATTTGAGTGCAGTCTTCCGCACCTTCGCAGAGAAGCGTCAGCCGAGAACCTCGATGTTGGTTAGAGACGCTCGCCGGCAAGGAGAGCTTCGCGTGGTGACTGATGGGCCGGCCAAATGTCGAGAGCGTGATGGTCGCATTGCCGCAGCATGGGAGAACACTGCGGCAATGATGGATAACTTTGACCGGCTCTTGCAAGAGCCTTTTTAGCGCAGCATGGGATGGGGAACTGTAGGGCCGCTCCGAGGAGGGCAGGGTGCAGGGGTAAGAACTAAGCAGGTCAGTATGCCACGTGAGTCGCAAGGGGTTTAATGGACCTTTTCCTGGACAGCCTTCCTAATTCCCAATGAAAGTCAGTCCGTCTTCGCCATCCTTGAATGTCACGAAGTGTGGACAAGAGGGATTGGGGGTCGTTTGTATCATATTATGGGAGCCAGCAGCTGTTGGCGTGTGCTATTCTCGTTCTCGGAGCATGACCAGCTTAATGAATGCACATTGATCTGTCCTGCTATATTATATACTTGCCAGCAGAAAACAAAGTACAGAAATAGAAACCAAAGAAAACAGATAAGCTATACAGATTAAGACTACATAGGCAGAAGAAGCAGAAAAAAAGAAAAAGAAATAATTTTTAAAGAGAGCGCAGTTCTGAAGACTCTCCCTCTTCGCCCTCCCGCCCGCGAACGAGCCGGGCCTTTGCCCAGCTCCATCAAGATAAAATCTTGGTGGCGAGGACGCCGCAATAGAACGAGATTTTATCGGCCAAAAAACGGTCCCAGCCACGCACGCTTCGGGTCTCACTACCCTGGGAGGTCGGGGCCCCTGCCCCCGATCCTCCCCCGCCAGCCATCAGCCATCAGCGCCCCCGCCCCCCCCAACCGATCCGCTTCCCTGGCCGACCCCCGATGCGGTGCCCCCAGTCTCGGCAGTGTGGAAGGACTCTCTGGCCCCCGAGCTCCCCGCTTCCACCCCCCTCCTCCAAGTTTCGGGCTCCGTCCCCCCAAAGTCCGCCTCTTCTGGTATCTTCATTCCTCTTCTCGCTGGTATAGGGGATCTCACGACGCCGGCGACGGTGGTCTTCCCGGCCGCAAGGACCTCGTGGATCGTTTTGGGCTTGTAGCCTCTAAAGATCTAGACACGTTCATATCAGTCTCAAACTCTGGTCAGCCGTGCAGGTGAGCTCCTACCGCCAATGAGGGGCACAAATCAATGCGATGAAGGAGCCTAACGCAACGATGGCGATGCGGACGCTGGAACCAACGTTGTGTCCAGAAAGGCTTGGGAGAACGGGGGCAACGGCGGACCCCACGGTGGTAGGCTTGTTGGTGGCAGAGGGAGGGTGTCCGTCTTAGACAGAAACTGTCATAGAGGCAGCGATAGAGGCAACATCGTGGGGGTGAGAGGAAGCAAGTATCAAATAAGGGAATTCATTCGAAGATAGCAGAATATGCCCGAATGTGCCTTGCATGTGGCCGAATTAACATTTCGAATGAGGAAGAATGGATCAAGAAGAAAAATTCGTCAGAATGCAAGAGAGCGAGGAAGGAGCCTGGATTGCAAGCTCCCAAGAAGGATATGCATGAGGAAGTTACCCTCTGCGTATTGACTTCCCTCCCGCCGACGGTATGCGCTTTCTCTTTCTGCAATATGCCCTTCTGAAATGTGCCTTTGGACGGTGTATCAGTTACCACCCTTAACCGTCCGCTTATTGCAATTAGAACGAAGGCGCGGGCCTACCAGTTCCTCCGAGATAACTGTGCCAAATCTGAAGAGCCTCATCCAGATAACTTCTGGTAGTCAACAGGAGTGGGCATCTAGATGTCCTAGCAGGTCATGAAACCGCAGCTAATAGCTAAATTAGACAGTGAACAAGCTCATTCTATAGCTGAAGAATAGTTCTGGTGAAGTGAGAACATATTCCTTGTCTAGACATTTACATTCACTACTGGCAGAGCTGCCCTATGACCGCATTATTGATCGCAAAAGTTCAACTGTGTAGTTTGCATTATGAAAAACTTGTCTAGTCCCGCAGAAACTCGACCCAGCAGTTTGGCTGCTCATCTTGAGACATTCACTAATAACCAAGTTTGCAAACATCTACAGTATTGGAAAGGATATGGACATCTAAGTTGTCACCTCTTTCTTCTGATCATGTCGACTGGCCGCATCCACGTAAACTTGGTGAAATCGGTCCAGCTGATGCCAGCCCCATAAAATAGACAAGGTCCTCAATAAAGTGTAATTGGACACCAGCAGTTCTATCACTTGGTAGTAATAAAAAATACTGCTTGCACACGGGATATAGAAGGAAGTTTTCTCCTGGCGAGGGAAAGGTGTTTTGGGGGTATCAATGACTGTGACTCGGTTTGTAAACTTGGTTCATTATGTCAAGTATGCAGTTCTGTAATCATGACGGGCGCTGACGGATGCCAACATTGTGGATTGTCGTCATGATCCCAGTGACTTACCTGAGGCCTTGACACTATCCACACCCGAACAGCAGGACACACCATATTTTCACTCTCGTCACTCACGGGATAGGTTATCGCAACGCTTTCTTACATCCTTCTTAAGTATATTGGGCTTTCCCTGCGAGCCTTGACGATCTTTACTTCTCAATTTCACAGTTACCACAATCGAAGTCCTCTTCTGATTCCAAGTCAGTCCACGAACCGTGCACGAACAAGGTGTCCACGAGCACTTATCAATAGCACGTTAACCAAGTCGTTCTCCATTATGTGCCTCCCAAGCCTCTTTAAACACATTCTCCTCGCCGTCTTCGATCCCATTTTTATGCGAGAGGAGCATGAAATGGAACGTCGGGGAAATTGGCGTCAAGCTCAGTTTCTCCGCCGCAAGCATCACTTGGACTTGTTTTCTTCAATACAAAGCTGGAAGAGGATTGGCAATTTGATTCTTGCCCAGCAGCGACTGGTGTTCCTGGCTCAAAAGGAGGAGTTCTTCCGCGAGTGCGAGGGAAGATGCCTCATGCACTTGACACTTGATTTGGCGCCTGACAAAGATTGTCTGATGGAAAAACTACGGACGGCTCAGAGGTTGTCGTCAGAAACACATCAGAAACTCTGGTACGAGGAGCGGCGATACCAGAAACTCCGTGCGTCAATCCCCGAGGGACCTCTAAGAAGGGCCTTGTATGCTCGGGAGATGCAGCCGGATTGGCACCTTTCGTCCAAATGGCTGCAAGGTCATTGTGCAGCCATGGGAGGTTGCTGCAGACGAAGCTGCGGCTGTTGTGCAAAGCCCAGGAATTCTGACATTCACAGCAAGATCTACGGGCATTGCTTCTCATACTGTATTTGCTGTACCGATACGAGAGGATTTGATGTCAGACCTAAGAATCTGGAGAACGACCCGATGCATGTATCCTTAGATATGAGCAAAGCACAAATTATCGGTGAGTACGAAGAGCGATTGCTGAATTCGTACATCTGGGGCCTTTTGTAGCCCGGCGTGGGCATTACTGGGTATCTTCCTCTCTATGTGCTGCGCCTCTTAGCAGACTGAGGTGGAGAATGACGCCACGACACATGTCTTTGCTTCCTGTCTTGTTCTTCCTTTCGTCGTTGCAATAGCATGCTACCGCTATTAGCTACTGAGGTTTTTTGTGAACTTTTGTGTCTGCGAATCTCCAGAGTCAATAAACATAAGAGATCTGTTCGCTCGCGCGTCATAGTATCTACTACTAATCAATGGTGCATCCTATTCTCTTACATGAGCCATTTTCAGCATATTGATATGGAACTTGGCTCACTAGTCATTGCGAGTCGTATCTTTGGTTATGCCTTCAACATCGCCCAGGGTTGCCACAAGTTCTTTCCAGTTTTTAAGGGGGCGCATGTCTCAGAGTCCGTCGGATCCCAGGTAATACCGTCTCGCAGTTACCCTTGCAAGCCAAGCCGTTCGACCGTGTCTATGCTCAGTCTAGACTGCACCAAGCGAGGAGGATGGAATCGTATCTTGGTGGAGCAGGGGCCCCGTCGGCACTCACGAATCGATTGCAATCTCTAACTCGATCTGTCATGACGGAATGTCTTTCCATACGGTACTATTTGCTTGTGTCGTTATGTTCTAGCTGATCTCTACATTCAGTCAAAAGACCTGCATGAAAAAAGTTGCGCATAGCTGCATAAGCACACCCACGAGTAGTAGGTTGAAATGGAGATGGTTTCATGGCATGGGAGAGGCTGGGACTCAGGATTTGACTCATTGAACAACTTCCATTGATTCATCAACTACACTATAAGCATTTAGTAGCGATCAGTGCAGCAGGGTATGTTCATTCTTACAATTTTTATCGCGGCCATGTCATGGCCATTATCGAAAAGGCGAGTTAAATACCCGGGTCGAATCAGCAGTGTGTTGAACGTAAAAGCTGGGCAGAGGGGGAAGGGTGCTATTTACGACGAGGCCAATTATATTATGCTTTTCCATGTTTAACTCAAAGATATGTCTTTATCAGACCAGAGAAAAGCAAAGTATGACTCGGGTAATGCCGGTGGTAGGGAAGACGTATAGAACGTCCTCGGATGCTCTAGGCGCTACAGCCAATTAGCGACTTGAGCTGCCTTGCTAGAGGGGCATTGTTACGGTCGGAAAGACCAGATCGGCTTTGCGGCAACTAAGAAGATGTGGATTATCATTTAAGATGGCAGCCATTCAGCAACAGAAGTCAATCGCGAGCAATGCAATCCTCTCATCTCCCTTCGACGATAGTGCGGTGTTCCATCAACATTAGCCTCTGTCCAAACTCAGCTGCGACATCATTCTTGAATAAAAGGGTTCTCCTTGACCACCCGTCGAATCCTCTTCCTGTACGCAGCCGGATCCTTCTTCAGCAGGTGGTACGGTTTGTCCTGCGCCGGCGACTCGGGGTTTGGGTTGTCGAGCAGCTCCTGGATGCCAAGCAGAATCTCCTTGATGGAGAACCCTGCCGACCAAGATTCATCCTCTTTCAGTATGGATAGACACACGGTTCCGGTCTTAGGAAAGACATTGGGATGAAACAGCGGGGGATCGAATTTGCCTGGCGAAGAGTGAGTGGAAGAGTGACTTGCGGATGGAACGGGCGAGATGAACGTACACTTGGGAGGCTTGGTCGGGTACTCTGCAGAGATCACATCCATCAGTGCCACGATCGCGCCAGGCGAAAACAGGGTCAGTGGGCGCAAACTCACCTTCAGGAAAGGTCATGGTCAGCTTGAACAAGCCTCCCTCCCACATGGTTCCCGCCTTGCCCGGAATTCCACACTCCCACTTCTTCATGTCGCGGACACCCTGGCGGTTGCGATAGGGCCGTGCGTAGAATCCGAAGAGGGGCTTCTTGCGCCACTTGCGCCTAGATAAACATGAAACGCGGGTGTTAGTCAGGCAGGTTGTGGGATATTCGAAAAGTGAAGGAATGGAGCCACTTACAGCTCTTCCATGATGCGGTCCTGGCTCAGTGACATAGCAGATCGGGCTGATGACTTCGGACTCGAAGCACACAGAATCTGGTGTCGGTTTGTTGACTGTGACTGGTATGGGAGAATTAAGTGTGCGTCCGCAACAGAAACAGGCCGTGGCCAGCGTTGTGGTCAGGGTTGTTCGCTGAGATGTGGATATGAGGATGGGAAGGAAAGCTGGTGGTAAGGTGGAAAGTGGGAAGTCAATATTGACACCTTATGAGAAGCTCAGCTGCTCGAGAGGCTGTTTCCGGGATTTCGTGTTACTCAAGTAGAGATTTAGAGGAAAGAACTGTGTACACAAAGGCCTCCCAGCCACTCCTGTAGCAAGAAGTCACATAGACACTGGGCCACGTGACGGTAAGCTGTGTTTGTTGTTGCGCGTGAATTGCACACTTTCTTCATGATCTTGTGAACGATGCTAAAAATAAAACATCGCTATCATCATAACTCCCGGTGTGTTGAGGAAGCTATCTTCTCGCACATTCGGCCACAGCTAGGGAGACCTCCCAATTCTTTGCACTATTTCTGGCGCCAGCCAGATTGAAAATGTTGGATGGTAAAAAGATTCTGGCTCAATGCTGAGCGATAAGACTGGTCTTGTCGTTTACTGACATGTGGGCGGGCATTTTCACAGTGCCTTTCATGGGGCAGATTGCATGGTCATGATCCCAACCTTGGGTTTCTTTGGGATTACTCTCCACTTTGCGCAGCGAGATTGCTTTATATGGCAACCTTTACATGCATCAAGAATCTGAAAAGACGTCTCTGCCTGATTGAACAAAGTGTACAACGATCATTGAAGTCACAGTCGAACCTTGAATTTCATGCTAAGACAATCCAAGTCTTATAAGGGAGTGCTCCAGAGCTCCCTACCATACTAACTTACAACATCAGACTAGACTCTATTCCCTGCCGAAGTCATGGCTTCTCGGGACATTTCGCCTCTCCTCCTGATCACCTCCATCTCCAAACAACCGGTCAATCTCTTCCAATGACTTGCCACTGGCTTCAGGAACCTGGAAGAAGGCCCAGATACCCGCCAAGGTACACATGACGGCAAAGAAGATACACGTCCTATACCCGATATTCGCCAACATGGACGGGGTGACAATGCCAACAACGAAGTCCGACAGCCAAATAGTGCATGTTACCAGTGCGACACCTTTCAAGCGGCACGCGTTTGGGAAGACTTCGGCCGGGAGCGCCCATCCCAGAGGAGAGTACGAGACCCCCTAAACCAGAATGAAAACAAATGCCATGGCTACGCTATCCCATCCCGCAGCTGGGTGGCCGGGCCGATCTTTTGAGAAGATCCCGCTCAAGACGGCAACAATAAGATACGATATGACCATGCCAAACGCTCCATAGATTGCAAGTGGCCGACGTCCGACAGATCCAATGATGAAGGCACAGACAATGGCTGCAATGACCTGAAGGACGTTGAAAACTCCGAAAGAATTAGTGATTTCTTGCTGGATTGGCCCAGGCTTGCGAAGAGGCCCTCGGCGCGAGGGCGAGATGAACGCGTAGGCTTGTTGTGCCACGTCTTAGTGAACGAGATCGCTTGGGGTAGTCTTCGCTAGAAGGCATATCAATTGTGAAGAAAGTTTTTTGCGCTAGAGGAATCAGATGGCAGTGGAGAAAAAGCTTTGAGAACGGTTGTACTAATCAAGTTGCTCTGCTGAATGTTGCTGATCGGATGGATAAAAGGTTGATAAATCAGGCCTTTATATAATATCTTCTCATGTCTAGCAAGCCCGCTCCGGCAGGCATTGACTCTACTGTTTTCCATCATTTGACAGGACGTTTGCTTGTGAATAGAGGTTCATTTTGTTGTTTGGTAATCACCCATGCACATTTCTTTGGTGTTTCATTTCTAATCGGAACGCTCTGATTTCCCCGACGGGATCTTGGCTTTTTGACTGAGTGGAGAGAGTCGGAGATAACACTTCATCTTCAATTGCACCCCGTCCCCGTCGGTGCTCAGGACGGCATCGAGTCTGATGATGTCAAGGTTGTTGGAAATGTCAGACCAGAAGCAGTTGCCAACAATTTCTTTAGTAATTCATTGACCTTGTGAAGGGGTGCGTAAGCTGACTTCCCGGGGACCACTTCCATCATGGTCTTGACATCTTCGGTCGGTCGCACGCATGTAGGCAATGTGCGAGAAAGTAAGGATGTCCTCGCCACCATTCTCGATCAATACTGGTATCTATAGAAGCAATATATTTCCCATGGGTAGCACCCATCCAAGCACTCAAGCAGACCTCACAGCTAAATGACCCCAACCGGTCTTCTACCCACGCGATAGCTGACAGGTACCAAATAGGGGCATGATATAAATAACAGCAATCCACACATTCCAGACACGAAACGTCCTCTGGTCCTGGCTCTGATCTCGAAAGGCAAAAAGACGCATCGCCACCGTTAGGGCCAGGACACAGCTCAGTGCGAATATTGGAGCGGTGATGTTGATACCAGCGAGGTAGCAACTGAGAGGGCCCCAAATGTTCATCGAGATCACGAGAGTCCAGCGAGCGCGAAGATCACCTATGACGAGGGGAACTGTCCTGCGTCCTCTCATCGCATCTCCTTCCTGGTCGTACATATCCTGGATATGCATCGTGCTCATAATGACCGCGCTGACAATCAGAGCCCAACGCACACCGGGTAAAAGAGATTGATGGAGCGGGTCGGAACTGGTACCCATTGACGTCGATGCCCGCTCCCCAAGGGCGATCTCAGTCGCTCCCAGGTTGAAACAGAAATATCCACAAGCGTTCAAGACATTCCTCGACAGGAGAAAGTCCCCACCACCCAGCTGATTGTAAGCATAACTGGCAGCTACCAGAGCTATCGCGGGTCCGGTTCCGCCACTACAACACCCGCTGAATAGCAGTGCTCCAGCCCAACAGAAAATCATGATAGTCTTTGCTTGGTCTGGCGAGAGTCTTCGCGCTGGTAAAGGCCGCCATGGCTTATCGACGATGTCTTCAGCTATAGCAGCATCATTTCGCTGGTTGTCGATGCAGATACAAACAAGGTTAAGCCACAGCCAAGCCAGGACCAGAGAGGAACGCCAAAGGACTGTCATGGAGATCTTCCGATGGGGACTAACAGCGACCGATTTTTGCTTACAGAGGTCTTTCTCAGCTGAAGCGTTCGTGACGCCGAAGATCAAACTTGGAATAACGATAGTCTGAAGGTCGTTCACAGCGAAAAGCCATATGGAGTACGCGTACTTCGCAAGGCTAGTCGTGAGTTGCCCCCCCACAGCAATGGTCTGATTTGGAAGAAGAATCGTCTGGAGGCAAAAAGTCAGTTAGCATGCCTGAAAGTCTCGCCAGAGATGTTATCATCAACTTGCCTCCGCTTTGACGAGCCCCGCTTGAAGATATTTTCTGAAGCTTGACGGCTTCCGAGAATTGAGAAATCCAGCCATTGCTAGGTGATAGTGTGTCATGTAGCCACAAGTGCTAGAGCAATGACAAAGTTGAATCTTCATAAAATACAGGAATTCAGGTATAACCTTTTGAGGCGGGGTATGAGCAGAACATCCTAGCCCCTGACATCCAATGTCGAAACAAAACTGCTGCAACGAACCGTCGCATGCCTGTATGAGGCCACATAATGATCTTTCAAGGGTCGTCAATGCCGCCGGACAGATTTACAGCACTTGAGAAACCTCCCCCTGGTTTGCCGGCGGAGACGTCGTGTCAGAGTTTCTGTTGCTGTTGTTGCATAGCCCCTGATCTGGGCATCAGTCGAACCAAAATAGTAGTATTCGATCTCGAAGCCATGATTTCATCGTACATTGTCCAAACTACTCTAGGAAGGAGAATAGCTTTTCCTGCTAGCCCGTGATTGCTCTTTTGGCTTACGTCCCCTAACTCTGCCCTTTGTTCAGCCATGCTTGGTTGTCGCCTTTGACCCGGCCTTTCAATTCAGCTCAGGAAGCTTTCATCCATTAGGATGTAGCCTTGCCAACATAAGTTCATCTTCGAACACAGTTGCTGTCTTGTTCTTCGCAGTTCTTTCGCATATTGTTCTAGGACGTAACGGTCGACTCGACCAAAAACTGTAGCGAGGAGCATGGTCGAAGGGAAAGCCCATCATCGGCTGACCGCACTCCAAGTCTATATGTTCTTAGACCACTACAATTGTCAACTATTGCCAAGTCCCGACAAGCATCTCTGGTCCCGGTACGCAGCAGGGCCCGTGACATCGGAGATGGCGGTGTGATATCTGTCTACTTCCAAAGCCCGGTGTTCAATACTTATCAAACAACCGGATAACCGGCACGATTGCAGTTGAAAGAAGCTCTAATTCATGGGAGAGCAAAGAATTCATTGGTCAAATATGTTTGCTTGCCTCCCGCATAGCCGCTAACCATATAATAAAAGCTGCCTGCCGCCAATGCCGCAGAGCTTCACCACGCGTAGCCGGCAAACTTCCCGGAATAAGCCAGGCTAAAAAGTGTTAGGGATAGTGTCTTGGACCCTCAGGAGTAAGTAAGGTTGACTAACGTCGGCAACCTACAGCTTGACTGGCTAAGGCCTTTGACTGCTTGCAGATCCTTGCATGGCCATGGTTCGCACCAAGCCTCCAGTGTAGCAGCAGCTGGGTTCTAAATGAGCCCAAGCCCGTTCCCAGCAGTCAGCGATGCTGGCCTATCGTCCACATTCGCTACGAAGTTCTTACCTCTGAGCGTACTCGGAATGCTCGCTGGCAACTGTTCTTTCCCGTTGATTCCTCTTTACCGCGCTAAGAACTGGGAGCAAGAGAAGTACCCACATTCGCAAATCAGCAGCCTAAACATAACAATGGATGTGGACAACCATGCCTAGCTGCGCTCTGTAAGGCTGATTTGCATCACAAGCCGATGGTTCGCTCTTGAGAGGAGTGCTTGGGAGAAATAAGGGCAATGCTAGATTATGTATCGATGCTAATGACTAACTTCAGGTCATATCATTTGTGAACGGCATGTGAGCAATGCTTGGCTGCCAGCGTCACTGGGACCTTTCTACAGGCTTCTGTCCGACCACAGTGTACCTAGTGAGTGCAGCGTAGGACCCCTCCCGGGTCACCTTGGCTGAGTCTCTGAAGATCTCTTGTACTTCTTGCATCTTCCTCTCATCCAACCTGCCGTTCCTGGTCAGCGCCTCAACCGCTAGGAATCCACTTTCAAAGAGCCTCTGGCCAATGTAGTGCGGAGTCTCTCGCTGATCAACCTCAACTTTCGTGAGCCCCACCTCCCCAAATCGCTCCCCCAAACTAGGCACCCATGCTGAGTGAAGCCTGGGGTCATTCCCTCGAAACAGTTTCATAATTCTCTCCTGCGGCTCGCCATCAATATCGGGTCGCGCCTTCTCGATTCTCTGCGAGGTCATGTCGACGTCCGTCCATTGGAGATAGCCGCCTGGTTCTGATAAGGAGGTCAGCTCTACCCTTGCCACAGTATCGCAGGACGGGGAAGGGATGGAAATACTGAGAAGCTTGACAAGGTTACTCAACGCATTCTGCAGCTCATGCTGCTGGAGGACGAATGCGAAGTGACGAACGCTAACCAAGTCGTACACCCCAGCCAGATACTCCGGGACCTCCATCTTGACATCCCAATGATGCAGGGTCATGTTGGGTGGGAGCCATTCGCGCGGCGGACAGGCGTCGAATGAGATGTCCAGGCCATCCAGACGAACAGACTCGGACAGTCGGGGAGCCAGATCGGTGAGCCAGATCCTGAAGTAATCGTCAGCGAAACTCTCGCTATCAACAATAGAGCCTAAAGTGCCTTACCCAGTACCTGTCCCGACATCTGCAATCCTCATGTTGAGATCACTCGTCGAGATCGAAGGATGAATATGGTATCCAAACACCTGGCAAATGAAATAATGTTGCACATTGATCCTAGGCACCGTCAGCGTGTCCCGGTGGTAGATGGCTTTTTCGCGTTCTACCGTGCGTTGTCCAGGTAGCTTCTGTCAAAGACATATTGGTCTTTCGCCTCGGAGGCCATCTTCTGCGACATGTAGTGAGATGGGAGTAACTTGCGGAAAGCTGAAGCACGTCTCTGTACCAGACACTTTTGTATGGTGTTGTGCTATAGAATGTTTCAGAGAAAGGAAAAGAAAGAGGAAATAAGAAGTCGGAGGGGGGTCTAAAAAAGAAACTATGAAAAGTTGTCCAGATGCTAGTGCTCCTTGTTTGTTTCACACGTGTTGGAATCCTTGGCTTATTCCTAAAAGAGAAATCTAACAAACAGCCCACGTACATCCGCGACAGGCGATATCCCTGTCAGACACCCCACCGCACTAGGTATAATTCACTAACTCTCATTCTAGTAGTAGTTGTAAATGCCCCCTCACTCCTGGATCCTCTCATTTTCATCCTGCTGTAGCATCCCGCTACGGCTGACAGCATAGCCTCGTCCGCCTGCATTGCTCCTCTCAGTTGAGCTGATGCATCTATGACGGGGATCTGTCTTCTATGAGAGGATATGACCGCCATGTTTAGGTCTCGTTCCGAAGGGGTCTATAAGTGTGCTATAGGAGTGAACGTGGACTCTCTGGGAAGTGCAAGGTTCACACTCAGCAATGGGAAATTCCACGGTGGAGGGACACTCCAACTTCGATATCGATGAGACCAGGCAACCTTTACTTTACGCTGTCTTCTCCTCATTCCTGGTTCTGAGCACTTTGGCGGTTATCCTCCGTTTTATCTCACGGTCCATTGCACGTGTCGGTCAGCACCGCGATGATATCTTCATTGTGATAGGATGGGCCCTCTACATGGCCTTCATCGGCGTCGCCATTGGTATTGATACATGCGTTCCTGGGAGTACAAACTTCCGCTGACCAGAGCCTCATAGGCGATGTCAAAACCAGCGGTCTTGGTTTACACCAAGCTCTTGTCAATCCTGAGATGATGCAAAGCTGGGCCAAATATGTCTTAGCAGTTGCCTTTCTCTATGTGTTCTCCGTGGTGTTCCCCAAGATAGCTGTTTTGAGCTTATACCTCTCTATTTTCACTCGGCAGCGTATTTCACGCATCATTTGCTATGTTATCGGCGGGCTCATCGTCGGCAATTGCTTAGGATGTGCCGGGGCGGCCTTTGCCCTCTGTATCCCGCTTGAATCATTTTGGAATCCCCAGATACACGGGCGGTGTTTCGACATGAACAGCTGGTTTCGCTATGCCCGGGTCATCAACATCCTTTCCGACATTGTCTTGCTTGTCCTCCCACTGCCACATGTTTACCACCTTCAGAGCCCGACCCGGTTGAAGATTGGAGTGCTAGTCACATTCCTGACAGGAAGTTTGTTCGTTCCCCATTTTTCGCTTGAATGTCCAGTGCTAAATAGAACCGATAAGACAGGGGCCTCATAGCAAGTCTCATTACACTTTTCGAGTTTTCCAGAACCAACGCTGTGTCTGACAGCACATGGACTGGCGCATTACTCATTCTCTGGGCCATCATCGAGACTGGGATGTACCTTATTGCTGCATGTATGATCTCCTACCCGCCATTGATTAAGTATATATGGAAGGGCCTTTCCAGACGTCCCAAGGGCAGTGTGCTACTTTGTGACAGCACACATCTGTACAAGTCAGACCGGACTCAATCTTCAGCGGACGGTCGGAGAAGCCGAATTGCTGCTCGGCCATCGCGCGATGAGGAGGCGTACCAGTTGAGCCTGGTGACCGTAGCAGAGCGAGCAGTCAGTCTGCCCATCACCACCGATGGAATCCGGATTGAGCGTCGAGTTACGATTGAGTTGAACAGCCTTGACACGAACATCAATGACCGGCGATGTGAAGCTCAATCAAGGTCTGGTTGTGATTCCTAGAACTGTTATCGCATAAGGCATTTAGTATACAAATCTGCTTAATTAATGGAGGTTCAGTGGAATGCGTTGATGACGTGTATATGTCGTAATTGCGATCGACTATGGCTGGAACAAATTCCATCCAACCAGCAGCAACATTTCCTTCATCTTCGTTTCCGAAATCTGCAAGCCATAACCCCCGCCCTTCCCAGGATTACACAATTATGTCTGGTAACCTCGAGGGTAAAACAGCCCTTATCACGGGTGCCGGAAGCGGAATCGGGTAAGTCTTCCTTCCACCGCCACAAGCCTGAATCAGATAGCTCACATCTCCCCTTCCCAGGAAGGCCACGGCCCACAAACTGCACAGCTTGGGCGCAACCTTAATCTTATCGGATGTCAATGCAGATGCCCTCAAGCAATTGCAATCGGAGCTGTCCAGCAGCCCCCAGGGCCCAGACCACGTCTATCGTCAATGTGATGTCTCCCTCAGCACAGACTGTACCCGTCTCACGCAAACCGTCAAATCCTCATTCGAAAGACTGAACTTTCTCTTCAACTGCGCGGGGATCAATCCGACCGACATCCCTATCCTCGATACTACGGAGAAGTATTTCACCAAGCTGATCGATGTCAACCTCCGCGGCACGTTCAACATGTCCCGCGCGTGTATCCCACTCATGGACGAGGGGTCGGTTATGGTCAACGTGTCCAGTGTCTGCGGGCTGAAAGGCTTTGCGGGGCATTCCGTCTACTGCGCGACCAAGTTTGGGATCATTGGCTTTACGAAAGCGCTCGCGGCCGAGCTCGGCCCCAAAGGCATCCGGGTGAATGCCGTGGCTCCGGGCTATACGGATACGCCGACAATGGTCGGAAATGTCGCCGGAGGGGATGCGAATCAGCGTCTCACGGAGAGTGTCCCTTTAGGACGGTTGGGGGAGCCCAGAGAGGTGGCAGACGTGGTCGCGTTCTTGTTTAGTGAAGGGGCTTCCTGTATGTCCGGCAGTGTGATTGAGATTCATGGAGGCATGAACTAGAGGGTTGAATGGGTTTCAATAGACCTGACTTCGGTGATGTTTTGTATATATACCTCAAGAAACGTACATACATAGGTTGTATATGCACATAGACCTGGAAGACTCGGCTTGCTCAAGTCAGGATATACGGATCAATAGTGAATGTTCTTGGGGCAGTCAGTCAACTTGCAGGAGACAACGCATGATGCTGCTGACCACCTTCGTTGTCATTGTTGAATTGTCAACATTCAACCAACTTTCTCGCCCCAAGCCGAGGGAAGATTTTCTGAGGCGAAGATTTGACTATTCCTCTTCGGGCCCCGACGCAGTTTCCTCTGCCGATGGTTGCCTGAGGTATCATCCTGCCTCCGAACGTGGCGCTCGGCCAAGGGAGGAAGCACATGTGTCTCCAAGCCTATAAAACAAGCACAACCCTTGATTGTTTCTGTCTCGGGCACATTTGAACATAATCACAACGCTTACTCCTATCTTCAGGTATAAGATTGAAAAAATTGACCTGGAATCAACAATATCCTTCTGATCACCCCCAAGCACGTCAAATTCGGAGCCCCCTCCCCCGGAATTTCTCTTAAGCATAGCCGATGGCACGTGAAGCAATCAACCCCAGATCGTGGGGGTGGCGATGGCATCTTCGCTTTATCCAGACTAGTCCCCGAGGCCAGCTCGGGGGCTGCCGCGTCGGCGCCCACTCTGCGCGCCCCGACAGCCCCGAACCGCTCAGCTGATTGGTTGACAGCTCGTGTGTCAATATGAATATGATAGCTTTGTACCTCCCAATCGAGCAGAGTTAACTTCATCGCGTCGGTAGTGTGGAGGAGAATCCGGCATGGGGGAGTCAATAAAACCTTGCACGGTTGCAGCCCAGTCGATGCCTCCCCGCTTCCTCCCCCATGCCCATCATGGCCGACTTAATGGACAAGGACCTGGAGAAGGTGAACGTCGATTTTGTGGAGAATGTTGAAAAGCCAGAAAAGGGGAAGAATGTAGACCCCCTGTTGATCGACGAGACTGGTCGCATTCGACGCCTACCAGTGCCCAGCGATGACCCTAATGATCCCTTGAACTTCTCTGTCTGGGAGAAGACGGCCATCATTGTTTGTTGCTGCTGGTTCTGTGAGTTCTCTCACTTGTTGACATGTCACCTGCTAACAGTCGCAGCAATCATGTCGCTGTCGGTGGTGGGAGGGCTAGGATCCGTCCTCGATGTCTTTTTCCAGTTGTACGGCGCTGAAGGACGCACCACAAACCAGGTCGTGTGGCTATCAACCTTCCCTTCCCTGTTCGTGGGCGTGGGTAAGATATCGCCTCGGTTCAATTTTTGATTCTAAGCTGACCATGCAAGGCAACTACATCATCCTACCCCTCGCCCTTGTCTGTGGTCGACGACCCATTATGCTTATCACCACAGTCGTCCTGCTTGGCTCCCTTGTGGGATGTGCGCTGTCTCAAAATTGGGGCCAGCACCTTGGCTTCCGTATTCTGATGGGATTTGCCACGGGCGCGACGGAATCAGTACGGTTCCTCTCCAAGCGCTGTTGTTCCACCCTGACCACTGACCCATGTAGCTTCTCCCCCTCATGCTTGCTGAGTTGACCTTCGTGCACCAACGCGGCACCATTTACGGCATATACTGGGCATCGCAGAACATAATCACCAGTCTTCTCACCCTGGGAAGCTCCTACGAGGTAGCCGCGCTGGGGTGGCGCTGGTTCTACTGGGTCTTCGTGCTGACCGTCGGTGTCGGGCTCGTCATTGTGGTCTTTGGCTGCTTTGAAACTCGGTACCAGCGCGGCGCCATCTTCCTCCAGAACCAAGCCGTCATCACGGATCAATACGGCGTGACGAGAGTGCTGAACGAGGAAGAAGTCCGCGCCTGGCTGGCGGCTCAGAACGAGATCGGCGCGCCAGGGGCCAATGCGCGACCCCCCATGAAGAAGACCTACCGACAGATGCTCAACCCCTGGTCGGGAGTGTCCGCTCACCCGGTGCGCATTGTGCTCAAGACCTGGTGGCAGATGCTGGAAAGCTTCAGCTCGCCCGGTGTGCTTTACGCCACGCTGCTCGCCTCGGTCGTTCTCGGCGCGTCGGTCGGAATCTCCTTGACTTACAACACGGTCCTCCAGTACAACTACGACTGGAGCGCGGCGAGTATTGGTCTGATTAATCTCGGTGGTGTCTTCGGTGGACTGGGCGGGATGTTGTACGCAGGCATCTTCGGCGACCGGTTCATTGTCTGGGCTGCCAAGCGCGCAGGGGGCGTGCATCAACCCGAGCATCATTTGCTCCTGCTGATCGCGCCGGGGCTGCTGGCGGTAGCATCACTGATTCTGTATGGATTCACCGCAGATGGCAACGCCACCTGGGCGGGCCCGTTCATGGGCTGGACGCTGTTCCAAGTGGCTTTCGTGTCGGTGCTCATTCGCACGACGTCCTTTGCCACCGAAGCATGGGAGAAGAACCCGGGCCCGGCACTGGTGACAGTTGTGGGGACGAAGAATCTGGTCAGCTTTGGGGTGAGCTACGGGTTGAATCCGATGGTCGCCAAGTATAGCTATCCCGCTGCCATGGGCATCTTGGCGGGTGTGGTCGGAGGTGTCTTGCTTCTTGGCATCCCGGTCTACATCTTGAATCCGAAGGTTTGTTTCTATCATTTACTCGACCGTGTTCATTTTAGCTGACATATATGGAACAGTGGCGGCAACGTATGAGTGAGAAGAAGGACTGAATGAGGGGATAACAGACTTTGGTCGCACAGCCAGTAATCCAAGTTCAAAATTTTATTTGTCTTATCTACTACCTTGTATGTCCCAGTAAGCTGCTCTTGGTTCTCAAAACCATGACAGTAATCATGAGACCTTGCAAATTTGCTTGTAATCACACATCACTGATTTGTCCAGCGGTGCTCCTCGGTGCCAGCCGGTGCTTCCCCGCCCCGAGCAAAGGTCAATCTCGGGGGTGACCGAGGCTATTAAGCCCAGAAAGTCTAAGCCCTCGGCTGAGCTCGGCCGGGATTTTCCTTAGGTTGGTCATTTCCAAGCAGGACTGGCCTTCCCCATCCCCCACATTCCCGAGAGCTGCTCTATTCGGGGATGCTGGTCAAGACTCCAAATGGAAATTAGATCGAGCAGGACGATCTTCATGTTTGCACAATCACTACATGCTAGAAAACCCAGCCACAAACCCAGCCACAAACCTCGCGCTTAGAGCTTGGGCAGGCCGTCCACCTCATCGACCACCCTCTTCTTCACATCCTTACACACCCCCAACCACATCAAACCCGGCCCACTATAGTGTCCCACCGGATTCGCAAACATCTTACTCGCTAGGATGAGATCCATATCTAGATCCGCATAGATGATGCACTCCTTGGTGCCCTCCATCGGCTCAGTGAGCCGTCGACCGTCCGGCCCAAATACCACTGAACTGCCACCCTCAGGCGACGACATCAACTCGCCCCCGGTATGCGGAGACAACGACGGCCACGCCGCAACATGGATCTGCTCGCGCTACGACAGCGTCTGATACTTCAGCAGCGGCTGGAAATGTTCCCAGCACGAGAGGTGGCCGACGCGGATGGGCTCCAGATTTGCCACGCTGTCGGAACTCTCCCCCAACGCGTCGCCGAAGATCGTCCGCTCCATGTGCGTGGGCTCCATCTTGCGGCGGTGGGGGTGGATGGTCCCGTCTGGACCGATCAGGGCCTGCGCGGTGAAGAGCGAGCCGTGGTCGGATTCGGTGAAGCCGAGGGAGACGGCGATGGAGTTGACCTGGGCGCAGGAGGTGATCTGGGCCATTTCAGGGGAGTCGATGGGGAGCGCGTTCCTGATGGATTCGATGTTGAGGGCTGTGCACGGTTAGTTCTCGATGCGAGGAGCCATGGGCGTAGAGGGGTGCGTACCATATTCAGCAGGGATAGCCTGGCATCCAGCATTCCGCAAAGGCGATCAACTGGGCCTTGTTCTGCGCGGCCTCGACGATCAATTGACAGGTCTTGGCCACCTGCCCTCCAGATCGAGTCAGACCGGCTCGGCCTTTGTGACGGTCACTCGAACGAGTTGCTGAGACGACATGCTGTCTTTCTTAATCCTACAGGTTAGATGCAGTGAGGACTTCTGGCTGCCATCTTACATCGATGATTGCTCTGCTCTAATATCATCGATTCAACCCTGCACAGCTGTCAACCGCAGATCCGATTACGGAACAGTTCCCACTTTCCGCACTACCGTTATCGAAGATATAGCTCGATATGCGATGCTATCTCCAGCATGTTTACACAATACACGGAAACACGGATACCGCTGCCAAAGACTGTTCGTAGGCACTCTCGACCAACCGCCGGAACTAAAGTTCACAAAGCACGCCCATTGGATCTACTACGGCCAGGTGAGTGCGGGAAATCTCGCAGATGTTCTTGCATCTGCCAGCTTATCAGAATCATGCCATACACATTGTTCGAGTGGTGGAGGAGGGGGTTGATCTCACCCCGCTAATGCCATCGTAACCTTCAGCTCATGCATGAAGATTTTTACTGCAAGCTCCACTCCAGCCTGTCCTCCATACTGCGACCGATTCAAATTAGTCAAACTGCACCTACGCTTTCATTGAGAAAAGCTTACAGCCAACCCCCATACCGGCACTCTCCCTAAGAAGCAATGCTGCGCCCCCAGAGACAAAGCCTTGAAGATATCCGGGCCACGTCGTATTCCCCCATCAAAGGCCATCGACACCTTCCCCGTCGCAATTGAGGCACATTCGCGCACGACATCTAATGTCGCAGGAACGCCATCTAGCTGCCGGCCACCATGGTTGGAGATGACGATTCTGTCAACGCCGTGTTCGATCGCCAAGACCACGTCTTCGGGGGTGTAGATGCCCTTCACCCAGAGTTCCATTCTCGTGAGCGAGCGCGCCAGCTGATCTCTTCGGCCCACGAGACGTTGATGTCTGTAGTATATCAGCATTTTATACAGAATGGGGGTGGAGATGAGCGAACCGCACCGTATTCGATATCCGGAAAACCCTCGCCCAAAGGCTGATCAGAGACATTGGGGTACGCGATCCCGTCCGGAAGAGCCATCTCATTGCGGAGCTCGTTGTGCCGGATCCCGAGAATCGGATAGTCGACTGTGAGGAAGACCGCTTTGTAGCCGGCAGCTGCGTGGAGGTGAGTAACTTGTCTCAAGCACAGGAACTTGACTCAATACCTTCCGCTCGCTTCAGCATCTGCACCGCATAGCTCCAATTCTTCAGGATGGTCAGTTGGATCGCATAGGGATTCAAGCCGATCCCCGGGCTGCGATATCCTCCAGTGAAGTGGACGAATAGGTAGACACGGTCATCCCAATACCTAGATTCGCCACTGCACGAGAGGTTGCAAGCTCTCCGTCGGGATGGGCGAGCTTATTTAGAGCGATGGGCGCAAAGCCCAGCGGACCGGTCACCTTGGAGCCGAAGAGCACGGCAGAAGTGTCGATGTTGGGAACTTTGACCAGAACCCGCGGGCGGATCTTGTGGCGATCGTAAGCGGTGGTGTTCTCGCACATGCTGTATAGTAGACTACGAGACCCGTGGTGTCTTGAAGAAGAGTGTTACATACCTGGTCATGTCCGTCGCTCCTTCGTTGAACAATTCGGCGTAGGGACGCGGTAGCTTCTTGGTCGCCTCTCGCTGGAGGTCGGCGATTGATAATACATGAGAGCCGTGATACGGAGGGCGACTGAACATGGTAATTAGGTATTGAGTACGATTACAATGGAAATGAGACAATAGTATAGCTTTCTACAGAGGTAGAAGAGGCGGGGAGAGCGATGTAAGGAAGATAGAACAAATTGGCCAATGTCCGGCAGAAAACTTCGGGGATAGCCCTGCCTAAGGCTAGTCTTTGGCTATTGACCTGTCACATCTTGTACTGTGCATCCTGGTTGGCAGTGCACAGTAGCACACAAGTGCAGGCTGCGAATTCCCCGCACTCATTGTCCGAGCCCGATTCATCTTCAAAGGAAGGAAAACTACCGTATACTAGTCATGACATTTTTCACATCTTCTGTCTTGCATGCGATATCTTCAACGCTTGCTGTAGGTGTTGTATATACTTGTCCAGGGCATCTGCATTGTGGATGACAACAGTCTCGAAGAGAGACAGGTTTATCAAAGGCAAAAGCTTGTCTCAATTGGATCCCTTGTCCATAACCACATACCTATCAGCAAGATGTTGAATAGCAAATGCTTCTTTGCGCTTCTGAGGTTGGCTCTAGCTCATTAGCGCAAAGCGCATAGGCAAGGTATGCATCGCATTACTCAATTTTCATTTCACAAGCTCTTATCGGCACTGATCTCTTTCCGTGCTCTTTTTGTGTATGGGAGAAGAAGAGGTCCGAGAGCCGGAGTGTTCCTGATTGGTGAGAAGGTCCCACAGAGTGTGGAATGGACGGGATGTGCGCGCTATACTTCTTTAGGACGAATCCCTCACAAGAGAATTTCTGAGTGGAGCTACTGTCAGAGTTCGTGAAAGTGAGAATGGTAAACGCCACGTCATTGTCAAATGGGGTTTTGGAAGTGGAAATGTGAGATCAATAAGGTCGGGATATGTTGTACCTCCCTCCTCAAGTCGCTGCTGCGGGCCGAAGTTGATAGCCTCATGTACTTTGGGTGATGGACCTGAAGATATATGTTTAATGCAACAGATTTGATCCTGAGTCTAATGCTTGTGCATGTAGCCTCGCAAAAGATCAATGTAGTAGCAGGCGTGGTGGAGATATTTACTAGGATGATCATTTCAGAAGCACTTCAGACGATGATGACTTGCCGCTTCCCAGTGTCTCGGCGACTCAAGCACAGGCACGGCTTGTTGTTGGTGCATCGTCTAAGATCCACCCACGAGAGTCATTTGCATGCTTGTATTGCCGGATATAGGTACCAGATCTATATATCTCCACATAATCCGGGAACCGTGCTCGATTTGTAGCCAGTGCCCAAGGTTCTTTGCACTTTTCTTCACACTCAGATACATCGTAGCAGCACAAACATCCGGAGGGACGAGCGATTGAAGCACACAAGCTCACTTACCAGCTACTTTCATTATGTCATCTCTCATTATATTGTGGAAAACAAGAAGGAAGTGATATTAAACGATAGAATAAACCCAGATAGCCGCCCTTCCAGACCCAACTCCAACCGATCCCAATCCATAATGTTAGCCATACGCCACGATGACCTGTCGACTGACGACGATATCAGCTTCGCCGGGCCTCTGCCCGTCCTCGAGGATCTGTCGGTCGCTGTCCCCGTCGCTGAAGCTGTGTTGACGGCCGTCTCCAGCCACAGTGCTCGTGGTGATGTGGGTGGGGTTCTTGCCATGCTCGGCGAGCTCGTAGGTGCGCGAGAACACGCCGCCGGCGCCGGTATGGTGCGAGCTGTTGAAGCCAGGCGATCGCTTGTAGTTCTTGTAATCGGAGGTTTTTCGATCGCGCAGGATGCGGAACAAGGGACGCAGCGTCGCGATGTTCCCGACAATCATACCTATCGCGTTCTCCGCGAACCCCCAGATCACCACGTTTGCCAAGCCGAAGAGGTAGTCGGATTGCGCCGTTACGGCGACCGTGTACTTGAGTCGAACGCATGCTGACATCGAGGCACTACATGTTTGAACTGTATTAGCGGAATGTCGCACGGGCAAAGGCATCAATGGTTTCACGTACAAGATACCGAGGCCCATCAGTCCGACGATCGAGATCTTGGTGTTGCGGTTGATCTGGACATTCCAGAGCAAGGGAACAGGCAGCAAAGCAGTCACCCAGTCGGTCAAGATATTCACAGCCGTGCAGGCGTAGTACACATCGGCAAGGACGTGGGAAGGCTGGCAGTGGCCTCCGTTCTTAAGTGCCTCCTCATTCCAGGCAGCACTACGGCTCAGTTAGTACTCCATCATGGTGATCACATCGAATCATATGGATTGACATACTCGACAGGGACGCAATTGATGAGGATGAAGATCAATGCGATGATGTTCATAATCACAAAAATTGCGATGACCACATATTGGATGTAGAGGTAAACCTTGCGCCCCTCCGCGACTCGAATCAACATCCAGCTAATACTGAGCTTGATCGGGATAATGGCAGCACAGTAACCAACTTCGAAAATGAGGAAGAACTTGCGAGCTATTAGCATCACCCATTCACTCCACCCGATGGTGCCTCCATACCTTCTTGCCGTCCGCCTGGTAGTGCACGTTCTCCGGCTGTTCCAGCCGCCAGTTATGTATCCCGATCCCATTGAATGCACCTCCCACACATCCAGCCACCAGTACGGCAAACGGAACCTGTTGTTGAGAGTATCAGCTCGGTTCCAAAGGACGCATGCAGGGGCACTCACCAACGCGCCTGACATGATCCAGTCTTCCACCCCCCATGACTTCCGGGTAGCTCGACAGTATACCCGGGCGAGAAAAGTTAAAAAGGCGAGCGTCGTCAGCATAATGACACTGCCGGCCACCGACGGCGCAGCATCGGTGTAGATGGCCATGACGTTGAAGTCGAGAAGGATGTCGTAGTCAGCCTTGTGGTGCTGTCAAGGACATGGGTGTAAAACGCAAATTGAAGTAAACATGGGGGAGAGGGAGGGGATGTGGGCATTGAGTGGGGTGATCAGTAAGGATATAATAACTTGTACTACGTACTCGCAAGGAAAAGGGTCTTCTTCTGCAGGAGTCCTTTGATTGTAAACCTGTAGTCTAACCCTAACCAGAGGGCAGTTAGTTCATTTCATGTGCCCACTCATTACTGGAATAGGCATCCGGACGGGCCACGAGACGAGGTGGAGTTCGTGGCAGTCATGCACTGAGTAAGTAAGGTATTCATCCATTCCTCCACTTAGAATGCGAGCCTACGAGGACCCAAGAAACCTTAAAGGATCGCCAGGTTCGAGCATAAAATCCTCATCCCCAACTGTTAAATCCACCGTTAAGGAGAAGAAGTGGCGTCTGTGATTTGCTGTCATCGTCCGAATTGCATCCGCGGCAAATCAGCGCGAGTCAGGACCAAGCTCCACTGTAGCCCTTCTTAGGGCAGTATTGCCACGCCGGGTAGCATTTGATCTGCCCAGTCTAGAACTTTCACAACATCCTTTCGGCAAATCCCTATTTGGCAGCTCAATCCGATTTCAAAGAGAAAAGTCTACTCTCTTCCAGTTTCTGCTCGGCCGTCTCTCCAAGCGAGATAACAATCCGCACTCTAGTTGAGTACCATCTTTCTCAATAATGCCCAGCCTCGTGTCCGCTGTTAGTGCCCCAGGCGCGTCCCTCAGGGGATTCTCCGACGGAGTTCATTCGGGAAGCAGAACCAGTCTCTCGGGACCATTGGCCCGGGGAAAGTTGACGAAAATGGTTGATAAACGTGCATGAAGCACCCCGCCATGGGCACCGCTCTGACGCACTAACGCAGGCACTGGGTCTTCCTGCCGCGGTATGAGCAGTTGACCCGAAACCACCACTGGCTTTGGTCGGTCTGTCATGACTCGCTGTCAGGCAATTGGTTCCAATGTATATCCGGTTTAAGCTAGCACGCTCAAAGTTGGCTGGTTGCCCGCCTCCACCGCTTGCGACCGAGCGTGCTGCGGTGCTGCGAGCTTGCCACACGCCGGGCATGCCCCTCCGGTCTTCCCCTTCAACGCGGAAGTTGGCCGCAGGGGAGATTAGATCACAAATATAAATTTAAAGTCTGGTTCGTGCCAGCAGCTGTACATGTTTCCGGAGCTATCTGCATTCTGCAGGTCTGAAACACCTCCGTCAATTTCGCGGTTCTAAGAATACTTACCTTCACGCACCCACGCGCCTGGACGCGCCGGTTCCTTCGTCGTCGATCTCGGGGAAGACCATTCCTTCGTCTCGTTAGCACGCCACACTAACCCACGACTTTGCTGCAGGGGAAGTCTAGCGTCCTCGCCACTACGAGCGAGTTGCGGGTGGTCTTCAGGGGGTTGGGGCTTGGTATCATTCTGTAGCCATGGTCGCAAGTACTTAGCAACTTGGCGATACCATTAACTATGGTGGAACGCTGACTCACCAGCACGGATTTGACCGGCCAATTGCCACTCAAAAGCAACGATTACTCAGAATAATCTAGAATTAATTCCCTTTGGCCCGACTATCGAAATCTATCGCATTCACCTTCCATGTCACCTGAGAACCTTAACGGGATGACTGCCGAGATATGGGGGAATTGGAGACGATTTGCCGACAGCCCCCCCTCTCAAGCATACTTTCGCCTATCTTCTTAATGTGTCGCCATCTGAACTCAGACTTCCCCGTCGCGGGACCTAAACCCGGAGTGAAAATTGCACGATCGCCCAGGACAGGCAGATCTCTATCTCAAATATATTAATCAGCATGACTAGTATATTGACCCTGAATCATTCAGATAGTAGTACAAATATAAATAGGGACAATGAATCTGCATTGGGCAGTGAACAAATGCTTGATTCGTTCTATGCGTTTGGATAAGTAAGAATTGATTTCTCGCTACTAGCATTTTTACCACCCACGAGCATACTGGCAACAGCCGAGTCAGACACAACTCTTATCCAGAACTTCCAAGCCAGATATACGAATCATTGACTTCGCGGCTTATCTGAAGACCGATCTCGTCCGGGCCAAGACAGAAATAGCTGCTATTAGGCCATTGAATGCATCTGTTGTACAAATGCCGTGGAAGACGGTTGCGCTCGGCCAAAACCTTACTTCTATCGTCTATTGACTTTCAAGGTCTTGGAGCAAAGTTAGAAATGGTAGTGATTGCACCCGGGGGCGCTCTGTGAGGAATTAGGAGGTCTAAACGACCATAGCATGAAAGCACGTGGCTGGAGTCTCTGAAGGAGGTCAACTGACCAGGATAAGCCCTAGTCACTGAACTATTTCCACCGTTTGGTTGCGTACATTGCATCGTCACCACATTTTCTGACGGTAAATTATGCAGAGAACATGACTTACTTCTGTGCATCTGACTAATTATGAAGCACCGGCAGTTCGACATGCTGATCCTCCTTGTTCCGAGTCTCCTGCATACAATTGATCATGACATCTCCGCGGAGGTTCCTTGACTAGGACGTTCCACAGGCGAACAACCTGTTACTAACGGACTTGTTTGGATGATTGCTGAGGAATTCGAATTCCCGTCTATTGCGGATTATGCTCATAATCGTATGATGTAGACCAAGCTATACTTGCTGTCTTGATTCTTGAATGCTTCATCATCCTTCCGTCATTAGGGCTGACCGGGCGCAGCAGTGGTGACTCGAGGTGAGTCTTCCTCAAACGGGGCGCAGTGGAACCGCCGTTACCCTGGGAGTTGCCTTTCCACGACCGGCATGGATAGTGACATGCCCACCCGTCCGGCCGGATTTGCGTCTCCTTTTCACCCACTCACCATTCACCTCTCACCATTCACCTCTCACCATTCACCTCTCACCACAACCCTCCGCTATCTTAATGCGTGCATCGTCATCTCGAGGACCCGGAGAAGGTAGGAGGGAAGACGAAGCTGCGATGAAAGCTCCTCGGTTACTCGGTTGAAGACGGAACGCGCACGGGTCCAGGGGTAAGTCACTATCCGACTAGGATGATTGCTGTTCGAGACTTCCACCAGTCACTTGCGTGCTTCAAGAGAGTGCAGGCCCAGCGACGTACTATACCCATGCGTCAAGACATGCCTGCTCGTCATGGAAAATAAATGCGACCGATGCGACCGAGTCTTAGTTCTGCTCCGACCCGGGGCCTTTTTCTTACCACGCGAACAACCGGGACACTTATCCCATCCAGACCAAGAAGGATCGTGACCTTCAACATTGAATGGTAGGGACAGAGAGTCGAAGGCGAATATACGAATGAGTCTTCGTTGATGCTCCGTTTGGTCCTAATATCGCATTGCAGGGGATCCCGAGTCAAATGGACGATAGCATTGACTCGGCCCCCTATTCCGCAGGATCAATTTTTTCTTACACCTCGAAAACACGTTAGTTCCTCTTTAGGAAATCCAGTCGCAGCCATCGTCTCATAGCAAATAGTTGAAACACTGTTTCGGGCCCGTCAAGACCCTTGGAGCCGGAGATTAGGGGCAGTCTGGCCTAATGCGGACCGGGGCACTCAACCCCTCGCCAATGACATCAAACAGATTCCGGGGTCTTTCATGACGGCGCAAGTGTTGAAGAGATCATTCTGCGCCCTGCCTTTGGTTTGGCACGGATTTCGACTACCTGCTCACCGGGACGCAAATCACATGATCGCGTTGGCGCGTGCATTCGCTGCGGTGATAAAACGGGACCATCAAGCCAATGTAAGTCAAGATGTGGACTTAGCCCGACAGGAGAAGGACTTCGAGGGATCGATCGTAAGGCACGAAGGACAGGCTAGGTAGGTCAAGTGGCGGCCGGGTATGTTGAAAACAGATTGGGGACTCATGCTTGTTCGAGTGAGCATTTGGAAAAAGATGAAGTGCATGCGAGCGCGAGGTCCGAGCGAGGACTCTCGTTGCCAGAGCATATTCCAGGATTAAGACTGGCGTGGTATGTCGGTAAACAGATAGCATTTCAAGGTAGAATGCGCTTCATCAATCCACCTCTTCACAGTGCAAGGTGCAATGGTAATTCGTTTAGTGTTATATGCTATATAGTGCTCTAGGAACACTACTACCACTGTTTTGACTCGATCCTACAATCGTCTATCCCTATTTCCAGTTCTCTTCACACCACTATCTTCAAATATTGTACGAAACGGCACACAACATCTCTAGGGGGGGTGATAGTACTGCGAGTGCTTATCTGGGGTATATTGATATCAGACTGAGCTAATAGTGAACCAAGAAGAAATCTTGATTTTTTACAACAGCATACAGACCGTTTCACCCCATGTCAAGGGACAGAGTCCACCAGTTCCGCCATCAAAACACATTGCCCGCCTTAGCTGCTTCTTGCTGAATGAGACGCTCGTGCTCGGGGCTGCGCACAGTCACCTTAACCGGGAAAGGTTGCTTGTCAAGGCAGAAGTGGTTGAGTTTGCGTGTATCGACGCTCCCATCCTGATCTATGTCAGTCACTATTCTCGCAAGCAAAGGGCATGATCTTACCGAGCTCAAGTCGAAGCAATATATGATTCTCGCCATGGCAATATACAAGGCTTGTTGCGCCACCCTATATCCGACACATATGCGACGCCCACCACCGAATGCCCACAAACCATGGGTGATATTTCTCTCATTCCCGTCGAGCCACCGCGACGGGTCGAAGCAATCAGGTTCCTCGCATTGCTGGCTCAGCGCAATCTCGTTAATGACAAAGCAGGTCCCCTTTGGGAAACGATAGCCCTCATATGCGAGATCCTCGGTAAGCTGATGCTGCGGGGTGACGGGCGTGGTGGGTCGCCAGCGGAGGACTTCCTTCACTATTGCAGCGAGGTAGGGCAGCTGGTCAAAGTCGGCCATGCCAGGCAGACGCAGAGCACCGTTTTCGCCCACGCAGATAGCGTCCATCTCTTTACGAGCCCGGGCCATTGTCTCCGGATGGCTGATCATGGCCATGATGAAAGTGTTAAGCGTCATCCGAGTATTGTCGCTGCCAGCTGCAATGACTGAGTTGGCGAGGTACATGGCTTCCTCTTCCGTACCCTTATACCTCATCTCCGGGTGGAGGAGAGTATCTCGAACAAACCCGGGTTTGGCGGTGCCTTCTTGCACTGCAGTCCGGATAGGATCCCACCAGGCCTTGAAGACTCGGTGGTGAAAGTCCCCCATCTTCACCCAAAAGTGCCGCCACCACTGCAATGGAGTGGGTACTAAGCGGCTCAATATGGGGAAGTAGTCGACGAAGCTGCAGAGCAGGCTCAAGGTAAACTCCATCGTGACCTGCTGGTAGTCATCCAGTTCGGACTGGGTCTTATCAAGGTTCTCGCCCATGACGAGTCGGTACAGCACCGCGATGGAATAGCGATAGTGATGCGCATACCACCGCGTCGGCTCACGAACATATGCGGAAAGCATCTGCAGCGACTCGATCTCTTGCCAGTTGCCATAAATGCGCAATACAGATCCGCTGAGCAGATGGTGCATCACCCGTCGCCCCTCCGTCCACGATGCTGTAGGACGGAGGACAGTCCGTAAGCCATGACTCACCAAGTCGCTGGCGATGGGCATCTCCGGGCGCTCGTTAGTGATCTTTCCATGTTTGTTGATGAGGTCGGTGACCACCTGGGGTTCGTTGAGCACCACCCAGGTCTGGGAACCCATGCGTAACGTGGTCATGGCTCCATATTTACGGAGAGATGCGAGCTATGTCAATTGTGGTCAGCATGAGCTTGGGGGAATCGCAGCGAATTGCGGCGTACAAAGGGGGCCCATAATCCCGCATCGCGAGCCTTTGTGAATTGAAACATATTGCCGAACACCGGCAGTCCCGGCGGCCCAGGGGGCAACTTGCGGCCGGTCCCCACGAGTTTCCATAGAAGAGTTCCTGGTAAGAGAAATTTGTACAAGAGCCAAAGAGCCCCAAAGAAGGCTCCGATAAGGCAAATGTGTTCGACGCTTGAAGACATAATTACCTTTGGCGATTGTGCAATGTTCTCGATGAGTGTCAATCTTGTCAGTGTTCCTAGCAGTTGGACGAAAGAACGCCTTTGTATTACCTCAGTCGGAGCATTTCCCCCGTTCGCTACTAGTGGCCTGTTCTTCCAGCAAATTCTCTCCAGCCCCTGTTCTCTTTCCTATCTAAGCGAGCTAGCCATAATTGACGTGAATACATAATCCAGAATTTGGGGGGCTGCAGCTCTCCTCCATGATCCTGCGCAAGTCAGCCCTAATCCCAGTTGGGTTTGGTCTGGCGCCTGGGCGTTTTGCAAAATTACTGCCTCATGTACCGGTACATTTCAGTTAAAATAAAGCAGACAAAGAAAGTAAATTAAAAAAAAGCCACTAAGACTAGTATTGCAACACATATCAACTAGTTCTGCTACTGAATGGTCAGCATCAGCCCGTAAGCACCCCTCATTTCTCACCTCCCAGCCTCGTAGATACAACAGCTATAAAAACCCCTCGATCGGCGACCAGCAAACGTCGGGGCCTCGCCTTGAATTCAGATCCTTCGAATGGGCTTATTTTCTTGTTGTTCCTCGCGCGGTCGTGCTCCTTCGGATCGCCCTAATCAATCCTCTGGCGCGAACGCAGCAGCTTCTCCCACGATGGCTGATGTGGAGTTTCTAGCTCTCACCACCAAGCCTTCGGCGCGGTTGGCTTACACCTTCCAAGCCCCTGAGGCAACCACCAAGCCTGTACTGGTAGTCTTCCTGAACGGTCTGGGACTTCCTCAAGCCTTCTGGCAGCCAGTCATTGCTCAATTGAAGACACTCCGCCAAGGTGGCAGTCTCCCCGCCTTTTTGACCTACGATCGCTTCGGTCAGGGCCAGACTACCGATCGTGATCCCCAGGATGCAGGAGCCGAGGATCCCACTCATGGCCACGACTGTCTAGCCTCTGTGCAGGATCTGCGCCAATTGCTCGTCCAGATTACCACTGAGAAACTGGGTGTCTCCGACGTGGACTCCGTGTCGCTGATCCTGGTCGGCAACTCGATCGGCTGTGCGCTTGCCCGTCTCTACGCGCAGGAATACCCCTGTACCGTTGCTGCTCTATTGCTGCTCGACAGTGTGCTGGCCAACTCCGACTTCGTCTCCGTCTTCCCCGACCCCGACGCTCCCGACTTCGATCCTGCCAGCATCCAGCCGATCCCCGTTGAAGCTATCCGTGCGGTGCGGGCCGGTGCCCGTCGCATCTTCCACCCCGATGTCGGCAGCAAAGAAGGTCTCAGCCGGCGCAACCTGCGCGAGTTGCTCCCTGCCAGCGACGGGCCCCAGCTCAAGGGACCGGATGGCCACGGCCCGTACGTCACGGTGGTGGGCCACGACTTCGATACCTTCGCTGAGGAGTCGGCCAAGATGGGCCCGCCCAAGGGAGTGACGAATCGCTTTGTCAACCCCTACTGGCAGCGGTACAACGAGGGATTGGCCAAGATCACAGAGCCCGATTACAGCAAAGGGCCCATCATCGCGCCTAACGCGGGCCACTTTGTGCAGAAGGACAACCCGGAGTTTGTGGTGCAGGAGCTGAATGAGTTGTTGGAGAAGGTTCTGTAGGATGATGATGATTGACTATGAGATATTTTCTTTAAAATTCTATTTGTTTAATTGAGACACTGTAAACGTGGCTTCGTAATTCGTGACCATGTGCATGGAAATATGATACTATCGTTCTGCTAAAGACAACTTGTTCGCAGAGTTAACATTAACTTTCTGGTGTAAAGAGCAAGGTTTTTTTTCCGCGAGAAGTACGCGGAGATCGCGAGCTGTGTTTTGGCGGTACCTGGTGGGGGTAGCCTACCGATAAGAGAAGCAATGTGCTCACATAACCTCACGACACATCGGATGATCAGGCTGTCTCTCTATCTTGGCTGGGGACAAGGCTCGCCACAAGAAACCTACTGTTTGGCTTAGTGCATATTCGTGCCGCTCAACGTTCTAGCGCTTATCTGGCGGTCTAGTCCGCGTTGTTGCTCAGTCATCGTGTCATCTCTGTCGATGCCATGGACTAATGTCCTTGATATCGTAGGGCATGGGACCATGTGCGAGGAGCGGGTTGCTGCGTGATACCAGAATGATTATCATAACGGGCGTGGGGTCGGGATTTGCGACCGTTGCAGAAGGCTGATTGCTTACCTGGTGGAGAGCGAGAGAAAGAGAATCAGACCAAGTGGAGACAAACATGACTCGTATTGGTGTCAATACACTTATGTGAATTTTTCATTTCCTTTCGGCCCCAATCCTACCGTTCCACTGCCTCGCCAGGGGCATGGAGGGGCTCGTGCCCTGATGATACCAAGCTTGTTGCTCCTCTCCCTTGTTGCCATCGAGCCCTACTTATCATCTATAATATAGTCTGAAGAATGTTCAATTAGTCGCCCCCACCTTGTCTGCAGCGAAGAACACGAGCGAGCTGGCCCGCACCACTGGGCTGGTATGCAACCACATGGTATTCCTGCAAGAGGGGCGGGATGAAATGGTTGTGGTTGCATTGTAAGGCAGAATACTGTCGGTGATGAGGAGTCTGTATCTACATCACCTCGCTCAAAAGCCCGTCCTTCGGGTCTATGCCTGTAGAAGTTCCACTCACCTCAGTTACATCTCATCTCGCTTGCTTAACTCATTCCGTTGGCCCACCCTCATTATCATGTCTTCAGCAGCAGCAGCAGCGGCCGCGGCCGCCGCATCAGCAGCGCACCGTCCGCCAGATGTGAGTATCGGCTACAGACTGGAGGTCGGTACGACCGTCACCTTCATCTGCGCCTTCATCGTCGTCAGCCTACGCGGCGTGGCACGCAGTGTATACGCCAAACTGAGCTGGGACGACTATTTGATGCTCTTTGCCTTGGTAAGAAACCACATTTCTTATAACTCGAGCAGGAACTGGCGGTGCTAATACTTTGTGTGGCTGAAGGTGCAAGCACTCATTGCTACGATCTTCGACTTTATAGCCGTGAACAACGGTCTTGGGCGGCATCTCATCTATATCCAGAAAAATGATGCCGTGCAGGCCATGTACTACGACCTACTGTCGCAGGTCTTCTGCATCAACGCGCTCAGCTTTGCCAAGATCTCGATCTGTCTCTCCTACCTGCGCATCTTGAAAGGCACCCGCCACAGTGTGCTGCGAATGACCTGCTACTTGACTGCCTTCCTGGTGTTCGCGGTCAACACCGTGGTGATTGTCTCGTTGTATGCGCAGTGCGATCCGCCGCGAAAATCATGGAACCCGTTTCTGCCGGGCAAGTGCTGGAAGTTCCGCACCGAGATTGCATTGGTGCTGCTGCAAGGAGGTGATTTTATCTATTCTATAAGTCAGCGCCAGTATCAGACCTCGGGACTAATGGATTTCAACAGCCTGGTCCGCCGTAACCGACTACTTCCTCTCCCTCCTCCCATTCTTCCTCTTCAAAGACCTCCAAGTCAGCCGAAACAACAAGATCATCCTATGCGGTCTGATGGGTCTTGGTGTGATGTAAGCCACCCACCATGCAGTCTTTGCATTGCCTTTCATATACTAACAGCAGAATAATTAGCACCGGAATCTTCGCCACGATCCGCACCATCGAGTCCGGTCTCGGCCTCAAGGACGGTACCAGCGACGCTTCCTATACCACCGTGATGGGCTTGATGTGGGCGGGGATGGAGCGGAACATCGCCATGATGATCGCCAGTGTACCGGCGCTCCGGCCGCTGACGACGCCCTTGGCCAAGCTGACCTCGCAGACCATGTCCTACCTCGGTGTCCGCTCGTCCAAGTCTGCGCAGAACTACGAAATGAATGCGTCTGGCTCGTTCCAGAACAAGTCCGTTGGCCATAATTCAGCGCAAGCAAAACAATACCCGGCCATGGCTGTGGCTAAGGATGTGCCGTCGACGAGCATGGAGCGGATTTTGCCCGAACGAGCACCGCGCGAAATGGTATGAAGGGGGGAGTATAATGGAGATTGGGAGTTATACTGTGTATATAGTTCATCATGTTACGTGTGGTGTATTGCTGGGTCCTGGTCTTGAGTTGTAGTGTGTATTATAGCAGTATAATGAAAATGATATGTTTGTTCACGTTCTTTTATTCTTTGTTGAACTCTGTTCTACATTATTGACGCACATGCTATTCTGTGCAGGGACAGACAGCCATGACGTTCAGAATTGGTGCAAATGAAATATCCTCCGATAGTCAAGGTTATCATCTGCAGCTACTGCCTACTGTCAACCTCTCTGCTATCAGCAAGCCTCGTAAGCCCGCCAGCAGTGCAGATTGCAGCTGACGGTGCATTAGTCCTTGATACTTTGAAACCTGCATTGCAGCTCTTCGGGACGCCCGGGATATCCCAGCTCGGTTAGCCAGTTTAGCTAGTTTAACTCCCCCGCCGCCAATACATGATCGTTGCAGGAGACTAGATTCCTCTATATGATACCATATCGCGGCCGGACATTACTATCAGCGCCAAGTCCATCGTCAGGCCCGTCGCCTGGGGTCGGAGGAGCATTGCCACTTTGGTGACTTCTTCCTTCCCGCCCCCACACTGTGGCTTCAATCAGCCCAGACCTCGACCATCATCATTCTCGTATTTTTCTAATCGCTCTGAGCTAAAAGTCGGAAAGTTACACTGACGCTGCATGCATTATTAGACGCATCCATTGGCGGCCGCATTCCGCCCCCACCGCGTGGCTTTAGGGGTATATTGGAAGCGGATAATGGGTCGACGATTGCTATCGCTATCAGACCCCAGGGCGGAATCTCGTGTCCGTACCAGGTATCAGTATTGTTAATACCATTACATGCTCAAGATCTGTATAATGAATGCCTTGATGTAATGTGGTCCCATCCTGGCCATAAGCAGGCGCAGTCGCAAGAGAGTATTGGGGCGAAGTATATATAGAAAGTGAAGCGAGCGTCCAAGTCCTATACCCATTCATCATTCCTTACTGTGAAAATGGTGTTCGAGAATCCCAAAATTGAAGTTCCTCCCAACTGTGGCCGACGGCTGATGCCCGCCGTGCTGGACGAGGTGGCCGAAAATGATCCTCAGCGCGTGTTCGTCTCGGTGCCCAAGAGCGCCAATTTGGCTGATGGGTTTCAAGATATCACCTACGGCACCTTTGCGAGGGTCGTGAACAAGTGCGCGTGGTGGATCCGCGAGCAATTGGGTGAAGACTCGATACCGAAGACGATGCTCTACATGGGACCGCTGGATGTGCGGTATCTCATCATCATCTTAGCAGCAGCCAAAGCAGGGCACATGGTAAGCCTGCCCTACCCAGACTTCATTAACACCGCTCGCTAATCCACGTAGGCATTCTTCAGCTCCCACCGCAACAGCCTGGAGGCTCATCTGTCTCTCCTCGACAATTGCGGGTGCGACACAGTCCTCATTCCCAGTCGCTCGCCCGCGATCCTCAACCCCATCCTCGCCGCTCGGCCGATGGACCGGATCTCCACCCCAGATGTTGATTTCTTCTTCCAAGAGCTCGATCAGGTCGAGCCCATGCCCTTTACCCTCACATGGGAGGAAGGCAAGACCAAGCCGTTCTGCGTGCTGCACACCTCCGGGTCGACGGGCATCCCCAAGCCGGTGTTCGTGACATACGGTACCTTTGCCAGCAACGACGCGCACCAGCTCATTCCCTCGCTTGGGGGCAAACCCACGCTGATCAACTACCTCGCGGGCCAACGGCTCTTCCTCGCTCTCCCCGTCTTCCATGCCGCGTGCCTCACCTTCACGCTCGTCTTCAACATCTTCGGCGGCGTAACCTGCGTACTCCCGCCGCCGGGCCCCATGACGGCCGACATGGTCAACGAAGTCTTCCTGCACGGCAACCTAGACGGCGCCGTGATGGCGCCTTCCCTGATCGTGGACTGCTACAACCACAACACCTACTGCGTGAACATGGTGCAGCGACTGAGATTCCTAGCCTACGTCGGAGGCGCGCTCCCGGAGGAAGTCGGCAACGTGCTGACGACGCGCATCAAGCTGATGACGATGATGGGGTCGTGCGAGACGGCGCTGCACCCGCTGGAGCTCAATGCTGACCCAGCGGACTGGCAGTACCTGACGATCAGCCCGTTCCTGGGCCACACGTTCCGGCCGGACCGCGACGGGCTGTACGATCTGGTGTTTGTGCGCGACCCGCGCTTCGAGACCTTCCAGGGTGTTTTTCGCACCTTCCCGGGCAAGACCGAGTTTGCCATGGGCGATCTCTTCGAGCAGCATCCCTCTCACCCGGAGTCGTGGGTCTTCCGCGCCCGCACTGACGATATCATCGCCTTCACCACCGCCGAGAAGCTCAACCCCATCACCATGGAGAGCGTCATCGCCACCAACCCCAAGGTCAAGGCAGCTGTCATCGGCGGTCAGGGCCAATTCCAGGCATCCGTGCTCATCGAGCCGTATGTCTACCCCAAGACCAAGGAGGATGAGGAGCAGTTCATCCGCGATATCTGGCCCAGTATCCTCCAGGCCAACCGCGACTGTCCGGCTCATGGCCGCATCATGCGCGGGTTTGTCATGTTGACGAAGCCGGAGAAGCCGATGCCGATCGCTGGGAAGGGCACCGTGCAGCGCCATCAGGTGCTGAAGTTGTATGCGGAGGAATTCAAGGAGCTATATGAGCGGATGAGACCGCACGTGAAGAAGGAGGTGGTGGAGAAGAAGTTGAAAGCGCAGGAACCCCATCTGCAGATGAATGAGAGTGAGGCTGGAGATGAGCTGGACTGTAGGGTCCAGGAGGCGCTTGATCGCGTGCTACCGGGTGCGGTGGAGCGGGCTGTGCAAGAGGTATTGGCCAAGTTGCTGGCTGGGCTTTCGGGGCAGCAGCAGCAGCAAATTGCCTCTCCTGTGGAGAGTGTACCAGAGTCCACACCAGTCGCAGTGAATGGATACGCGGCGCCGCAACCAAACAGAGAAGCAGAGTCAGCTCCAGCCGGTCCGCCTGATCTCAAGAAGCTCGTCTACGACCAACTCGGCGAAAATCTGGATGTGCAGCATGTCCAGGACGATTCAGATCTCTTCCAGTTTGGACTGGACTCGCTGCAGGTCATTGAGTTGACCAATGCCTTGAATGCGTACATCATCAAGTGGCGCCCAGGGAAGGAATTACTGGAGCCAAAGGTGGTGTACGATAACCCATCGGTGGAGAGGATCCTGGGTCTTGTGGAGAGTGACGCCAAGGCATGAGTGACAGTGGGAGTCATACACTATGTTCCATATAGTTTGTTATAATACTATTTCTTGTACCTTAAACGTACCAGAATGTAGCTGTTATTCATTCCTCTATGAGAGACTTTTTCATTGACCTCTGCTCCTTTTCCCCCAGAGTCTTCGAATGCGCCTGGGATGATGAACTCAAGTGAGCACTGTCTTTGCTCGCTGCAGCACAACATAGTCTATGAAAACTCTCAACAATCTGAGGAAGAAACACCTATCATCTGTGGAGAATGAATGGTCTTTGACAAATGTGGAAGACTGTTCTATTCTTCCGTAATACACAATCAAAATCCGACAGCCCATTTATTTACACCAAACGACCCTCGTAATCAACAATGGCTCACACCACCCCTGAATGCTCACGACACAGCCCTACCCCCTCAAGCAATACTCCCCGGCCAGCCCCCCAACCACACAAGCCCCCATCCACCACAACAATCTTGCAAACCACAGCTTACAATTCTTCGGCTCCTCCAATCTAACAGTGACCACCATGCTACCCAGCACCAACGCCGTGCCGCCAACCGCACCGACCCAATACACGAGTCCAAAGCCCAACATCCAGCCCGTACCCGCCAACAAACCCACCTCAACGCCCGCCAACCCACCCAACACGGCCTTCGTCCTCCCGCGACACAAAACCGCCATACTCAAAATCCCAGCCTTCAAGTCATCCTCCAGATCCTGGTGCGCATACACCGTATCATAGATCATGGTATGCACCACATACGAGACATAAAGGCACGCCAGCCCGAACTGCGTGTGACCGTCGACGGCCGAGAAACTCACGCCCAGGGACCCGTAGCCGATTGCCTGCGCCAAGGCAAGCGATACCCCCAGCACGAGCTGCGGGAAATGTGTGACCCGCTTGCAGAACGGGTAGATGGCCATGGTCCCGGCCAGCAGCGCGGCGGGCACGTAGCTTGTGGCTGGGCAGGGGAGGAGCGTCAGTGTGTAGATCCAGGCTAGGGCTAGTGCGGCGGCAAAGAGGTGCGCGCGCTGCGGACTGACGGCCCCGCGCGCCACGGGGCGGGTCTTGCACCGTGCTACTAGGCGGTCGTAGGGCGCGTCTAGTGCGTCGTTGTAGGCGCAGGCAGAGCCGCGGAGGAGGACGTTGCCCAGTGTGTGGGTGAGTGTGAGGGTGAGCAGGGTGAGCGGGGAGGTGGGCGCCGGGCTTAGCGTGGGTGAGGCGGCGGCGAGAAAGACGCCGATTAGGGTTGGGACCAGTGAGGCGTAGACGCCTGCTGGGGAGTGCAGGCGCATGAGCTCGGCGTAGGGGACCAAGGAGGGTGGGAGGGAGGAAAGCAGCAGGCTGCCTGGTTTGGCCGGAGATGGTGCAACGGGACCATTGAAGTTGAAGGTGGTCTTCTCGTCCCTTGAGGACTGCTGCAGACTAGTGGTCATTGTAGAAGCCATCAGGAGAGAATGGGAATGGATTGGTGGATGGTGTTGTGTTTGGCCAGGAGAATGGCGAGTGCGTCGACGGTTTATATCCTGCATGGATCGCTGGCAAGGTTTGGCAGGACCAAGCCGAGTTCAGGCTGGCGAAACTAGGTTTCGGAGGGTGCCACGAGGCTCATTTTCATTAGAGGCTCTATTTTCCGTCCTGCGATGCATAATGACTAGTTGCTAATTATCGACTGTATCGAGGACGTCATCCGATGTTTGTGACAAATACGCGACGCAGCGGAGAAGTCCGCCGCATTCGGAGGATGAGAGGGCGATTGGGGGCTGCGATGAGGGCACGGGCTGTTAGCATTGCCAGTCAGCGCATATAACTTGCCTCTGCCGTGCGGCCTTTCTCTTGGCCACAATGCTCCCTCCCTCTGCTATCCTCATCATTATGACTGTGACGAAGCCCGATGCGCTGCTCTCCACTCGGGGTGGCCTGAACCTCACTCAGGTCCTCGCCCGCATTCCGCCACAATTGCTCAATCCGGTCGTGCGCCGCGATGAGATTGATTTGTCGATGGCTGAAAATCGGGTCATCCGGGAGGAAATCCTTCAACTTGCGCGATCTGCCATTGAGACAAGCCTGCGCTCTCAGGTAACTCATCCTTGAGCCCTGGTACGCCCCCGTGCTGACCCGTGGTAGCACTTGGATTGGCCCAAAGGATTTTTCGGGGATGCAGAGCTGCTGGAGATTCTCTCCACGGTCTTTCAAACCCACTTTGGCCCCTATGTCCCAGTGCAGCCGGATCATGTTGCGGTAACGGCCGGGGCTGCGGCCGGCCTAGACGCGCTTCTCTACAATATCTGCAACCCGGGTGACGGCGTGCTCGTCCCATGTCCTTACTGGAGTACGTAGCTGGATCCCCCCAACCAACCCCCGACTAATCATCCCAGATGGTTACGATGCCCTTTTCACTCTACATTCCGAGGTACGCCCGGTTGGAGTCGTCGTTCCTTCGCTGGACGACTCGTTCGGCCCGGCATTCCTGGCGGCGCTGGACGGATCCTACCGGAACGCTCCTTGCCCGATCAAGGCGCTGGTGCTCGCAAACCCACACAATCCTTTAGGGCGACCCTATCCACGGGCCATCCTGGAACAATGCATGTCGTTCTGCCAGGAACGCAATCTTCACCTTATCTCGGACGAGGTATTCGGGCTCAGTAGCTTCGCCAGCCCTGATTTCCAGGATCCCCAACCGTTCGTCTCCTGCCTGAGTATTGATGCTGAACGGGTCGGATGCGATCTTGAGCGTGTGCACGTTGTCTGGAGCATGAGCAAGGATTTGGCCGCCAGCGGCGTGCGACTGGTGAGCTTTTACCTTGCGTAGCTCCCACGAAGGGGATCAAACTGACTTTCGTTTAGGGCTGCGTGGTGACTCGCAACCGCCCCCTGCGCAACGTGGTCGGACTCGTGGCCTCGGTGCATGTCTCTGGATTCTCGACCGTCTTTGCCAAGGAGGTTTTGGCCTCCCCGCAGCTTCCGGTGCTGTTATCGCTCAGCGCAACCCGGCTGGCGGACACCTATACTACACTCACCACCGCATTCCAGGCTAGCGGCATTAAGTATTATCCCTGTCACTCGACGGTGTTTGTGCTCGCCCGATTGGCGCCGTGGGCCACCAGCTGGGACGAGGAGATGCTGGCCTTCCGCGCATACATGCAAGCGGGGGTGTCGGTAGTGCCAGGCAGGGCGTACCACCTCGCTGACGAACAGAAAGGTTGGATGCGGGTGACGTTTGCCGTGAATGCTGAAGAGTTGAAAGAGGGTATCAGTCGGATTGAGAGGGTCTATCAGACGTTAGTGGCATAAGGCTGTGGGGGCCTTGAGGGGTTGTTGCAGGAGACCGTTGAGCACCTTACTTAACTGACTATAGCACAGGAGGTTCTTCCATGCCTGCAGATACTGCAGAAAGCGCCTAGAAGGACATAGTGTCAATGTAACTGTCTTGCAACACGAGTTGAGTGGCGTTTAGGGCCATATGCAGGCTGGGGCAGTTGAGACCAGTTTAGACAAGCCTCCTCTCTATACTCCAAATTGAAAATTACATTCTGCCGTGTTACCGTACTGGTTAGAATACCCACGGGATCTGACAGCATTCCAACCAGTCTGGGTCAACGCTATGGGCATCTTGTCTCCACCGGTCAGATTTTAGCTCCTGACGCATGAAGTCGGCTTAGTCCGATAACGCTCTCAATGCTCCATCTTCGCTACTCCGCTTATCTTCATGGACATCGTCTATATTGATTCTTACTGCGTCGCGGCACGTGTCGACCACCACCATGGGGGCCACGATGTGGCCTGGTGTGTGCAGGGTCTGAGCCATGTTTCAACAGCATGGTTTCATGGGGGCCGTGATATGCGCCCGCAGCCTTGCATGATGAGGAGAGAGGGTGTTTATCTTCAGGCCGGAAAACCCCCGTTGCATAGAGGGATTAACCCAGGATTGCACAGAATAGGATGGGTCTTACTGCAAAAGAAAATTCCACGGTGACAGACCCTGAGAAGGCCTGGGGATGCCCGTCACTTGCCTCCAGTGCCACTGATATCCCTGCTCAGATCTACGCGCATTCTCTGAGTCCAAAATCATCGGCGGAGTCTGCTGGTCACGACGCGACATCAACGAGAGAGTCCGACTTCTGGACTATCTATCGCCAACTGTTCTCACTGGTCTTTCTCTCGAACTTGGCCATCTTTATCTTCGTTCTAATTCACGATCGCAGCATTGTCCGCGTGGCCGATGCGGCAGCTGCAAACTTCCTGGCGTGTGGGCTCGCCCGCCAGCCCTTGATAGTGAACAGCTTCTTCATCACACTGTGCTCGATCCCCAAGTCATTACCCTTGTGGCTGCGACGCATCGCTGCCAACATCTACCACTATGGCGGGGTGCACAGCGGATGCGGAATTGCCTCTCTTCTCTGGTACGTCGGGCTGGTGGCATTAATGACCCGCAACTTCTGCCTCGCAGCAACACACTCCGTGGCCTCGATCATCTCTCTCATTCTTTGCTACCTCATCCTTGTCCTCCTCCTCACCATCATCGGCGTCGCCTACCCAGCCTTCCGGGTGCGCTACCACAACGCCTTCGAGCTGACCCACCGATACCTCACCTGGGCAGTGGTAGCCCTCTTCCTGACTCTGCTCATCGTCTTCGCGAGAGCCAGGTCCCCTCAAACCCAAGGCGACTTCCTCCTGCATCTCCCAGCCTTCTGGTGTGTGTGCATCTCCGCCCTGGCCATCATCCAGCCCTGGACGCGCCTCCGCGCAATCCCCATCCGCGCCGAATCGCTCTCCTCGCACGCCCTCCGCCTGCACCTCCCAGGCACCACGCACTTCGGCAAAGTGATCACACTATCGCGCCACCCCTTGCGAGATTGGCACAGCTTCGCCACCTTCCCAGACCCGCCGTCTTCCTCAACCTCCCCTTCTCCCTCCTTCTCCGTCGTCGTCTCCCGCGCAGGCGACTGGACCGCCGACCTCCTCGCGCACCCACCCATCAAACTCTACACCCGCGGCACCAAGACCTACGGCTTCACGCGGGTGATGCGCCTCTTCCACCGCATCATCCTAGTAGCCACAGGCAGCGGGATCGGCCCGTGCCTCGCCTTCCTGGAGGACGCGCGACGGCCGGCCATCCGCCTGATATGGCAGACGCGGGCGCCGCTGAAGACGTACGGGGCGGAGGTGTTGGCACTGGTGCATCGGCTGGATCCGAGTCCTGTCATCGTTGATACGGATAAGTGTGGGCGGGTTGATATGGTTCCCCTTGTCCACGATTTGGAGCGCGAGGTGCGCTCTGAGATGGTCTGCGTGATCAGTAATCAGCGGGAGACGGAGAGGGTGGTTTGGTGCTTGTGCCGGGAGGGTATCGCTGCTGTGGGGCCTTTGTTTGATTCTTAGATTCTGTGTCAGCTCGAGGGTGTGTGGGCTTGGGCGTTGGGGCTTTGTGATTCGCTTGATCTTGGGAGTGTGTGGTGGTGCTTGGTGGCTGGCTTGGGTTATGTATACATGTTGTGGTGCTTGGTATTTTGGTTGTTGCGGTGGTTTGCTTTGTGCTGTATATATGCAATGTGGTGTTCAACTTAGGTTTGGGTTAAAGGAGATAAGGTGTTTCTTCTCGTCTTGTGATTATTTGGTCGCTCGATCGCAGTCACGTTGACTAGGTAAATATCACTATGAAAATGTCATTGGGAAACTATTAGAGGAGATTCACACTATCTGTGTTCAGGCATCCTCCACGGCAAATTAACAAGATTCTGACAGAACTGAGTGAGAGAATCGCCAACCGATGCAGCTGGCAGCAAAATAACAGTCTTGCCTGGGTATCTAAACTACTAATTATACACGTATATGTCCATTAAGTACCACCTCTGTATGCCATCGTCCCTAGTCCGCTAACCGGATCACTACTTATCCAACGCATTTTCCTGGCACTGCTCACTAGTTAGCTCAGTTCACTCTCCGAGATTGGGGCACAACTTACCATTTGATAATACATCCCCTTATTCCGCAACAGCTCCTGGTGCGTCCCCTGCTCCACAATCCGCGACCCACACCCGGACTGGTTCTCGCCAAAGACGAAGATGACATCAGCCTTCTGAATCGTCGCCAGGCGATGCGCGACCGCCACGATCGTCATGCACCGCTTGGCCGCCAGCTTCTCCATGGCAGCCTGCACCACCTTCTCCGATTGCGAGTCCAGACTCGACGTCGCCTCGTCGAGGAGCAGCAGCGTCGGCTTGCGGAGGAGCGCCCGCGCGATACACATCCGCTGACGCTGGCCGCCGCTCAGCGCGGCTTGGGCCTTGATGCCCAGCTCCGTGGAGTAGCCCTGCGGGAGGGAGGTGATGAAGTCGTGGATCTCGGCGTCGCGGCACGCTTGGATGATGTCTTCCTCGGACACGTCCGCGGTCTTGAGACCGAGGGTGATGTTCTCGCGGATCGTGCCTTCGAAGAGGCGCGGTTCCTGCGCGACGAGGGAGATCGTCTGGCGGTAGGCGGATCGGTCGATGGCGGAGATGTCCTGTCCGTTGAGGAGCACCATGCCCTGCGAGGGGTTATAGAAACGCTCCAGGAGCGAGATAACGGTGGTTTTGCCGCAGCCCGAGGGGCCGACGAATGCGACGAACTGGCCGCTGGCGATGTTAAGGTTCAGGCCGGTGAAGAGCGCGTTGTCCTGGGAGGGATAGCGGAAGGCGACGTTGCGGAAGTCGATGCTCGCCGCATTCTGGGTGTCGAGGTCGGTGATGTTTTGCTTCTCGGTGTGAATGCGACTCGCCTTGGAGGGCCGGAAGTTCAACATCCGGTTGGCGGAGGCGGTGGCCTGCGCGATGTTGGATCCGAAGCTGAAGAATTGGCCCGCTTGCTGGCCGCCCTGGATGATGGCCATGTAGATGACGAAGAACGAGGTGGGTTCGTATTCTCGCGAGGCGAGGAGCTGACCGCCATACCAGAATGTGAGAGCCATGGCGCACAGCTCGACGCTGTCAGAGAACGCGAAGATGAGAGTCGCGTACCAGGCCTTGCGGAAGGCCTTGCTTTGTTGTTCGAGTAGCATAGCCGAGTAGCGGTTCATGATCGCGTCCTCCATGGTCAATGCCGACACGGTGCGGAAGGCATCGATGGCTTCGGCGGCGAATTGGGAGCTGCCCGAGTAGACGGCCGCATTCATCGCTTCGAACTGCATCTCGTATCGAATGCGCATGAAGGCCGCCAGGAAGGTGCATGGCAGCGCGGCGAGTACCGCCACGAGACTGAGTTTCCAGCCGAACGTGAAGGCAATGATGATACACCCGATCATGCTGAAGACGGAAATACAGGGAAATGCACCATTGATGCCGAGGAGGTCCTGTACCTGCTTTGGATCGGTAGCGAGGCGAGAGACTAACGAACCGGAGGCGTTCTCGTTGCGATCGTGGAACGGAATCGGCTTCTCGATGATGTTCCGGAAGTATTGGGTTCTGCAGTACGAGGAGATTTCCTAGTGCACATTAGGATCTCTTCGACCATTGGGTGTCTGTTCGACTTACCACAGAGAACCTGTTGGCAGAATAGCCCACCGTTGCATAACAAGCCGCGTTTCCCAAAGCAAGCACGAAGAACATCAGGCCCCAGAAGTTCGCAGCGTGCACGAGCTTGTCACCAGAATACTGGAATACCTGGATGATTCTTGCAAAAAGCCAGCTCTGAATGGGATAAGCGCCTATGAGACCAGGTTAGTATTCGAGTCCAGTCACACATGATCTAATGCTCACCTCCTGCACCTGCGGCGCCAATCAAGGCTGGAAGATAAAAGCGCCAATGTTGCCGGTTCTCGTACACAAACAAGCCAATGCTACCAAAGAAGCCTCTCTTCTTCGACTTCTCCATTTCCTCTTCTTGCTCCAGTTTCTGCATGCTGAACCTGGCTGATTTGGCATCGTCGTCCGTTTGATCAGTCTCTTCTTCGCTGTCGTCCTCGTCGATACCCGCCAGTTCAAGGGTCTGTGCATGGACAAGACCGCTGTAGACTCCATCTTCCATCTTTAGAAGCTGCTCGTGTGTGCCCTGCTCGACATTAATGCCCCCTTTCATGACAATGATGTGATCAGCTTTGCGAATCGTCGTCAGCCGGTGAGCGATGACAATTGTGGTGCGATTCTCCGCCAGGCGATCCAGGGCCGCCTGGACGATCTTCTCGCCACGCACATCGATCGCACTGGTCGCCTCGTCCAGAATGAGAATAGTAGGCTGCTTCACAATACTCCGTGCGATTGCAAGACGTTGCCGTTGGCCTCCGCTCAGTTTGGTGCCGTTCTCGCCGACCATAGTAGCAAAGCCCTGCTCAAGTTAGACAACGCACTATCGAGCGCATCCGATGACATACCTCTGGAAGGCGCTCAATGAACTCGTCCGCAAAAGCCTCCTTGCAAGCCTGCTCCACCAAACCCTTCTTGACTTCCTCAGACTCATTTTCCCACTGCGTGCCAATCAAACCGTAAGCGATGTTGTTGAAGATGGTATCATTGAAGAGCACCGGCTCTTGTTGCACCAGACCGATCTGCGTGCGCCACCACTTCAAATCCAAGCTCTGGATGTTATGCTCGCCCACCAAAATGGCTCCTTGGTCAGGGTGCTCCGCCTTGGCATTCAGTTCATACCAGCGCTCGATCAACCCGACGATCGTACTTTTCCCTGAGCCCGAGGGACCCACCAGGGCGGTGGTCTTGTGTTTCTCGAAGCGGGCGTTCAAGCCCTTCAGCACCTGAGCGTCTGGTCGCGATGGGTAGGTGAAGTGCACATCCTGAAACACGATGTCCACCTCCGCCGATGCCTCGGGGCTGCGGAGCCCGCTCGCGTCGACCTTGTCACCGTCAATCATTTCGAAGAACGCGGCTGCAGCACTGGCGGCCTTAGAGACGATCATCAGCGGAGAAGCGATGCTTCCCAGAACGCTGACGGCGACCATGATCGAGAAGAACACGCTGAAAAGCGTCAGCAGCATACGATGATAAGACGAGGAACGGGACCTTACGTGATAACCGTGTTGATGTTGGCGATATGACCCTCCCGGTAAAGCTTCAGTCCGAACCAAAAGGCTAGCGAGTAGCTGGCGTACATGGCGAAGAAGACGAGGCCAAGCTGTGCTCCGATGACAAAGGACAGGTTTCTTCCGCGCAACCGGGCGATCTCGATCCACTTCGCGTATCGCTCTGCCAGGGTGCCCTCCGCTCCGAGGGAGACGACTGTCCGGATGGAGCCGATGACCTCTGCGGCGATGGACGAGTGTTTCTCGTCGGCCTTATCGACCTTCTGCTGGATCTTGGTGATCAAGGGGAGGGTGAAGCAGCACACGATGAGAATAAAGAGCAGCGCGGCGCTGGTGACGAGGGTCAAGGCCCACGAATACCGGAAGGCGATGATATAGGCAGCGACTAACAAAGCGAGCGATTGGAAGAGAATAGCCAGTTTGTCGGAGATGCTCTGCTGGATCGAGTTGGACAGGGTGGTGATCGTGTTAGTGACGGAGCCGACGGACACTTGGTCTAGTTTACTGATCGGTTGGGCGAAGAGCGATTGCATGTATTTCAGTCGGAGGGTTCCTGAAACTCGCAGGCCGATGACGCGGAAGCAATACTAAAGCACCTTTGTCAATGAATGGGATGGTCGGGGTGGGCGCGGTTGACGCACCATTGAGAAATACGTGAGCGCGAATTTGGCGATGAAGAGATAGACGATATACAAGCTGTTTTCCCATTAGCATCCACGTTGATGCTTGACTCTATTCCAGGCACGAACCTTAGTCGGCTGATGGCGGACTTGAACTCGGCTTCGGTGGTGGATGAGCCTTCGGTGAAGTATCCATTGAACTCTCCTACCATGCTGCCAAAGACGATGTTCATGAGCGGTAGGGGCTGTATTCAAGCATTAGATGTGTGCATTATCGATTATCACTGATGAAAACATACCACACCCGATCCGATGGAGGAAACGAGCGCTACCGTGAGAATCGCGCGATCCGATGTGCTTGCGTAAGACAGTAACCTCTGGACAACTTCCGTCAGCCTCCCTCCGACCGGTGGAAAATCTCGAACATACAAAGTAGCTGCCTAACGAGGCCTCTTGGACGGGAGGGTCATCGTGCTGGTCTGATTTCTTGGTGGTGCTGGATGCATCTGTCTGATCGGTGACAGTGACGACCTTTTCGGCATCGACAGTAGCAGTGGGTTCGCCCTGAGGGGGAGGGCTTTCAGTCGATGAACCCATGGCGATTGACCTGGAGGAATATCACGCGGGTGAAAGGTGCAGCATCGCTGATGGGGATGGACATCCTTTTATGGGATCCAGCCCAACTTGATACTTATTTATACTTTAGCCAGGGGAAGAATCAGGCATAATCCAAAGTCTAGGCCAATGGAGGCGTAAGGATGACCGTGCAGTGGGACAAACAGGATCGAGCGCCCCGTATTGCTTCGGATAATCCCTTGAGTAGTGGAGTCATTGCAGTGCAGGGTAACAAATCAATAGTGGCGAGAGTTGACAAGGGGGGAGAAGAGTGAATCATTGAGTAATTGAATGTCGATCTTCCGTTCTTTCTATTCTTTCTTTCTTGCTTTCTTGCTTGCTTGCTTGCTTGCTTTCCTTCTGCCCGGACTTTCGGGGTTTCGCTGATTCCCGGTAGGCGGTCAACCTTTTTCTTACTCTCTCTTTCAGTCTTCGGACAATCGGACTCTTGCAACTTCCCGTCTTCCATTGATCCATTCATCCCATTCAACCACCACCCACCATCATGACACAACCCCTCTCCGTGAGCATTGCCAGGTTTTCTTGCTCTCTTTCGCTGCGTGGCGATTTGCTGACTTCAGCCTAGTGCACTCGTTGTCAGGCCAAAAAGGTCAGGCCCCGTGATCTTCCGGTGCATGAAATCCCCGAAATGACGAAATGCTCCGTTCTAGATTCGATGCAACCGCGCCGATCCACGATGTGACAAATGCTCTGCTGCCAGTGCTCAGTGCACTTATCTCCCCAGAAAACAGCGCACCCTCAAACGAAGGTAGTCTCTGCGGTTTCTCATTGGGATTCCACCAAAATTTAGCTGACGCGACCGTGGGATTCTCAGAGCCGTCCACGACAAAGACATCCTACGGCAAATTCTCCGGCGTCTAGATCGCTTGGAAGACCACTGTCGACTCGGCCAAACTGTCGCCGACAATGGCGAAAGCGATCGTTCTATCTCCGTGGAATCCGATGATGCCTCCCCTACTTCTTCCACCACGGACTCTTCACCCAGTGCGCAATCGCCTGCCGGTCAGGAAATGGTCCAAAGCCTGCTGGGTCGCGTTCACGACGATCGCATCAGGTCGCTGCTTCGCTCCCACGTCTTCTGCGCCATCGACAAGATTGGCTCGCGCTTCTTCGAGAATGAGCGCTGCCTCAGAGCGATGGATGCTGCCATAGCGGGCATTGAACAACTCGACAATACCCCGGCCGAGATCAACTCACCCGCCATCCCCAAGGAGGCCGCAAAGAAATGGATCAATCGTGAGTCAGTTGCAAATGTTATGATACGGTCGCCTGCTTACTCGGTCTCAGAATATTTCGGCAACTACCAATTCGAAGGCTTTCGGATTCCGCTAGAAAAAGACTTCATCCTGGCTATTCCCGATCTACTGGAGAGCCCCCACGTTCAGCTTGATGCCACCTCCCAAATCATATACTACAACGTCCTCTTCCAGGCGTTCATGCTAGACACTGAGGAGGTGGAGGGAAGGGGGCAAGTGGTCCAATACCTGTGCGGTCGATGCTTCAACCTGGTGGAGGACTGGCTCGGCCAGATCCAATATACGACGGCAGATTTATTTGCCGCATTCATGATGGTTTGCATGTTCCCTTCTGCTCTACTCCACGGCACTGACACTAGTAGATGTCCATGACGTTGGAGAGCTGCGAGAGCGATCTGTCATGGAGGATTTTCAAAACGGCCTGTGTCGTTGCCCGAGCGCTCGGCTACTTCTCCGTAGACGAGGATCACCATAGCCTCGAACAGAAGGATTCGCTGGCAGAAGGAGTATCCCAACATGAAGAGGAAATAGAGCGGAATCGAAAGCGATTCGAATTCTGGCATATTCTACGGACGGAAAGTCACTTTCGGCTATCATTTGGAAAACCAGCGATTATTTCGGGGGGCTCGTGGGCAGTCAATTTCCCAGACCCGACCATCACCGGCGTAGACCACGCCTCGACTCGCTTCATCCAGATTCACTTCTTGGCCTCGATGCGTCTCACCATTGTGACAATGCGATACCTGGACATCATGGCCACGAACCCGGACCCCAATACGCAGGAATACAACGAGACGATCGATGGGCTGATCGCCGAGGTGCAAAAGATCATGTCCGATTGGAATCCGGTAAGTGGCTTTGCGAGGTGTGGTTACACTTGTCTGACCCGAGTAGGAGGAGCTGCTGAACTCGACCACCAACCGCATCGACACCTGGTTCTGCGTCGACATCCTGTTCAGCAGCTACAAGATGCTCATCGTATTCTACCAGTCGAAGCCGTCTCACCGCGACAGTCATCGTCTGCCGTATCATACCGTGGACATTGCCCGGAAGAGTTTGCAGATGTCACGGTCGCTCATGGAATCGACTCCCCGCCCGCATTGGGGAATCAGGTATGCTCAATTGTGTATCGCTTCAATCATCCACTAATTGTGGTAGTCTCATCCTCCTCCACCAGTCGATCCCGCTATTTGTTCTCTGCTACGATATTCTCGGATGCTATGACCGCGAAGACGTCAAGGCCGATGTCGCCTTGTTGGAGTGGTTCCACGACTATGTCGAAACGGCATCCAAGGACCGGACGGAGCTGAAAGCCATAAGTTTGGTGGTGCGAGAGATGACGCGGGCCTGTCAGCAAGTATCAACTGGCCATTAGCTTTGACCATTCACATACACAAGCAGGCAGCACACAATCATGCGTCTTAACCCAGACAAAGTTTCACGCCTCTCTGTCCTGGATCACCCTCAGCACATCATTCAGATCGCCCTCTACACTCGTGGCCAGCCCCATTTTCTCTAATTCCGCAGGCACCAAAGCGGTATCTCCCAACTCAACCCGAATCACCTTGATCTTTCCCTCGCCTTCCTCAACAAGCTCCTCATTCTCCCACCCCAACACCCCAGGCGTCGACATCTCCACGCCCAACTCCATAATCACCACCTTTCTAGCTGGATCCCCGATTACCTCCTCTTTAAACCTTCTCCACCGCCTCTCCCCCTCTTTGAACGGGCCCTCATTAGACCAGCTGCCCGCCCGCACACAAATACTCATCCTCCCGCCGCAAAATTGACAAGCCGGAATCTTGCTCTCGTCCATCATCCACTGCGTTAGCGGATCCAAACACTCCACCGCATCACCCACCTACCGAGCAGCCTCAATCACCGCATCAGACCGACAATTCGCCAAGCACTGCAAATACCGATACGCGCCCTGCGGCGTCGACAGCCGGCTCTCCTCCAGCCCATGCGCCAGGAATAGCCCGTCCGCATTAGACGTCCGCACGTGAACGTCTCCCGGTCTGAATCGAATCCAGCAGGGCCGCGTAGACCGGAGAGCGGGGCCAGGTGACTGGGGACAGGGCGGCGGCGTCGACCAGGGCACGGTGCGAACGCTCCCAAAGTAGGATATCTTCGGTTTCGCGCAGCAGATCGGTGTCAAACGTCTGGCGGGGATGCCGCACACACAGTAATTGCTTTGGAAGCCGGGTCTGGGCCCAGGTCTACATAGTATGGACATGATCTCCCATTGCAGCTCCATGTTGGTGGTGATGACTGCATGAATGAGAAGATTGGAAGTAATGCGAGTCGCGGAGCAGACCTTGCAAGACACCGGGAAGTGATTCTGCTGCCATAGTAAGTCCCGCTAGCGGTCCAGTCTAGAATATCCCTACACCTCAGCGCATCTCTTGCGCGGTATTGATATCTATAGACGCATTCCTGCTACAGGACTGTATACTTGGGTGGATAAGGGGGCATGTTCAGCATGTTTGTGCTGTTTGAATCACGAAAACCAGCCAATGGAGAGTGTTATTGATAAGATCCTTACAGGAATTTGTTTTGGCTTGTTTGCAACGCGGTGCAATCCCGCGGCTGATCAATTGCGGCATCAATTGCAATCTAGCAGCTATTATTGCTGCCAAGATGATGTCAAAAATAGCATTATCGAAACATCCCTTCCTCGATGGTCTAACGGTCATGATTTCCGCTTGTCAATCCTGAAAAGGAACAAGCGCGGGAGACCTGGGTTCGACTCCCAGTCGGGGAGATTCTTTTTGCTTTTGTTTCCCGCAACTTTGATCCCTTCAAGTATCTTGTTGGAGCACCTGCAGCTCTCTTTATGCATGATTATGTTCCGCTCAGATAAAAGAATCGGCTAACTTGAATTCTAGCACGCTATCTATGCATATCGGTCTGAAGTATCACCTTCACCCGCTGGTGGCTGACTGCATCAATCGCGGAGGTATTCCTCCCGCTGATATATATCATCACCCACCCTCGCCACCGCTGTCCCAGCCTTTCCACGTTCACAATAATCTTAGCATACCTACCACAAACTCCCAAGCCGCAGATCCAGAGAAATGACAACAACGAACACACGCCAAGCATACCGACAATCTCTCACACCACCTCTACCACCCTAACCTCAACCCCGCCAATACGCACAATTCCAACCCCCACTCTTCCGCCTCCCTCGTGAACTCCGAACCCTCATCTTCGAATACGCAATAGGAGGCCACACGCTCTGGCTAACGAACTGCCACGACTGGTGCGACGGGAAATGCCGCGATCCGCCACTATACCGATACCGCATGCTCTTGACGACAGAGCCAGATAGAAAGGGCAGAGGAGGAAAAGAGGTGTATTAGATGGAGAATCTGCACGGGGGGCTCATATATGTTGATCGAAATGGAAGCGAGATACTTGAAGAGGATGATGATTATGAGGAGGAGGAGGAGGA